CTGTTTTGAGAAGCTTTGTGCAAAATGTGGTGCAAAAACGGCGGAAATGCATAGTCAAGGAAGGCCAAGAACAGCAGCATTGCTTGCGGTGCTCCAAAAAGCAAAACATTCATCACAACCGAAATCGCTGGTAAGCAATTAAATGGCTTGATGAATGGCTTCGTATCTGCGATGAGTGGGACATCTAAGTTGAAAGGCATCCAAGACAAAAAAAATAAATAAATGCTTCTGTAAAAATCGAGAAAGGACGGCTTAACGGTCAAGCAGGACATGGAGATGTTCATGAAATATACACACACGACCGTCTTCAAATCGACGAGAGGTTCGCTCGCCCACAGGACACGGACGCCAAGTTTGGATTTTTTTCTGGATTTTGACGGACTGCGCTACAGTGCCAACAAGAAGTTTCAGAGATTTCTAGGACTGTGACGTCGACGCATATGATCTGTATGAAAAGATGTTAGACTGCAGATTATTGCGCTCAAAGCGGACTGGCCTGGAAGTTTCAAGACCTGAAGAACACCTTCACAATTTGTTGTCCAGTACGGGGATGAATGCGTCTTCCCGAGTTTTCGCATCGCCTCTTAGGTACTGCTAACCATATCAGTTGATCGCTCGCTGTGAGTGGTCGTTCAGCAAGTCGAAATCAATACCTTCGTGTGTGTGACCTTCCATGAGTCAGGACAGACTTTCAGATCTCGGTCTCCTGTCTGTAGAAAGATAAAAAAACTGAGAAAATTGACTTTGATGGAGTTGTAGGCCAATTCGCTTCTGCGAAGCAAAAAGCGTTATGTTGTAGATTTTATGCAGTGCCACGATGTATTAATTTCTCTTTCACACTGGTTCTGTGAATAATCATTAAATGTCAGAATCCAAAACAGCAATTATCTACTGACGTTTATAACTTTATCTAAGAGTCTGTGCAATTAATCGAACTGTTCACATGCCCATCTTCTTTTTCACTTGTGTGTGTTTGAAATATATTTAGAACCAAGTGAGTTTTTAAGTGTCAACTTTTTTTTCTCTTTAATTTTGACACAAAATCTGGGCGCCAAGCGAGGACTATGAGGTGACTTGACAGGAGCTTATCTTGTTTGATATTTTTCTTCCGTGTGTGTTCACTACGATAGAATTTCATTTCATTGCATTGCATTTGATATACCCTTTAAGCGCCCACTGGGCTTTACATAAAAAATGAAAATACAATACAACAAATTCAAAACAATTAATAAAGAACTCGCATGCTGCTATGTGCTAATGGAAGCTGCAAACAGCACGCAAGCTAGATGATTCCTGAATAATTACAGTATTACCAGGAAAAGAATTCCGTTCAGAAGTGGACAATTGAAGAGGTGAAAATTTAAAGAGGGCTGTTTTGGTGTAACCGATATAACTTTTTTTTTTTTAAAGAATTGAGTGGAATAGATGTGTTGAAACACGGCCAGTCCGTGTTCGTGGACAAGCGTGATTTTCCTAAAACAAAATATCATCATCATCATTATCATCACAGTTGCGAAAAATACTTGCCATGGACGCCATCCCCCTTAGGTACGCCTCTGCGTTCCGGTATAAACGGATATTCCTAATCACTGCTAGCTTTGGAGTAACACTTCTACGGTGCAAAACCAACAAAATCAAGGAAATAGAGCGTTCCCAGTTAATAACAATCAGGCGGACACACCCAGTCAAGTCATTGCAAGCTATGATCTGAATTATGTAGACACAAAATCCTCACATTTACATTGGAAATGGGGAAGTATACTCACCTGCCAGAGTAGATCGTGATGTCCAGATTTCTTCTCGAGGTCGTCGAGCTGCGCGTATGAGAAGAGGTGGAGTCACCGTCGTCCATTTATTCGAAGAATCTTTTGTATCACTGTTGTGGCATCCAGTCGAGTCCTTATGGCCAAGATCGAAGTGTACTGGTGCTAGTTCAATACCCACCGGGCAGTTCTGACTTTTGTTTTAGCAAAACGTATAAAAAACGGTCAGCCTTGCGCGATGATAATCTGATGCATGCATGATCGATAATGTGCCAAAAATGTAGAAAACAGCGGCAAAAACTCTTGCGCACCTCTGGGCGCTGATATTTCTGCAATGTCATCTAGCGCACGTAAGCGTGAAAGTGGCGCCATTCTCTTTCCTTTTTTTTTTTCTCGCAAATGGAGTCCCGACTGGTGCTCCATGCATACAAGCACGTGCAGCGTGCGCGTGAACAAACCTTTGGCAAGCTTGAAATTGCACGAGCTTTTCCACACGGGCACACACATGGCGACGGTCAGTTGTCTTGCTTGCAATCGTCCGTAGGAAGTATTTACTGGATGCCATATTGAGGGATCGGTGGCTGAGTGGGATAAAGCGCACACCCAGCTCGACGCGCGTGGAGCGAAAGCTCGCGCTGCAGAACCCAGGGATCCTGGGTTCGAGCCCCACGCCTGCCCGTTTCGATCTGGATGAGCATCGTACCGGCGTGCGGCCGTGTATCACTGCTGCGTGTATCACTGCTGCGTGGTTCACGCTAAAGACCCGAGGCTAGCGGTTGTACCGCACTTGCTAAATTGCTAATCTACAGCGAGTGGCTCGTCGCAACTTTAATGGCTGACCAACTACACGCTGTATAAATATCCCCATAACCCAATTTGCAACTTTTTTTGATGTCATATTTGAGGGTGCTGTTGAAAGCGCATGCTCAGAAACAGGGCCTTCTCTAGGGGTGCGCGACCTGGGCGGTCGCGGGGCGTCATCGAATGGAGGGCGCCGCCGCGCCTCCCTTTTGAATCTTTTTTTTTTTTTTTTTTTTTTGTAGCTTGATTGTTGTTCGTTTTTAGAATGCGGTTCTCATCTGACAAAATGCTCGTGTTGGGCTATAGACCTTTCCAGAAAAGGGCTGCTGGGCGGTTTCATTTTCAGTGTTCGTGCGTATCGCGCGTGATTTGCTCGCTTTCCGAAGCGACGCACACGCGCGTGCTGAGCTGTGGAGATCGCACGCTGAGCTGTGGATTTGTAAACATTGGAAAGGTCTATAAGGAGTATTCACTGGCGGCCATAGCTGTGTGCGCGAATGCTGAGCGCGTGCTGGTGGCGAGCTTCCACAGTTCTTTTGCACTGTGCATTCCGCACCATCAAGATTGCCGGTCTTAGAAGCCTATTAGTGTGAGCTCGTTCTGAGCATGCGCTCTAAACAGCACCCACAAATATGGCGTCTAGTGAATACTTTCTATAGCACCGTGGCCCATACTCACATGCTTACTAGCAGCGTGATGTCGATAGCCAGGGGCGTATAAAGAGGGAGGGGCGGGGGGAGGGGGGGGGGGGGGGCACCACGGTCGGAGTTTGCCCAGGGCGCTTGATGGGCCGGCGCCTTCCACCGTGGCCGACACTCCTCAGAACGAGCGCACATTATTCGGCTGATAGGACCTTCAATCTTGATGGTGTGGAAGGCACGTTACAAAATAACTGTGGAGGCTCGCCATCAGCACGCGCTCAGCAGTCGCACGCATGGTTATGGCCGCCAGATCGTCATCGCAAAATGCTGGTTGTCATTCCAACTTATTCTTACCGAGACACGTATATTCGGTGGTGTGCAGTCTACGCTGCCAAAGGTGCCCGCTTAGCAACAATGGGGGGCTATGTTGCACGTTTTGGACTCCCAGGAGACTAGGGGGAAGGACGTGACGTAGGTGAGAATGAACGTATCTTAGCAGATGCTGTCATCAGCGACTCCACCAATCAACATCCAAAGAGCGTTGTTGACGTCACTTCCTTCTCCCTAGTCTCCTGGGAGTCCAAAACGTGCAACATAGCCCTTCTGATGCCATGTTGGTGCAAGTCACACATTATGATGCACTCGAATGGATCGTGCTGCGTGGCGAAGTTGCGCCGATCCTCTCCGTGCAATTCTCATGCTGCCACACCACACACTGCACTGCCGCGTGTGTACATGGCCAGTGGCGTCGGAACATGGAAGGGGGCGATCGCTTTCTCGCTCCAGCCATTTCAAAGAGCAAGAGGAAAACGGCAGGGGGCCTCCAGCACGTGCTGCGTGCCTTTCGCCGTGCTTTGGCTCGAAGATCACGAGACTCCGAGACGACGAAGTGTTACCGAATGCAGGAGGCTCGCGCTGCAGGCGTGACATCTCTGCCCTCCCTGCCGTTCTTATCCAGTCGGCGACGAGATGTTTCGGTGGCGCCCTCCTATGGCTTCCGTTCGTGGCTTCCGTTCGCCGTGACGTCACGAGCTGTAATCCTGACATACTTATCATCCGTTGCGAGCTACAAGTTTGATGTTGCGTGTAAAAAAGCACGACGGAAGCTTGGAGTCATCGCGTTCTTAAACCTACACCACAATAGTTGACAGCCTGACATTGTTTTTATTCCCGTCGTTGAAAGAAAATATAACCCACATAAAGACGTCTGAGCGTTCGGCCATTTGTGAATGCTGACAACAAAGACGCTTTCTGTCGCGCATGTCGCCAGTAGTAGAGCAATCTGGGGAGCGTGATCCCTCCCCTGTTTCTTTGACGCTTCTGAGGCCCGTGTACCAAAAAAAAAAATAATGATAAAAAATAAATAAATAAATGTACAGGGTTATTGTCACCGCAAAAATAAACTGCGCATCGCCGAACGCTCGTTCTCCGCCCATGTGTAACGCTATAGCGGTCAGAACCAGATTCCAAAGTTTCAGAACTGAGCGTTATCTTATTGGGAAAAATGAGAAAATGGCGACCGACGGAGCTCTCGAATACACGAAGCTGAGTGGCGCCAGTTGCCGAAAACGGGCCCCATTTTCCTATTTCAATCTTCAGAAAATTACCTATGACTTGTGAATGAGATAACGGTTAGCTCTGAAACTTTTGCATCTGGTTCGGACCGCTGGCGTTTCACCTGGGCGGAGAATGAGCTTTTGGCGATGCGTAGTTTATTTTTGCAGCGAAAGAAGAACATTGAACATTTGTTTGGTGAACACCGTGTATGCATGGTCCCTGTGTTCTTCGGGCGCAGTGGTGGACGCCATGGGCCGTCCCCCGGCCGGCATCTTCGAGGGCACCATCACGGACTTCGGGTCCTTCGACCAGTGCCTGGAGGTGCGCGCCCAGGACGCCTGGGGCGACGAGAGTTTCCGCGGCCAGTACTGCTCCCTCTTCCTCAAGCCCAACATCGACACCAGCAAGCCCGTCGCCTTCCTGCGCAGCAGCCGCAGGGTGAGTTCAGTTCGCGCACCACCAGGGAATAACAATTAGACGGTTCGCGCTCTAGGTCGCATGCACATTTCGGCCCCGGCCAAAGGTACCGGAGATCATGGGCGTTATATAGAGGACAGCACAAAAACACAGACATCGGTGTGCTGCTCTAACATCGTACAAAAAAGATAGTCTGCACACATCAGTTACCGCGATATCCGTGGTTCGAATGCCGCGTGTCAAGTTTCTTCCTGAACTCGTTGCCATGCGGCATTCGAAGCACGAATCTCACGGTGACTAGCGTTCGAATCTGTATGCAGACTGTCTTTTCTGTGATGTATAAGCAGTGTGACTCCGGCTTTAGGGGACAACACAAACACGGACGTTTGTGTGTTTGTGTTGGCCCCAGAGTCTCGGCCACCTTTCACCAGTTTTACATTCACATGTCTGCCTTTTTACGTGTGTATCGCATTAATTATCAAGACACTTCAAAGTTGATGGACGGAAGGAATTAGTTGAAATGAATTGTCAGGAGGTTAAGAAGAAAAACATATAGAAGGGGAAGAGTTAACCATCGGAGAAAAGTCGCCCCAAGAAATGTGCCGGGCGCGCTGATTAATAAGAAATACAATCAATATATGGAGCCAAAAATGGTTGTGATGCACCCTAGACAGTTATCAGAGAAACCGCCTTTCACAAACTAGCAGGAAGTGTCATGTCTCTACTTGAAGGCGGTGGAATACGCATATACATCACCTCTTTTTTATAGCTCTCTTCCGATTTTCACTCCGTCTTCCTTGTACTAAAATATCCTGTGAATTTTTTTCCTTGTGCTTGTTTTTTTTTTTTTGTTTTTTTTTTAATTTTGAATTTTTACAGTGATTTCTAAGCGGTAGCCGCTGGCCCAAGTTGTCGAGGTCTGTAGGCTGTATCCCCCATTTTTGGGGAGTCTATAAAACAAGTGTTGGGTTGGTCTAAGTACAAAGTAAATGAGAGGTTATGTACTTCAAGTAATGTAATAAGTACAGCGGGCGCAATGTGCTTGAAGTAAAGTACTATAAGTACAATGTACTTTCAAAGTAAAGTACACGTATACTTCTAAGAAAATATTTCATTCCTCTACACAATTTTTTTTTATCTGGTATGCATTGGCTAAGGGATAAGCAGGGGTGCATCAGTTATTTTCGGAATTTTCGGAAACTTATAAGGCACTTATTTGTATCGGTCTTATAGCCGCCATTACACCACTCAGAGAAATGACCGGGTAACGCCTTCAAAGACGATATCACCTTTTCACATAAAAATACGCCTTTTTTAACATTTTTATATTTGGTGTATGTGTGGGGGGGGGGGGGGGGGGGGGGATTTTTATATTTGACCTCAGAAGCTGCGTCTAGTACTTGAAAAGCCAAGGACGCAAGCGTGTGGTCCTTGAAAGAGCTGAATTTTACCAAACCGAATTTGGGGAATGTCTTTGAAGTCGGGAGTTGTACTTTCCTCGAAAAGTAGAAGAAAAAAAAATACTTCAAGTAAAGTATAAGTGCATACTCAGAGAACGTACTTCAAGTAAAGTGCAAGTTCTATAAACTTAATTGGAGCACTACTTTAAGTACAATGTAGTTAAAAGTACTTCCTGACACTGCATAAAACATTTATACAAGTTCGTCACTTTAATGCTTGCTTTTCCCAATGTAAACTTGCTCTGGCTAGAGATCAAAACATCTCTAGAATGATTTTACTAAATATGTTTATTTTTTTAGTATATATTTACCTCGTTTGGTACAAAAGCTTAGATAACCATGGTGCGCTAAAATTTTCTCTCACTCGCAAATTACAAACTGGTGTAGTGTTAGATAGATATAAAAAAGAAGTGTGCTGTGTTTCGGGCTGGTATACGTGAGTTCTGACATCCGCTAGAGTGCACGACGATACAATAGAACGCATTCAGTTAAGCCACTATCACACCGCACGTTAGCGCATCATAGTCATGCAAAAACTGTTTGCAGACATGTTCTAAGTAGAGGAATGTATGTAGCAAACATGCTTAGAACATGCCCGAGTTCCGTCCGTAGATAATGTTGTCCTCGGCGTCTGGAGCGAACATCGCGGCGTCTTTTGTCACGATGTTTGAGCAATGCGACGGCGGCAGTAGCTTTAGACATGCACCCACAAGGGTGGGCGAGGAAGGTTCTAACCGTTGGCTTTGCACGGGTGCGGTTCTCTCGCAGAATCTCACGCGAATTATGAAATCCATTTGGTTCCCCGGCTTCCGGTTGGGCATCTGCATCCCGTCCGCCTGTTCCAAGGAAGACATCGACGCTCTCATTAAGTCGGGTGAGTGCTCGCTAACTATAATCGTAAACACCCCGTACCGCTAAAGAAAAAAACAAAAAAACTTTCGATAAACACGAGACGCGCAATGGCAAAATGTCTCGCACATAAATTGCCCGTCAAGAGCTTGCGCGCGTGTGCAAGTATTCCGAGCAGTTATGACGGGGAGTGCGCGTAATCCGTCCAATGAAACGGACACGCTATGGATGGTGTCATCTTCCACAGCTTATGTTTTATTTAAAAGGCCCAAAGTGAAAGGTCATTAGAGTCACTGAGAGCTTAAGAAACAAAGGACGTGGTTTATTGTCGTTTTCACGTTTCTCTCTTCGTGATGGGCTCTTTGGGGTTCTTATCGGCTAATGCCGCAATCGGATTGGGTGCTGAGCAATAATAATGTTCTCGGGACTCGTCCCACCCTGTGTTTCTTAGGAAGTATGAGCCGTAACCATAACGGGTGTGCTGCTGGCACCAAAACGGAAAATTCTGAACTTGAGATAGTTCGTGGTCCGCACGCACCCAACCCTGATCCCAAGAAAAATAAACGCGTATATAGCCATGCACACACCCACTTCCATTGGGAGCCTTGAAACGATTCCACTTGCTGTCTGCTCTTTATGTTTGCCTGGACAAAACATTCACGTCGAGTATCCACGTGCCAGAACAAACGACGAGCAACACTCGAAGCCCATGCACACCCTGGAGGGCTTCGAGTATTGAAGAGACTGAAGGACGCAGTCCCTTCAAACAAAGCCTCTATACAACTCACACTTGAACGGTGCGCAGCGTGTGTGCGTCAAGATCGACATAAACTCCGTTTGAGCTTAAGAAAAACCGCAATGGATGCTACAGCCGATCCCAGCCAATCCAGCTCTGCGAATGACGTGATTACGCGCACCACGCGTCGGTCGCTGGGCCCGTCCCGAAAGTCACGTGGCAGGCTGTATTCAATCGGCTTCGTTAGCTCGCTACGTCTTCTGCAGTTCATCGTAAGGTCAAACGGAGTGTAGACTTCGTTCGCCCCCAAAAACTTGAGCGTGCGCAGCAAATACGAGGACGAAGGGAGGACAGGACATAAACGAGGCCCACTCTTCTTCAGCCCCAAGCTGACAGTGAGGTGGAAGCTACGTGCTTGTTGGACCAGCAATGCGTCTATCCTTCACTACGTAATCACGTCAGTCCCCACCCATACTACGTACGCAAAGAGAGGTGTCAGGTGATGAAAGGGAAATGGTTTATTCGCCCGGCGCGTGCGTAGCACTGAACGGAGCATAACAAACGTCGTCGCTGTGCGAATTGCACCAAGAAAGAAAAGTTGTTTTTCTGGCAGAGGAGACCCTATAGGATCCTTCAGATCATCCTTAGAAGCTCTGTGGTATCCCGGGGCTGATAAATAAAAAATAAAATAAAAAACGTCTTACTTGCGTGTCTAGAAAAAATAAAAAAAACACGTGAAGACAAATAAGGAGCAGCCGTAGAGGTATCTCGGATCGTCAACAGGGCGGGTGACAGCAGAGGTTATGAGAATGTGTTGATTCTCGCGGAGCGCTCGTCGTAGCGGGGGGTGTCTCCAAGGTCAATACCACGAGGAACGCTGGGAAGCTCTTTCTTCGTCAAGTGTCGACCTTCCGCCGCCGCTTGAGCAGCGGCGGATGGCACGCGTTGGCGCTCGCAGGGTAAACAATAGCGGGTATTTTCGGTGCATGGGAAAAAACCGAGAGGCTGCGATGTTTGTTCGGGCTTGTTCGAGGTCATTTATCGGCTTCCAAATTTCAAGTTCAAGGATCGAATCTAGATTCCCGCTTTCTTATAACTTAAGCAAATACAAGGTCACTGCACGCTTGCCTGACAGGTTGATATTCCCCTACTGTTAGATGACGAGCTCAAACATGCAAAAATGATCGATGTGCATCCGTTTAACCCAAGAAACGTTTGCTAGAGTGCATAACCAAAGAACTAGAGTAAAAAACACACCCTGATAAGCACCAGGAGATGCGTGTGGTGTTATGCACAAAGGTGGATCAGTTAATGATTTAAACAGCTATAGACCTATTTCTGTGCTTTCAGTTTTTTCGAAGGTGGTTGGAAATATTAAAAATAAACGACTTGTTAAATTTTTGACTTCTAATAATATTCTAGTAAAGGAGCAATTCGGTTTTCAGAAAAATAAGTCACCAGAAGTTGCACTGCTTGGAATAAAAGAACAAATCCTTGAGAATGTAGAACAAAAATTATATACGCCAGGCATATTCCTTGACCTTAAAAAAACACTCGATTGCGTTCAGCATGACATACTATTAAAGAAACTTCAGTTCTATGGAGTCCGCGGTGTTGCGTTATTATTATTCAAAAACTATCTCGCGTCCAGAACACAGTATGTAACCATAAACGGAGTGAAGTCAGACCTTCAACACATCAGATATGAAGTCCCTCAGGAATCTATTCTTGAACCTATACTATTTTTGTTGTATATCAATGACATTGTAAACATACATGGTAGTTCAAATATAGTATTATATGCAGATGATACAAATATTTTCTCCTCCGGTGTAAACATACACGATCTCATTGGAAGGGCAAAAAAATGGTTGAGGGGGTTAGACATGTGGCTTAAATCAAATAAACTTTGTTTAAACGTATATAAAACTAGGTACTTACTATTTAAACCGAAAGGAATGACACTACCGTCAAATTTTAAATTATAATTCCAGGACTCTTTCATTCAGCAGTCTTCAACAATTCGATTCTTGGAAGTTCTATTCCACGAAAACTTATCATGGACACCCCATATTGAATCGCTCATAGGAAATCTTTGTCGAGCTGTTGGTCTTTTGAATAGATTAAGATATTATCTCCCCCAAAAAGCTAAACGTCAAATTTATTTAGCCCTCATACACTCCAGTATAAGTTATTGTCTATTAGTGTGGTCAAGTACGTCCCAAACAAACTTAGATCGTCTCTTATCTATACAAAAGCAAGCATTACGAGCAATTGGAAACATCGATTTTTTTTAGGAATGCCACACCACACTTTATTTAGACCATACCAAATATTAAACTTAAGAGATCTACACAAATATAAACTGTCCCTCGAGATTTGGCGGCAATTTCATACTGACAAATTGCTGTTCCATGCAAAGTACCCCGTGAAAATTGGGCCGTACAATTTAAGACAAAATGTAATAATGAAATCTCGTTCACGGACGAACTATGGAGTTCAGAAGCTAAGTTTTCAGATACCAGATTTTTTGAACCAACACCCAACTATTTTAGACTTTCTAAATAGCGCCAGGTCACCCCTTAATTATAAGAAAAGTGGGAAAGAAATTTTATTTACGGATGAATAAAACAACGAAAAATATGTCCTAAACTTCTTAAATGATAAATGCATGTGATAACACAAAAAAGTATTTTCTTTAAGATCTGTTGAAGCAAAATGTAATATAATAGATAATTGGCCCACCTCTGTTCGCACACCACTGGTTGTTTGTTATTTGTCTTCTTTTTGTGTTTGTTTTTATTGTATAGCAGTGAACCGCACATCGAAACATTATGTAAAAAACTGGGCTATTCGGTTTACACGTTACTTAAAGCCAGACAATACTTTAAATCGAAAACTTTAAGATTGATTTATTACAGTATTTTTCATAGTCACTTACAATATTGCGTAGTATCGTGGGGTTTTACATACCAAAGCTATCTACAACCGATAGTAACGCTGCAAAAGCGGGCATTGAGAATACTAGAATATGCAAGTTACAACACCCATTCAGCTCCCTTATTTCAAAAACAACAAATAATGCCATTTCATGTGTTAAGAGACTATAGAACTGTAATTCTGGTGCATAATATTGTAATAAATAATATACCACTCCCATCACGTATATTTGTACAATCAGGTAGAGTCACGAGGAATGTTCTCATAAATAACTTCAATACTCCGCCCTATAGCAATACCTATGGTCAACGTCTAATACAGTATGTAGGTACAAAAATTTGGAACTCATTAAGCACAAACATAAAAGAAAGTAAAACATTTGCACTGACTGTAAAAAAGCATTATTTGGAAATGTTGTAAAACATGCATTTTATTTGTGAGGCACAAGCACGAGTGCCAGGACCGAACCGCATGCCTCATATTGGTACATTTGTATGGATCCAGAACTAGCCTTGCTGGCTAAGGATCCAGATGCGATATGCAGTGATTTGGATGTATACAAAATATGAATAAAGATTATTATTATTATTATTATTATTAAAGCATGTCACTCTTGTTTTGTTTTGCTACAGCTGTCGCCAAAAGGGGCGGCATGGCCTCGTCAGGCACTTCAAAGTGCCTTTAGCCATGTCCCCCGAGACATTCTGTAAGTTCTGTCTCAAATAAACTCATACATACATACATACGTAGCTCATTCCGCACTCCCATTAGCTGCGAGGTGATAATAAAATGCTCAGAAGTTGTCACGCCGCGCGTTTCTCGAGTCGGCGACCACGTTTTCAAAAACAGTTCATAGAAGAAACTTTTCACACTGTGGCCTTGACGTGTGACCTAAAGCAATACTTTGTTCTTTCTCTCTTTCTCTCTCTTTATCTTTGCCTCTCTATCTGTCTCTTTTTTCGCATTCATTTTGTTTCTCCGTTACAGCGCTGAGCAGGTACGGCGTGAACGCGTCAGTGCCTCTCTGCGACGTCCAGAGAGACGTTCTGCTGGACCGCATCCAAAAGGCCGCCGTGTAAGTGATAGCATATATGGTCCTTGATCGGACTAACCAGCCGGGATTACGTAATGCGCGAGTCGTGCCGACAATGGCTAAGCGAGCGCCCGCAAGTTAACTCGATGAACGTCACGAAGAGAAATATAAATTAGCCCAAAAGCTATTCGGGGTATTGAGCTGTAAAAGATGAGGTAAGCCGTAAACATTTCCTGGTCCTACACTGGTACACGCTAGCGTTTTCGCTTTGATCGACTTGCGCCACCCAATAATAAAATGTACACTCCTCGTCGTTTTCCTTGGACTAGGCGGTGAACCAATCGTTGCGATGTACGGAGAACGTACGGTGAATTATCGTACAAGGTCAACGTCGTGCTCGTTCTGCGCACGATTTCGCTGCAATGATTATTCTCTGGATGTGCTCCGTATTCGGATTGAGTCATTGGTCCATCACGTGCCACGCGAGAAAACAGACCGGCAAGTACATATATATATATATATATATATTTTTTTTTTTGTAGAGTGCATGCAGGATAAAACGCAGCAACAATTGAGTGACTCCTGCGAAAGTCACGCAGCTGGGGGGTACACTACGTATAGCACTGCTGTTAGTAATTGCGCAACTCAAGCCTCAATAAGCAATTGTTTTTCAAATAAATAATGGATAGAGTTTTTAGTTTGGGAGTTTGATGTTTGGGACACGAAGTGGCGAACGCATTACTCTGGGGAGTGGATGAGGACTTGCGAGTAAACGTGCAATTAACGCTTAAACGTTATTGTTAAGAAACCATCAGCGCGGTGGGATATTACCGCCAATATTTGCTTTTTATTTTATTTTAGGAAGAGGAAAAAAAGGAGGGGGTATGCATATTTATAAAAATTGAGTGCATTTCGGGCCGGGAGGGAAGCTCTAGCCCAATAATCCCCCCTATCTGGTTACGTTACTGACATTAAGATATGGCTTGCCCCAATATTGGCAAGTATTAGTACAAGTTTGGCATGTCTGGCCATCGTTACCCCACTTTTCGAGGGAACACAGGACAGAGTGACTATTGGATACGTCGCTCGAGAGGAGAGGAGAATAGTCTATGGGCCTGAAGACGCCGTAACAGTAGAACTATAAAGAAGGGTATTCATTATGGCCCGACGACGATTACATATGTAACCGGGAGAGGAAGTCATGGCGGTGATCCAGCGCCTTACGGTGCGTGCGTTGACACCGGCAGGGCATTCCTGTGCATCGTGCTCGTCATGATGCTCCTGGGAACGGTGGTGGACGTCTTCCTCCGAAGCCGCCATGGCATGGCCAAAAAGATCAGTGCGTGTTTTCTTTGTCTTCCCTGCGGTCTTCTTTGTACACCCTTGCGCGAAGTGTTCAAGTCACATTTCTTTTTTTCCTTCGCTTCATTTTATGACCGTGCATTCGGTGGTACAAAAGTAGAATATATTAATGTCGATATTGTGTTATCCGCACAAAATTTACAGTAGACAGTGCAATGAACGGTCGCACGGACGACGAAATTTCACGTGGTCTTACGTATACGTATCGCCGTTGTCAGTCATAAAGCGAGAAGGGTGACCGTAGTAAGCCTTGCCTTGCTTTTCAAGAAATCTGGTGTGTCTTTTTTTTCGGCAGATCAATTGGAAGAGAGAAGCGCTCCCATCTACAAAGGGTACTGGGCGAATGCCGAGCCTGAAACTATGCTGACCCTGAAAATGAAGTCTGCCTTGTGACACTGAGCGTCAAATTTCACGTGCTTACGTAATACTCACTGTCACAACGGCTTTGTCATTCGCCGAACGCCTTCCGTAGATTGCAATAATTGGCTCTTCAGCGCGCTTGCCGGGAAAGTGGCCGCGCTGGATTTTTTTTAGAGCGTTCAGCCAGTGTCGCCTGCACGACTACGAATGAGCCTCGAGGCTGTGTCCTGCTCGGCCCTGTTAACGCAGACGCGGTGCTGGACGCCCTGACGTCGTGGTCTGCGTACGGCAACACGCTCCGGCTGTTCGACGTGTCCGATGACGGCGGCCGGCTGCGGCCCCTGCACGGAATTCGCTTCCTCACCACGCTCTGGATCATCCTGGCCTACTCGCACGCGCTCACGCCCATCCCGAACCGAAGTGAGTACGCACGCAGTGAAGCGTCAAATCCGTGTGAGCAAAAAGCGCGTCGCGTCGATCTGCTGAATCACGTAGCTTATAGCAACCGTCGCTGACACTGTGTGACGTGACGGCGTGGCATGTGGCAGCGTCTGCGGCGATTGCTACGGCGATGGCCGATTTACATAATAATTTTACCTGCAATTTCGCAAAAAAAAAAAAAAAGTCTGCTGGAAGCTGCGGTGATCAACGTCGCAGCTGCGAAATCGCAGGGAAAATCGCACCACTTGAATCGAACTTTACGCCGCTCGGCGGCGTGACGTGGTGCGGTTATATCTTAGATGTGTTTCACGCTGAAAAGGGGTCACGCAGCCCAGCTGGTGAACAAGAGAGTGTTTTAGTAGATCGTTCAGTCACTCCCTCTACGCTATCCGCAATCCGCTACGACGATATCTATAGTGGAACCGCCATTTCAAGATTTAGTCGAACGTTCGCAACCAGCACGATTACAGCGTTAACGCAGCGCCACTAGCGGCTCTTTAAGACACCAAGGCCTTTGCAATTTTTCATTATGTTGCTATCTTAATAGAATATTCTTTTTTATCGAATAAAGTGCTAATCTTCGCTTCCCTTCTTTAAATAAGTGATTCTTATGTCTGTAATGGAATACAACTGACAGACAAGCTGTCCAAGCCAATCCGATATGCGTCAAACTCCAAAACCATCCAAAGAAATCTTTAAAATAAAAAAAAAATGACAACAACCGTAGTTCTTTTTTTCCACCGTTGCGATCGTTCTCCCTTCCTCTTTCTCTCTGTTCACCAAAAATGAAACTTCATGGAAATCCCTCAGCCTCCGCCTACTCGCTCACTTCCTTGGTCGGTTCTGTCCTCACGGCAAAAGCGGCCGAACAGGAGGCCGTACCTTTCGCTCACAGCACCACAAATTGCGAAGCTTCTTTTTCTTTTTTTTTTTTTAACGATAGTTTAATGGGCGACATTTTGCAGAGTTTTTGTCCCCGTCACTTGTCGCGGCGCGCGCGGGGAAAATGGAAGAACCCTTCCACTCTTCCCTTTTGCCGTGACCCCTTTGCTGTGACCGTACGGCGTGCCGCACGCAAAGAGCGAAGCGGGTAGCTCTGGCGTCGGGAGATTCGTCGTGCCGACTGCTTGAAAGACTTGTTTTCAAACATTACTCGCGTTTTGCGAAATCTCTTTGGTAGTGTCCAGTTGCTACGCGTAACGTAGGATGGTTTTAGGAACTTCCACTGCTCTTACCCACTTCAGGGATCAGTAGTCGTCAGTAGCTCTTCTTCGCTTCCCTTCTTTAAATAAGTGATTCTTATGTCTGTAATGGAATACAACTGACAGACAAGCTGTCCAAGCCAATCCGATATGCGTCAAACTCCAAAACCATCCAAAGAAATCTTTAAAATAAAAAAAAAAATGACAACAACCGTAGTTCTTTTTTTCCACCGTTGCGATCGTTCTTCCTTCCTCTTTCTCTCTGTTCACCAAAAATGAAACTTCATGGAAATCCCTCAGCCTCCGCCTACTCGCTCACTTCCTTGGTCGGTTCTGTCCTCACGGCAAAAGCGGCCGAACAGGAGGCCGTACCTTTCGCTCACAGCACCACAAATTGCGAAGCTTCTTTTTCTTTTTTTTTTTTTTAACGATAGTTTAATGGGCGACATTTTGCAGAGTTTTTGTCCCCGTCACTTGTCGCGGCGCGCGCGGGGAAAATGGAAGAACCCTTCCACTCTTCCCTTTTGCCGTGACCCCTTTGCTGTGACCGTACGGCGTGCCGCACGCAAAGAGCGAAGCGGGTAGCTCTGGCGTCGGGAGATTCGTCGTGCCGACTGCTTGAAAGACTTGTTTTCAAACATTACTCGCGTTTTGCGAAATCTCTTTGGTAGTGTCCAGTTGCTACGCGTAACGTAGGATGGTTTTAGGAACTTCCACTGCTCTTACCCACTTCAGGGATCAGTAGTCGTCAGTAGCTCTTCTTCGCTTCCCTTCTTTAAATAAGTGATTCTTATGTCTGTAATGGAATACAACTGACAGTCAAGCTGTCCAAGCCAATCCGATATGCGTCAAACTCCAAAACCATCCAAAGAAATCTTTAAAATAAAAAAAAAAAATGACAACAACCGTAGTTCTTTTTTTCCACCGTTGCGATCGTTCTTCCTTCCTCTTTCTCTCTGTTCACCAAAAATGAAACTTCATGGAAATCCCTCAGCCTCCGCCTACTCGCTCACTTCCTTGGTCGGTTCTGTCCTCACGGCAAAAGCGGCCGAACAGGAGGCCGTACCTTTCGCTCACAGCACCACAAATTGCGAAGCTTCTTTTTCTTTTTTTTTTTTTTTAACGATAGTTTAATGGGCGACATTTTGCAGAGTTTTTGTCCCCGTCACTTGTCGCGGCGCGCGCGGGGAAAATGGAAGAACCCTTCCACTCTTCCCTTTTGCCGTGACCCCTTTGCTGTGACCGTACGGCGTGCCGCACGCAAAGAGCGAAGCGGGTAGCTCTGGCGTCGGGAGATTCGTCGTGCCGACTGCTTGAAAGACTTGTTTTCAAACATTACTCGCGTTTTGCGAAATCTCTTTGGTAGTGTCCAGTTGCTACGCGTAACGTAGGATGGTTTTAGGAACTTCCACTGCTCTTACCCACTTCAGGGATCAGTAGTCGTCAGTAGCTCTTCTTCGCTTCCCTTCTTTAAATAAGTGATTCTTATGTCTGTAATGGAATACAACTGACAGTCAAGCTGTCCAAGCCAATCCGATATGCGTCAAACTCCAAAACCATCCAAAGAAATCTTTAAAATAAAAAAAAAAAATGACAACAACCGTAGTTCTTTTTTTCCACCGTTGCGATCGTTCTTCCTTCCTCTTTCTCTCTGTTCACCAAAAATGAAACTTCATGGAAATCCCTCAGCCTCCGCCTACTCGCTCACTTCCTTGGTCGGTTCTGTCCTCACGGCAAAAGCGGCCGAACAGGAGGCCGTACCTTTCGCTCACAGCACCACAAATTGCGAAGCTTCTTTTTCTTTTTTTTTTTTTTAACGATAGTTTAATGGGCGACATTTTGCAGAGTTTTTGTCCCCGTCACTTGTCGCGGCGCGCGCGGGGAAAATGGAAGAACCCTTCCACTCTTCCCTTTTGCCGTGACCCCTTTGCTGTGACCGTACGGCGTGCCGCACGCAAAGAGCGAAGCGGGTAGCTCTGGCGTCGGGAGATTCGTCGTGCCGACTGCTTGAAAGACTTGTTTTCAAACATTACTCGCGTTTTGCGAAATCTCTTTGGTAGTGTCCAGTTGCTACGCGTAACGTAGGATGGTTTTAGGAACTTCCACTGCTCTTACCCACTTCAGGGATCAGTAGTCGTCAGTAGCTCTTCTTCGCTTCCCTTCTTTAAATAAGTGATTCTTATGTCTGTAATGGAATACAACTGACAGTCAAGCTGTCCAAGCCAATCCGATATGCGTCAAACTCCAAAACCATCCAAAGAAATCTTTAAAATAAAAAAAAAAATGACAACAACCGTAGTTCTTTTTTTCCACCGTTGCGATCGTTCTTCCTTCCTCTTTCTCTCTGTTCACCAAAAATGAAACTTCATGGAAATCCCTCAGCCTCCGCCTACTCGCTCACTTCCTTGGTCGGTTCTGTCCTCACGGCAAAAGCGGCCGAACAGGAGGCCGTACCTTTCGCTCACAGCACCACAAATTGCGAAGCTTCTTTTTCTTTTTTTTTTTTTTTTTAACGATAGTTTAATGGGCGACATTTTGCAGAGTTTTTGTCCCCGTCACTTGTCGCGGCGCGCGCGGGGAAAATGGAAAAACCCTTCCACTCTTCCCTTTTGCCGTGACCCCTTTGCTGTGACCGTACGGCGTGCCGCACGCAAAGAGCGAAGCGGGTAGCTCTGGCGTCGGGAGATTCGTCGTGCCGACTGCTCGAAAGACTTGTTTTCAAACATTACTCGCGTTTTGCGAAATCTCTTTGGTAATGTCCAGTTGCTACGCGTAACGTAGGATGGTTTTAGGAACTTCCACTGCTCTTACCCACTTCAGGGATCAGTAGTCGTCAGTAGCGGTCCACGACGCTAACCACGACGGCTATGAGAATTAACCACGTCGCGTCTCCATCCTCAGGTATACCCTGAGAGCACCATTCTACCCGCATTGCGCGAAGGTGTTACAGCTATCGCTTTCGTTTATTTGCACATTGTAAGCGAAAAAATACTTTTTTTTCTTTCTTTTTTTTCCAGGCCGTAATTAGCATGTACACCATAAATAGCTACCTGTTGCAGTCCTGAAACGACTTTGTCGCGACACTACTTCTCGCAGCATGCAAAATATAAGCCACCCCTCAGAACCGCAATCGCGAAGCGGGCAGACCAGACAGGCGCGGCGTGGCTGACATCTTGAATTACGTCCCTCGTTGGCTTTCCCTAATCTCGCCAAGACTCGTTCTCGCGAGACCCAAGAAGGCACCGCGCTACGCGTGCTACGTTTCTCGCAACCTCCGTGAAATAGTGCGCCTCCGCCGGCTTCGGCAGCTCTGCTAACGCTTCGCAATAGCACCGCAGAAGCGGAGTAGTGTCGTCTCTCTATCGTATGTAGTGCCGTCGCTCTAGGGGCTGCCAAAACGATCTACTAAATCTCGCAACACTGAAACTTCAGGGAAGGAACCCCAATGACAAGCTGGAATAAAAAAGTTGCCCCCCCCCCCCTCCTCTCCCCCTCCACCCCCACCCCCATTTTTTAGTCGATAAATACACGCCACGTTCATAAAAATTCTTAACTTTAAATTATACTTGTTTTTACTCTCGTTCTAGCAGTCAATGATATATATGTTATTCTTTTAATAGTAATTAATACATTGACACGCATTTGGTCCCGTTTTATTAAAATCGAGAGAGATGAGTTTTATTATTTTTTAGTGCATAGCATACTATAGTCGGGCATCCTTTTCTACTTTTCAAACGTACTTACACATGACTAAATAAAATGTCATAGTGTTTAGCGATCTATGAGCCACATACTGTCAGCAAATGTAGCAGAAGCTACAAAAGCAAGCGCCTTGCTTTCAGCGTCCCAGTGCAATCATCGTTCAGGGAAACATGCTCGTGCTTGTAGCTTCGACTTCGTTGACAGATGAAGCAAACAAACTCATTACCACGAAAAAAAAAAAAAAAAAGCACACCGGGGAGATTAAGGGACGAGGTGTCCTCAGCGGCAGTCCCGTCTGGTTCCAGGATATCTTTGAGGTCGCCTCTTTCAGGAAGAATCTTCAACATGTTCGACTTCGTCAAGGAGACGCCCTTCATGTTCATCGCCAACGCTTACCCGGCCGCCGACACCTTCTTCTGCCTCAGGTACTCCTATCACTGTCACGGAAGGAGCGCCGCTCGTATTGCCTTCTGTGTTCGTTAGACGCTTAGACCTTCGTTGCTTAATTCTGCTGTTGTTCTTGCTGCTCTCCCTCCCATGTGACGTAAGTACAGTTAAGGCTTCTAGCTTACAAAAATTACTGGCTAAAACTGAACTAAAAAACTAAAAGTAAAAGTAAAGAAAAAAAAACGCAGAAAAGCTGGTGAACTTTATTATAAACCCGAGACTGAAAGCAAATAGAAAAACGGACGACCGTAGACACACTCTCAAAACACCGAGCTATAGTCATTGACAGAATCAGAACGGCAGGGCGTTTCTTTCAAATGCCCCCGCCTTTAGCACGCGCTTGTTGCCTTCCGCGGTGCTTTGGCTGCGTGTGCACGTTTGAGGCTCATGAGATGCCAAAGCGTTATAGACTGTAGAAGGCTCCCACTGGAGGCGGAACAACTGAAACCCTTCCTTGCCGTTCTCACTCTGGCGGTGACTATAGTCAACGAAATCTGCACTGCGTTTGGTTCAACAGGAGGAAGAAAACACGAGTTATTATTTGCTGGTGGCGGCAAGGTTGTTTCATAGAGTTATTATAATGTAAGCTAGAGGTTCAACTGGCGCTAGTGTGCTGCTGCAAATTGAAGCAGACAGCAACCAGTCCGAAATTGACTTCTGGTAATGCATTTCTATGGGAAAAAGGGAGTGCGTTTTCTCTCTGCACTCGATTATAACAGCAAATATCACGAATAATTCGTACGCACTAGGTAGCTTGGAACATTTCTATGTGACGCGGACGAAATAATTGGTCAGTTACAGCGTTTTTATTTGAAATTCGTGGCACGAAAAACGGTGCTAAAACCGCTTCGTACGTGTATTTATGTGCACTGTCGGACACTGTTAGCGCAAATACGGCGTCGGCGCTTTCCAGCGTGGGGAATATACGTGCCAAACGAACGAAGGACATGTGGAAAACCAAAAGAGACGGCAAGAACTACGCAGTATAGCACTGAATAAGTAACTCCTCGTGCATGCAGACGATCAAAAATAAATTGAAAGTCACGTAATATAGTCATATTTTCAATAAATGAGTACTGCTTTATTTTTACTGTCCCTGAATATGTGCGAAGGTGCTTGTTCTGGCTTCAAATCATCACCCGCACTCTCCAAATCTTTGCAAATAGGGAGAAGCCAGAGAACAGGTGCCCGATTAAAACTCCCCGACATAGGAAATAATAAAGACACCTTTCGTAGCCCACATACCTTCTTTTTTTAACAGATCGTAAAGATGCACGACGGAGTCATTTTTATATAGTGAGAGAACGGGCATATTAGCAATATATAAGCGCCACCGGAATGCTATAGCTAACTTTGAACGCACTCTGTATTCCTTTCGATTGTTATTTTGCTTAGAATCGTCACTCATTTTTACATACCTGCCATACCCAAATGATGAGGGTTGGAATGCGAAAGACGAAACGGGAAAGGACCAAATACGACGGGTCAAAAAGATCTTTTTGAGAATGGTTGTTTTGAGAAGGGCCAGGTGAGAAGGTCGAAACGAGAACGGGCTCAAATGATAACCGCCCATTTATCTCTTCTATGCGCCGATAAAGTGAGGGAGAGGAGGAGACGAGAGGGGACGTTAGAACGCCGAGCTCTGGTTGGTTAGATTAGTGGGTAGACCTAAAGCCAGCAGCCTTTGTCTCCACTGCACTCGTCGAACGAGTTCGAATCCGAAAGCCAAACGCCGGACGCCGGCGTTCCGCGTTCTAACGCGTTCGACGAGTGCAGTGGAGACAAAGGCTGCTAGCTTTAGGTCTACCCACTAATCTAACCAACCAGAGCTCGGCATTCTGGTATCCCCGTGCTGACGATGACGAGAAAAAATCTAGTGCACGCTGTTCGAACCAGTACTCGGAAGAGTTGGAAAGCCTGCCGAGCGCTCACTTCCGGGACAAGCCGCTTATTTCCGGTGGCTTCTCATTTGTTTGCTCAATGCGACATCCAGTCCCCTAGTGGGGTTTGGGCACGATACTCTGAGTGTGCATTGGACACGAGGGTTGCGTCTGCATTGGGCAAGCACACGGATCCATTCACACGCTCTGTCTCCAAGCAATGGCGTCCGCCAACCTTGCTCGATAGACCTTTGAAAAGGGTCTATTGCACTAAGATACTGAGGTTGGTTAGTTGGATGTGCGTGATATAAAAATTAAATAGCGCAAAGGTTAGACAAAGGACAAAGGACAGCTTTCGTTTGGTTCATGGGTAGTCTCAGTCTGTATCCGGAAAGCGGCCTTTCCGGATACAGACTCAGCGCAGAAGACGGCCATTCCAATAGCCGTCTTCTGCGCGCTGCCATCTTTGATTACTGGGTTGTGGAACGCGTTCTGAGCATGCGCAAAGCAGCTATCCTCTGGGTGTAGTGTCTCAAGCCGCGCACGGACCCACAATGCAAAGACACGGCATCTTTTTGCCTACGCGTTGGAAAGGTGCACTGTGTAAACAGCTTAATTTGCTCGAGAACCTTATTTCCGCGGAATTTTTAAACAAGCACCGCGAAAAATTTATTACGCGAATATATCAGCCGATGGTAACGAATACATAGCGTGTCATGTTAGATGGTGAAATTTTGTGGCCGCGAAATATTCCCGAAACCCGCACTCCACAAATTCGCGAAATATTGAGCACGCAAAAATAGAGTTGTTACAGCATTATTATTTTTACCAATAAAATCGGTAAAAAGTAGTTTTTTTTTTTTTACCGATAAAATATTTTACCGATAAAAATAAAATCAAGGTTAGGATAGTCTAAACATAATTTGTTAAAACTTTAGTGTTTATTTTTTTTTTTTTTTTTAATAGAGGATTATGCTGCTACGGTTCTTTGGGACTCGATCGGAGCGTTGTTCAGGCAGTACAGGATATTCTTTATCCACCGCTTTACGAAGCGTTAGGTCTTCTATGCTGATGTACGCCTCTAATGGATGCACCATCAGCAACAATAAAATAATTCGAACCTTGGACAGACGAAAAACAATAGCCACGAGTTTTTCTGCCACGACTTGAGAACCCCGTATTGAGCCCTTATAGTGGAACGCCGAACAAAAACAAAAATTCAGACAAGATTCTCGTACTGGTCCTCCGCAGCGGATTCCTGTTCGGGTACAGCATCTTCAAGCAGCGCCATAACATAGGAAAATGGCTGCCCGTCCTGCTAGTCAGGAGGTATATCAGGTGAGTGTGCTAACCTTGCAAAGACACCGCCGATTCTCTATGTAATTTACAAACACTATTAAAAAAGAGAAAAACAAAAACGAAAAAACGTCGATATTTTTATTATTATTATTATTATTTGTTTTATTGGTGCGACCGTGCATCAGGAATCATACTTGAGAAAGTTTGCCGTGTTCACCGCATTGTGCCTGCGCGCGCAGGGTTATCGTGCCGTCCATGTGCCTGCTGTTGGTGTTCTCGCTGGTCGAGCTGCTATCGTCGGGCCCCATCTGGCGCGACGGCTACGCCATCCTCCGGGGAAACTGCATGGCCCGCTGGTGGAAGATCCCGGCCCTTATCAACAACTGGGAGCACAGCCTGGACTCGGTCAGTGCGAGCACACTTGTAGCTCATTGATGCCAGCGTAACGCCAATACGACGCCCGTATGATGCCAACATGATGCTAACTTTGCCGCATCCATGGCCGAGAAGGAACGTTCCTCCTTACATCTACAAGATTCGCGTTTACTCCTGTCCCAAGTGTAGTGGATAAGGAGCCCAGCGTGGCCTTTCCGACTCATTCTCGACACCCTCGCACAAGCCAGCTGTCACTCCGACACCTCGACGCTCGCCACTGTTTTCTCGATGCTAATTCTTTTTTCTTTTAGCGCAAGTTCACCGATTATATCTTTATTTTCAGTTTTACACGTGTTGATCATTTTGCATCTGCGACAATGTGATGCTGATATGAACTATACTTCGCTGGCCGAGATGAAAACAGCGTAAGAAGAAACAAGGGACGGATCAAAGAAACGTTCACGCATATAAGCGCTCTGTACGTTTCTGTACGCTTACGTTATACTTCGCTATGCAACACAAACTCGCCCGAGTTTACGCTCTTCACAGCACCTGGTGTGCACGTTTCTTCGACCTGTCCCATGCCTCTTTTTTGAGCTGTTTTCATTTAGCAATGCGTCACAAACTAGCTCAAGTTTACACTTTTCGATAGTTCGCTATAGTCCGCCAATGTCGCCGACGTTTCTGGTAAATCAGATAACCTGCTTGTACACAAGAAACAATGGCTAACGTTTCGGATAGAATGACGCCAGACAAAGTTTGTTCTTCTGATACCACGACCAGTGCAGGTAATACAGAGATGCGTTTTATTAGCAAATGTGCGAAGTGAGCATGTTTGAATATACAGGGTGAAACAAGGAGACGCCAGGCTCTTTAAATCGACCGGAAAATTCGGTTTCTTAACCTATCGCGCTACGACTTTGTGCAGCATTGCCCGCAGATGGTGCATTTCTTTGTAAAATTTGCAAAGAGCGAACTTACCTAAGGAAAAAGTAAAGAAAGAAAAGGGCTGAGCTCCTATGGACACGCAGCGAGCCACCGGTCTGCAAACAACACGGCGCCGTTTCGCACGTGAGACAAGAGATGGCGCAAGCGGTCGCGACGCCAACTGCCGCCAACGAACGAGCAGACGACGCCGAGAGCCGGCCCTTTTGCAGACAAGGAACTGCAGTTCCTTGCTGTTACCGCGCCTGTCTTTTTTGTTTCTGCGACTGTCGCCGCCTGCGGAACGCGCGCCGCTTTTGAGTCGAAAAGATCGCCTGCGAAAAAGGCCTGCTCTCGGCGCCGTATGCTCGCTCGTTGGCGGCGTTTGTTGCGCCATCTCTTGTCTCCCGTGCGAAACGGCGCCGTGTTGTTTGCAGACTGGTGGCGTCGCTGCGTTTCCATAGGAACTAAGCCTTTTTCTTTCTTTACTTTTTCCTCGGGTAAGTTCGTTCTTCGCAAATTTTACAAAATGAATGCACCATCTGTGGGCAAAAACGCTGCACAAAGTCGTAGCGCGATAGGTTAAGAAACCGAATTTTCCGGTCGATTTAAAGAGCCCGGCGTCTCCTTGTTTCACCCTGCATATTGCTATATGGGACTCCGACCGAAAAACCAGCTGCGAAAATTTTAGCTTGTTACGTCAGTTACCATACTATGAGCGTTGAATAGTGCTGATTACATTTGCCCAAACTTTCCGATTTTGTTCCTTACTGCTGCGGTAATTCTTTATATGCATAATGCACCGTTACTCCAACCACGAAATGCTAAAATTTGTTAAGACAAGGAAAACATGTTTACCAGCAAAAAAAAAATATATGTTTATGTGCATCGCTGCGCAGTTGAGCGTGCGCAAACGTTGGTGTCTGAAAAACAGCTCCAACTGCTCACTGACTATCAGCTGAGCCACCTTCACGACTTCGGATTACTCGGGATGCACCGCGACAACATAATGTAGCGCTACGAAACGCAAGCCAGCGGGCACAAGATTGAGACTTCGTCTTTCCGTAATAACTTTGAGCCAGAAGCAGCCACGTTCGACGACAAACAGGCAGACCGGAAGGAAGTATATAAGGAAGAAAAACTTGGGGGAGCAACGACCGTGTGGCAATCAGCGCGAGCCGCGTCGTGCTTTCTGGTGCTTGGGGAGCGATCGTTGTCCAGCGGTACAAATTGCAAAATGTCGTCTTTCACCACAACTTCACAGGCCCGAGAGCATCGAGAACAGGACGGCGGGGGCGCTGTAGCGTTCCGCTCGGGCCAGCGCGACTTCCTTGCGAAAGGCGTTTGAATAGAGGCATTACGGAAGAAATACGCGGTCTGCGGTTCCTTTGGACAACGCGGAGAGAGCGTCGTCAGTGTACTTCGTAACGGATCATGAGAACAGGAGAAAGACGTATACTTTCGAAGCACGAAACCACGCACCGTTTTGCAGCCGTTCAGACCGGAGCCATTCTGGCACAAACAACTGGTGTATATTTTTAACATTTTACAGGTATGTTTAGAAAAAAAGAAGCCGTGAAAGTTGCGTAAGGCTTGTGGTGCGAAAATGCCCCGCGCGATATTTCTGTACCTCATCATCCGCGGTTTCGTACCGCCAGCATTGCACCCGTTGCACGAGTGGTAACTTTTTGCAGCGCACCACCGCGCATCCAACGTGCCTCAAACATTTACATTTTTAGTGGTTTTCGATGACGCATAGCAAGTTTCTTATTGAAACCATATGTTTATTTTCACTATTTAATAAGTTATTAACAAATTTTAGTTAATCATCCTACTTACCGTGAGATTACCCCTCTATATTTCGTCCCCTTGGTCGCGTAACTAATCTGCTCAAACCGCGTTAGTGTAACTTTCACGACGTTTATTTTCTTAAACTAATCTGTAAAGCCCAAAAAGAACGCCCTGTAGATGCGAGATGACGTCACGTAATTGCACTGCTTCACGTAACTTATATCTAACGTGATCATAGTTATTGCTCGATCGTGTAGCCTGTGTTGATTATGTAATCACATAGCCTATATTGATAGCGTGATTACGTAACTACGTTTATTGCCTCGCTTGAAGAAGAAGGCTGCGCTTATTTCCGATCGCAAATATCATTGTCATTATGGGGTATTCATTGACCGCCTAGCTGAGCACGTTGCAGCGAAACGCGTACTGATGGCGAACTTCCACAATGGTAAACAGTGGGCTCCACCGAGGGCGTCGTGCAAATTATTGTTGACCGTATCTGTTTGTTTAGAATTGCTCAGAAAAAAGCAGACAGTGACCGTTCTAGTAAAGGGCAGATGCCGTCTTCAGAATTGCCTGTAGCACTCACATGCTCTTTCTGCTCACTTACCGAAGCGACGAAACACGCGAGCGGTGGGCTGTGGGGGGGTTACACGCAGCGCTGTGCATTGGAAGGGTGCATAACACACGAGACAGCGCGCGTCCTCAAAGCCGGCTGGGGGCGGCTTCCGAAGCATTTCGCCTCGGGAACGGAGTCAAGGCGTCGGACCACAATGCATTCGCGTGTCAGCGCTGCTTAGCTGGGCTAGGGCAGTCAGACCGCATCGAGTCGCTCGACAGAGCAGTCATTCTTGACCCGCTTAGTGCCAGCAGGCATGCGGGGGACACGAACGACGCCCGTCGCCCGATCGCGATAACAGCCGACCGACGATCAATGCAAACAGCGAACGCGGCGAGAAAGTCCGACCCGCTCTCCAAGTAGCGCCCTTGACCGCGAGCTGTTCCGTTTTTTTGTAAGAGTCGGGTTTATTTTTTGTTTGCTAGCGGTGTTTCTTGTCGAAGCAGGGACGAATGGCCGTCATAATCGTCGTCGTAAAAGTACCAAAGGCTTTCTTGGGTCATCTAGATTACGAACTGCGTGTGTCAGGGTTTTTCGCGCGTGGCGGCTACGAATGAAGGCCGGTCAAGAAGTATACTTTCGCTCAATCAGTCCACCTTTAAATTGGGCAGAATAAATTGACCTAACAACTTTCATGAGGTTTCTTTTTTTTTTTTATCAGTTGATTCGTGCGTTTATACATAATACATAAATACGAAGTATTTCGTAACGTACATTTATTTTCGATGTGTATCTGTGCCTACATCTCAGCTACTGATAGAAAGTGTGACAGGCTCCTGATCTTGATGTCGGGGCCGCTAATATGCGACATATTGCGATTAATATGAACGACGTAGAAAGATATTCCGTTTAAAGTGGATGCAATATTAATATCATTCGCAATATAAATAATTCATAATCACCAAATCAAACAGCACAGGTCAGACTCATTATTCCCGGCAATCTGTGTTGGCACGCCTCGCTTGACGTGTTGCCAATGTGAGTACTACAAAACGCAAACACGGTGAATTTATTTTTGTACTGGCCCGATTCCGCAGTGTTTGCCGCACCTGTGGTTCTTTGCGGCTGACCTGCAGCTGCTGGTTGCTTTCTCACCGGCAGTGGTGCTATTGGTCAGGTGAGAAGCTTTTTTTCTCAAGCCCTATTATTAAATACCAAATACTGCAAATCAGACGTTAATGAACGAAAAAAGCGCCGGACACATGAGCGGATTCAGTAAACTTTGATTATCACGGAAGCTAAAAGAAAGCGCTTTTTGCTTTTTTATGTGCCACCGTATTTTTTTTTTTTTTTTTAAGAAAACATGGATCTTTTTTAAATCGTGTTTTTTTTTTTCTTGTTGGATATGTTGTGAACATAGTTTTAACACCTTGCCTACTAATAACGAGTGTCACCCTTACGGACCATAAAGCTCGACCACGAGTGCGACTCGCGTTTCGATTTCGGCGCTTGTTTAACGCGCTCTCTGGCAGATGGCGAAACCACCCCTGTTGCTCCATTCACCCAGGGCAGTTCGCTCGTTTGGTGTGGTATTTGGCAGAGAGAAAATGCTCCTTTTTGCCAAGAAAAATTAAGCAGTCGCTCGTGAGCGTTCACGCTAAAACAACGTGGCCTCGGCGCGGAGGTCCACTTTAGCGGACAAATAGCTACAAAACCTTCTTTTTGAGTAGGATTAATGCTGAGGCATATGTGACGACGAATCCTTCAGCCTTTCCGATTTTAGGAATCGGACGATAGTTTGATGGGCAGCGACAGGAGTGATGAAAACAATGCGAATCATGCAAGCATTTTATCAATCTGACGTCTGCAAGTCAGTGGGGTTCTGAAGAGAAATATATGACACCTGGAAATCGAGGAAATAATTGTGTCTTATTTTGATGCAAATTGCCCGTCTACAATAAAATTTTGCTGAGCGTTCCTAAAATAAAAAAATGAGTATGCAAGGGGTCAATAATGTCTCGTGAACATGCATGGACCATTAATTAAGACACGCGACTGTGGAAACACCAGTTCTGCCAGGGTCGCAAGCGGACGAAAGACCGGCGGCATATAGTGCATGACTAATTCTTAGTTAAAATCGTTTGGCTCTGTTCAATTTGTTCACTGTGCCAAAATATGCAAGCTAGACCGAGCACTTATGGGCCATAATGAAAAGCCCGTCTGCTCGATATATATATATATATATATAAAAAGCCCTGAAGTTTGTTTTTTTCTTTCCACGAGGCAGATCTCCCAGACTGGGGCTCATTCTCACCATAAGTATGGTCCTCGGCTCCACCCTGTACGTTGCCCTGCAGACCTACTACAAGGATCTCTACCCCGTGACCATTTTCTTCGCCGATAACGTCATGTGAGTATTGCGGCGGCAGGCGACTTCCCTCTACGACGCAAATGATGACTAGATCGTGTCGCAGCCGCGTCCATCTTCTCGGCTGGTGGCATAAGGCCAATCATTAATCAGATACGTGATTAGAAATAACTTATAAGTTAGAGGTACATTTCTAGCTAATATCGAGACTGTATAACTGCATTTTCTTAGCGGTGCTTTGTGATAGACATGAACGTGAGCTGCTGAGAACAATCTGAAAACAGGTAAGAAATTGAGGAGACAAAAAGCGTGACATCGTGTGAAAAAATATCTGGAGCTCCCTTTTAAAAGTGACCTCAATTCACTTAAAATTACCTATCTGTACACCAGCTAAGCCGCAGATCCCCGAGAACTTGAGACCAGTGAACGAGGATGTAGATAGGCCTAACACCTCCTGGCCCCATTACAGCGCACCTGGGAACATGAACTCAAACTTGGGGAAAATGACGTCGACAGTGGTGCAGCGTGCATCGAGCGTGACGTTAAAAGACGTCACAGTTCAAGGTCTCTACAGCCGCTATAGGTCGCTGAGACAGGGTATTGACAACTATCATTTGCGACTGGTCATGACAGGATCTTCAGACGGCACGTGCATCAGCCGCGCTCACACCAGTACTAGTTTTCATGTAGCAACAGTGAACGCCCACGTGATGCTCCATGCGCTCCAGAATTAAAGGGCTACAAATAGATATATTTAGCTTGGGTGTAACGATGGCACACTCTGACGGGTCACCGCCCTCTCGAATTTCTTGCTGTCCCTCGATCTCTGACATCACTATAGCCCATCTTGCGCTCTCAGCGACGTTATGGTAGCTCGAGTTTGTCGTTGGCAACCAGACGACCAGTATAGACCTGAAGTTTTGAGCCGCGCCCCTGGCGAGACAATAGTCGCGTTTAGCCTTTCAAACGCTCAGTGCCCACAAACAAATATCTATACGGAGCGCAAGTTCGTCTGCTCCTTGCACAGGGGTTGCGATGATGTCGGACGCCAAGCTCTTATTGGCTGACTGAAAACAAAATAGGGGGTAGACCAATCAGAACTCGGCGTCATACTGACGTCACAGCAACCCCTGTGAAAGAAGCAGACGACTTACTCTCCGCATACCCCGTTCACCCTTAAGCTGAGACTGCAGCAATGCCTCAAGCACGAGAGCTCGAGGTCTCTGCTTTGAAGTGTTCCTCCCCAGAACGAGCGCTCCCGCTAGAAATGCACGTCTCAAAGTCAGGAGCGCCGGCTAGCTCGCGCTTGTAGCTCTGGATGCAGTTTCAGCTTAATTAACGGTGAACAGACAGTTTCTGCCCGTGGATCGCGCGTGGTGGGGCGCTTGGACGCCGCTTCACGTCAGCATTAGATGGCCGCGTCTCGCGGACGTTAGCGGCCGACACGCGGGTTTGATGTCACGGAGCTGCGGCGGCGCTGCGATCGCGCCGGAGCTAGGGTGCCTACATGTCTGTCTGTCTCAGGGTGAAGACGTCCATTGTTGCCTGAATGTGCCAGCGCGTGACGCTCTCGCGCACTCCGTGCGTGTCTTGGGCGGTAAAATGGCGTCTATGCATTAGCCAAAGATACGCGCTCGAGCTGAGTGACACCGGATTGCGCGCACTTCAAAACGCATAAGAAGACGATTGGGCGGAGAAATGGCTGAGTTGGCACCACTCAAGCAAAGGCGCGCGTGTGTATGAAGGCACTCTAGCCGGAGCCGGGTGGTGTGGGCAAAAGCGCGCCCGTTTTGCATGGGCGTAATAGCATTTCAGCATGCCGCGAGGCTGTGTAGCCGTTAATTGCACTGAAATGTACAGAAAAATTAGTGGAGTGAGTTTCCACAAGTTCCCGGCGAACTCTGAAAGGCGCAGAAGGTGCGTAATATTCGTGGATCGAAAAGAATGGTCGCCTCACGCGAACGACCGTTTGTGCGGCAAGCACTTTCTTGAAGGCAAGTGCGGCTTCCATTTCAATCTCCGTCCCGAGGCTTTCTGATGTTCAGAAAAACCTTAGTCTGATCGAGACCACCCGGGTTTTGTTCCCACGGTGCTCGCGCACGAAGCACCGGCCAAGCGCTCGTCGGAGGCTCGCTACGCCGGTACTACCAAGCAGAAGGGGATCGGCGACAGAACGGCAGTGTTGAAGGCGCTACGGAAAAAAAAGTAACGAAATATGTTACTCGTTACTTGCAAATAAAAGGTAAGCGTTACCGAGTTACGTTACCCAAAAATAAAAGGAACGCGTTACCGCTACCGATAAGAAATGACGGACGTTACTTCTGCGTTACTTTTTAAATTATGATTTAACAGATTTTACTGTTTTGACGATACAGCTATGCATAAGCTCATATATCAAGACACATTATGTTCATGCAAAAACGGAACATAATTACTTCTTTTACGGTTTCACCTAAATACTCACGAGAAAAAATGCAAAGAAAAACGCAGAAAACTTAGAAATTTACATGGCTTGACGCCTAAAAACACGGAAAAAATTGAAGTATAATTTCATTAAGACTTGGGAAGTATATAACGAGTAACGTAACTACGTTACTTGAAATAGTAACGTAAGTACGTTACCCGCTAGTGTGTCGCAAAAGTAACGAGTAGGTATACGTTACTGAAAAAAGTAATGCGTCCCTGGCAACGCTCTTACATGTAACGTGTTACCGCGAAGACTGCAGAACAAAGTGTTACTGCTTGTCATGCCTTGTGAAATAAGGGTAGGAAAAATATCATACCATGACTTGAAGACGCTGTGTGTATCTAATCAATTAATAAATACACTCCCGCAGACCCACAGTCTGCTGATCCCGCCGGCAGTGCGGAAACCGACTCGCCTCGAGGGACTTGTACGTCTGCACCGTGTCAGCCGTGAACTGGCTTGGCGAAAAAACCAAATAAACGACGGCCTGAGTCGTCGACTTCGGTGGCAGCAACTTCACGTCGGAAGTCCAGCAGACCTTGTTTGCGGCGTACGGATCCTCCCTTGAAGGCAACGCCGTCCACGCACAGTTTGTTTTGATACCGCTGCCGTTCAGGCTCGGGTAGCGAGCTCAAATAGTCGGGCATAGCATACGACGTACGTTGTCAGGAAATACGACGCACAAATAAAGCTAGAAGCGTCCTCACAACGTCAACAACGAGCGCACGCCACACGACGCAATGGCGAAAACACGGAGAGCCGGGCCGCTTTTGCCCACATAGCTTCCGCGCATGCGCGGCCTTCCGGCCGTGTTTGGTAAACAGAGCCGCCCCGCGTGTCGGTCTCAGGTCAAGAACGAAGTGGAAGCTCCTCTCACCTCTTCCCACTTTAGTAGTGCGAACGCTGGAGAGGAGGCAACATCCTCTCCACCGTTCGCTCCGCTGAAGCGGAAAGGGGTCGGAGGTGCTTCCACTTCGATTATGACCTGTCACCGGCTATAGTGGACGCTACTGTGCGCACTGGCCGAGGGGAACAGAGGTATATCCGATCGGGATGTTCACGCAGGAAGTCTCGGCGCACCAACACGGAGGTCTTCAAGCGTCCGTTCGCGCACGCGGGCGCCTTCGCCCTGGGCCTTCTGCTGGCCCTGGTGCTGCGTTCCCGGACCCAGTGGGCGCAGCGCGGGGCCACGACCGCGGTCCGCCTGGCCGGCTGGGTTGTGTCCGCGGGCTGCGCGCTCGCCGTCATTCTGGGCGTGGAGCAGTGGCACAAGGGCGTCATGCCAAGTCAGGCCATGGCGGCGCTCTATGCCTGCCTGCACAAGACCACCTGGGGCGCCTTCATCTGCTGGGTCGCCTTCGTCGTCTGCACCGACCGAAAGGGTAAGAACACCAGCCGAAGGAGAATGAAAAACAGCCGAAGCCTGACATTGTTTGAGATTCGTATATGTTAACCCAGCTTTTTTTAAGCACTTTTATACATTATGTTTCTTCATACCTTGAAAAATAAGATTAATAAAAACTATGCTCTCAGCTTTGCTTTTTTTTTTTTCTTTTTTGGGATGTTTGAGATGGGCATTGTCATACTCGCGTATTTGCGCGTTATATAAATATCTCAAAGCTAAGAGCGCGGGCCATATCGTGCTTGTAGCTTTGGACGTATTTTCAGCTTCATTCGATCCAAGAGCTCGGCGTTCTGACGTCCTCTCTCGCCTCCTCCTCCCCCTCGGTTTCTCGGCGCATAGACCGCAAGGGATAAGAGTGTACATGTTTACCCCCCTGGAAGGATGGCTCTTCCTAACGCACCGCCATGACGCAGAGAAGCTAGAGTCCCAGGAGTTATTCGTCAAGATTCACGAGATAAGCACACGCTCAACTTCAGAATGCGTGCCCACTGTTCGCGAACGTACGCGAGGTAGCTTCCAAGGCAGTCGAGCTTGAGTTCGTAACCTTCGTGTGGTTCGATTTTTCGGATAGCGGCGCGTGCGACGCTGCGCGGGAATGAGGTACGACAAAGTATTTGCAAAGTTTCACGGGTATTTTTTTTTTTTTTTTTTTTTTAAATGAAAATTTTTAATCCCTTTTCAGGGAAAAAAAAAAAGGCGACAAAAAACGCGTGTGTGACGCGCAACATCGTGGTTTCTGTTAGAGAAATTGATATTAGCATTTTGATTTTGCCATGTGCCACCGTCTGACGACTTTCTCGCAGTTGCCGCGTGAAAATGGAGTAGTTGGAGTGTGGGACTCGAAATGTAGATGAAGCTGCAGCTAGTTCATGTGACCAAGTCTGGTTGTCATTTAAAAATTGGAATACCGGCAGTAGTTGCTGTAAGGCATTGTATGTTTGAATTGACAGCAAACATCGCACGAATGGAGTTGAACGTGACAAAAATGCGCGCCTACGGGACCACAATTGCACAAAAAGTGCGTCCAGTAAATGATTGTGTTCGTTACAGTGTTGCCGCTGCATGTTTTTTTTGTTTTTTTTTTTATAAGTTACGGGAAATTCTTTGTAGACGCTGTTTTGTTTGGGAAGAACTGCGGGATTAAATATTACATAACTAAACTGACAAAACCACTAAGAATCGGACACCAAGCAAACAAAGTGCACCGGTTCTTGGATTATAAATGTGAGAGCTGCCTGATGTTCCAGGCATTTTGTCGCGGTTCCTGTCCTGGGGACCCTTCGTCGCGCTGAGCCGGCTCTCCTACGGGGCATACCTGCTGCACATCCTCGTACTCTACATCCGGTTCGGAAGCATCCGAGAACGCCTCTACAGCAGCCACTTCGTACAGGTAAGTTCTCCGGTCGTGTCATCAGAAACAAGTACGGAGTCTGCTACTCAAATCTTCAAACACGGGGTCTGCCACCGAGTTAAATCTTCAAACACTGCAGCATCGGCTGATCGCTCCCCTTTGTATACTTGATGGTATCAGCGTGCTCATATATGGCGATCGAGAACCGACGCAGAGATTGACCCCGATCGAAATGAAACGCTGTCATTCCGTTTCGGAAGGCTCCTGTCTCACCGGCTATTAGAAGCGCCCCTTTTTTGGGCGAGAACGTTAAAAGTGACCCAAACGAACATAAGTTGGCCGAAAGCAGACGACTAAGATAACTTTTATCTGTCCTAATGTAAAACATTATATTGCCACCTCCGACCCCCGTATGCGTCTTAGACATGAGAAGCAACCATTGTTGTCACTTCCCCCAAAGTGCAATAATCACGCAAGGTTTGGAAGCATCTAATTTTGTCCTATGTTGGGACATTCAACACGTTACACTCAGTTTTCGTCGGAAAGCAGTACTTAAGTCCATGAGCTTATCATATGATAGTTAATTTACAAATGCCTTCGCTGCAAGCGGACGATCGGCTTTTACAAAGTACTGACGCAACAAATAGAACAAATATGGTTACAGATACATGTGTAGTCGTTCATAAGTGTAGCTCAATTAGCATCGATGCACCTTACGCGTTTGCATACATCCACGCCTACCATTCTACACTATACAATGCTATCGTTCTTCGATGTGTCCCATCCGTTTATCGTTTTCATTTTTTTTCTCCGCCAGCTGTGCGAGTTCATCGTGGTCACGGTGCTGTCCTACTCGGGCGCCTACGTGTTCTACCTGCTCTTCGAGGCGCCCAGCACGCGCTTCCTCGGCATGGCCACGTCGGCCGTCCTGGCCAGGTTCCCCGAGGAGCCTCCGCAGCAGCGCCTCGACAACCTCACCGTCGACGAGAAGAAGAAACACCCGCCCTGCCCGCTCCGGGCCAAGGAGTTGGAAATACCCGTACCCAAGTCAACTCACCTCTAGGGCAGCGGTCCATGTCCGACCAACAAGCGTTGCCCCTGTGGACTTACTTTCAGAACTTGCGAGCAATCTTTGGTACGCCCGTGAACATGGTGTATAGATGGCGCAGGACCTGGCTAGACGCTTCTCAGCCAATCGAATTGCTCCATCAGCCGATAAGAAAGACGAATGACGAAGCGTGAACAGAATAAGTTACACTAGTTCACTACAGTGAACTAGTTATACTGGTAAAGAATGGCTTGTGTGAGGGCTCCAGTCCGGTGGTGGCCATCCTGAATGGGTACAGCGCGGTTTTTAATTTAAAAAAAAAACAGAAAAAAAAAACGTAAAAAACAAATATTAAAAACAATTATATCGTGAACATATTCCCTTTGTTCTCTGGGATTCATGGGCAAAATATTGTAATCATAGCTATGTTTGTTTTATTAATTAGATTAATAATTAATAAATATTTTCACGGGTCTTATAGTTTGGAGGATAATAATCTTACATCCCGTGCTGCATGCCATGATGAAGAAGTGAACGAAAGATTTTCGGAATTTCTTGTGGGTTTGAGTTGTGAAACTGCGTTTAAAACATTGTGTTGCGAAGAGATTTTTTTTAACACTAACGAAAGTTGAAAAACAAAATCTCGTTTCAATTTTTTATCGAGTACGCGTTGTAAAATTATGCACTACATAACTTTAATGTCAGAGGTGAAGGACATGAACCCCCAGTCAATACTTCTTTGTTAATTATCTAATTAAATAATTCGCCTTTAACTATCATAGTTCGCACACAAATTTCCAAGAGCAAAGTGATTGCGGTAGCAAGGAGGCCACCTTCGAATATTCGTTTTTAACATTTGTTAATCAATTGAACTCCGTTTTGTCGTCATCCAAGATGGCCACCGAGGAACCGGCGCATAATTAGAGAGCCTTTGGCAACTGGCATTCTACCGCGTGGGCCAAATGGAAATCACCCACTTTTAAAAACGGGAGAAAAAAAAATCGATTTCGAACTGGATCATATTGTAGTTTAGAGTGAAGGTGCGGCTAGATATTGCATAAACATATCGAAAGAAAATCTTGCCTCAATCAGAAATTAAAAATAAAAAAAAAATAAAAAAATTCTGTGCATCAATGTGGAGTTAACTTTCAAGATGTGAAAAAGCGCGCGAAGGGAGCATTAAAGTCTCCCTTTCTTATTTTCATTAAATAAAACATACTAATACCCAGCCGACGCCACCGTTTTATTTTTACTTGAAAATGATTTAACTTGAACGAAGTTAGAAATAAAAAGAAAGAAAAAGAAGGTTATTTGGTCCACGCTGTAACAACCTTACACACTTGGCCCGTGCTTCCGTCGCTTGTGGAAATTACACGTGATAGTTTTTTGTTTGCTTTTTATCGCAGGTTTCTTTATTTTATTTTTTTTTATAGACAGCAAATTGCGTTTTCTACAAGTACAGAAAATCACTGTAGCGCAAACGCGCGAATCACATGCCTTGTCAGTGTCTGGACGGCCACTGTCACTTATAAAATTGCGTGAATAGACAATGCAAGGTTTCTTAATTGCTAGGACGCTTGAAGGGAGGGGTGCTGCTAAAATTGGCTCTCGTTTCTCTTTATCTAGGCAATATTTACTCTAAGGGTGGCCATAATGAAGTATACAGTTTCTAGCACACTCCAGCCTTCCAAAAAGTTTTCACAAACAGACTATTTGGAATATCACCTCTGCCAGTGACAGCCAGAGAAACTACAATGTGGTTTGAGCAGACCAACTCGAGCCAAATTCTGTTCTAATCTAGACTAAAAATTGCATTATGAGCATGAAATCCCACATTTTGGATTCAGATTGTTCTAGTGATGCCACTTGCTGCTCTTAGAACATTTTTGAATGTTGCGAGATTCAATGATATATGCTACAACACAATATTTACTCATATAAGTCATGCTTTTTTTTATTATTAAAAGGGGCAGTTTATACGAGGGTAACATAAAGCACATAGACCTTCAGGCTAATAATGTTAGTTGCCTAACTTGTTTCTTTACGATGATCTCTATGTGTCTTTCTTCAACTGAGGGCCACTCAGCATACCACTCAAAACTGGCAAAAAGTTCATGGTTTATAAAGATATTCCTCCACAATAAATCATGTTGTTGTGTACAGGCATTAGTGCAGATGCCCAACTATTCTTGATCAATGTAAAAAGTTGAGAACACCACTGCTCTTCAGATCAATGATGGTCAACATATATCGAGCAGCAGGTTTTGGTCTCTGAATTCCACAAGCCAAGAAATAATGTTTTTTTTGTAAGTCTTGGATGCCAACATACGGCCTCCGACAAAATAGCTCACCCAGAGTGCAAGGCCAAGCCAGTGACTCTTTACGAAACCCCATCAAGCAACACTGACAGGAGCCATCTCTTAGGCAGTTGGGCATTGCTTCCAGTGAGAAGCGTGTGATTGGTTAGAGTCCACGCCAATCTCCGACGCAGCTGTAGTAGTGTCGAATACAAATTCGAAGTGCGTGCTCAAAATTATGCGCCATTCTTGGTGGAGTAGAAAAGGAGGAAGCCAAGAGGATCTTGGGCCTCTTGTTAAGTCCGCATTCAAAAAGCCCAATTCCATTCGCAGTTGGGCCTCACACACACAAAATATATGACCATGTGTTACGCAGTTCCCCGCACACCGAGCCATAGAAAAGAAAAAAAGACAACCTTGAAGTGCTCACAAGTTTTGAAACATGTGATACAAGGGCCTTACTTATACTTTCCCCTTCAACCCTTGTTCATCATTTTGAATGCATGCCACTTTTTTGTTGTTTTCAAGTTCAAAACAATTTCATACTAGTCACATGTTTTGCCAGTTTGGTCTGTCTGATTAAACTGCATCTATTTCTTTTAGGCATGTTCTTGTTGTCTATTATTTTATACAACACAATACGGTGAAGTAAGGCTTTTGGACGCTACCCGGGTGACCGAGAGGGAAAATTAGACAAGAAGAAAAGCTTTCCAGGAAACATTGGCAGTTTATTTAGGACTCGAGTATCGGGCCAAAATATTATTCCAAGCCACGAAGACATTCTTCTATGAGCAGAGTCCTCAAAATCTCTCTTGCAAAAAATCCCGAAGGTTGCCGGTGAGAAGTTTTTTCTTTTGTTTGGAGAAGACTGCACTGCTCTGCATCCAGGAGATTCGTTGTGGTGGGCATTCCAGATCCCCATCAAAAAGTATCACAGTCTCCTGCATCAAGAGATCAAAATGAGCTTCTAAAATAACAGGCACCTAGGCAAAACACCAGCTGCCACTGGTCTAGGATCATATTACAATGATGGAAGTGGCATTTGACCTTTTGTAGCAGGTTCTGTAGCAGATAAAATATTAGTTTGGAGCATCCACTGACGCTTTTGACGCAGATGCCAGCATCTGAGAACAGATCACTTGAAAATTAAAAAAGCTTGAGGTACACCTAAGCACTTCTTACGACTTGTGAATGCGAAAGCATGCAAACCGCTCGTCCGCTCCCTTCGTCATGTAGATGCCTGAGGTGGTGCCATTTCGTCGGCGTCCAGACGAGCAGAAGCACCGCCGACGATATGGATGCTGGAGGCGGCGGCATGTTCATCGGCAACGAGATGAGCAGAAGCCACCGAGCACGCGCCAACGTGTTGGCGGTCGGTGAAACTGATGGTCAGTTTCAACGACCAGCCACCCCATGGCACTGCGTGTCTGGCCATTGGGAGCCTTGTCGACATGCGCCGGCCAATGGGACCGAAGTGTAAAGGTGCCGTTGGCTAGCTTTGCGAGTGGTTTCATAGCTGGGAGCTGGCGAGAAGGATTTAAGAGCCGTTTGGCGCGGTTTCAAAGCTGATGACATCGGCTCGCTCCATGAGACCCCCCCCCCAGTTTATGCTTTCGCATTAAAAAGTGATTGCATCGCTAAATGAGGTCATCTTTGATAATAATTGAGGGTTCCTGTTTGATACTGGAGCATGTTACTTATTACATTTTGTAATGAGAATAGATGGGGCACCAAAAGTACACAGAGCTCTCTTCTTTTTTTTTTTTTTATATAAATAAGGTTTTGGTAACAGTAGGTTCCATTTACAATGGATACAAAAAAATTGATAAAAAATGAATCATACAACAACAAAATTGAGCTTTAAAGGTGACACTGCTCTTTAGCGGCGTTGGAACCAGAGAGTGAAGTCAAAGTTTGCTGCCCTTTCGAACGACAGCTGCGTGGGAACTATCTTGACTACCTCAATTATTCAAATATGAACATGGATATTTTTTTTTCTCTTCCCCTGCACACCTTTTTGAAACTAGAGATCAGCCTACACAATCAAAGCCAAAGAAGGCAAACATACTTGTAATAGTAATGAGCATAATTTCCAAGCCTATTGCGCCAATCAAGGCATTCACCCTTGTCAGCCGCTGCTCCTAGCACTCTGGTGCAAAGCGGTGAAGCTCGACGTGCGCACCATGCATGGTGAGGGGGGTGAAGGAGGTACAGAGGCATTCGGCGGGGCCCGCCTTACACCATCAGGCGATCTGGGCAAACTCTGCCCGTGGCGCACCCCCCTCCCCATTCTCTCCTCTTCCCTTTTTATAGGCCCATATCTACTAGGTACGACATCACATTGTTAGTAAACATGCGAGTAGTGGCCCAACACGAGCGTTTTGTCAGCCGAGTAGCACATTCCAAAAACGAACGGCGATTGAGCATATAGCGTTGTGTCGGGTGCAATGCTAAAATAACTCAAAAAGCAAAAAAAATTTCAATAGGTGACACCCTGTCCGCGCACGCGGGTCGCCCACCCCTGAGGTTGGTACTGCATGCGGCAGACATGATAATCAGGTGATCTCATCACGAGTACATGACCCTGGTTCTGCCTTATCACGGTAGCCACCATCCTACTGTTTTGCTAGGTTTTCTCGCGACTTTGAGCTGCTGACATCACCGACATCATCTGGAAATTTAGACGATGCCAGCGATCAACCCGCCAGTACTTCTATTGGCCAGCGCGGTTGATGGGAAGTCTCCATACTTCGTTCCACCTTAATTTAAGGTGCAGCCAATGTTATGAGCCAATGGAACCAACCAAACTGCGCCAATGTGAGACATCACGGCACTCGTGTATCTTCCTATAGGAAGTATTCAGTGGCGGCCATAGCTGTGAGCGCGACTGCTGAGCGCGTGCTGATGGCGAGCTTCCACAGTTCTTTTGTAACGTGCATTCCGCACCCTCAAGATTGCCGGTCTTAGCTGCCTATTAATGTGGGCTCGTTCTGAGCCTGCGCTCTAGACAGCACCCACAAATATAGCGCCCAGTGAATACTCCTTATACATGCTCTTTCATCTACTAAACCAATCAAGTGCAGCAAATATCCCATGACTTTCACTTTTAGTATCTGTGTTTGTGGTTGTATGTGTTCGAGCCTTTGACTGTGCTCTGATTTAAGATGAAACAAACTATACGGTGAGTAGAAATGCCAAGAAAAACATTTGTACCATTTCTCCTTCCTCGTACTTCACTAAACATTAAAATCGACCAACAATATTTTTTTTTTACTTTTTTTTAAAGTTTATTTTGGCACAGGTGTGATGCAATTCTTAGCAAAAATGGCACTTTGGTGCGACATGTAGCAGACATTCGTTTATGGTGCAATTTGGCACAAATGGCACAGCACTTCTATCATTGCATATATGACTTGCCATGTTCCAATGACTTGAGAAAACGAAAAGGTGGGCAATGCCCCAATAAGAGAAGACAAACTATTTTGAACTGTGTGAAAATATGCCAAAGAGCAACAAATCATTACATGTCCACACTAGAATCTAGCTCGGACTGGAACTCGGACGAATTGTGTCCACAAGTAAGGGAAACCCAATTCTTTTCACTTTTGGATTACTCAATATTTATTGGAAGGGAGGAGCAGAAAACCACATGCTAACTCTATTTTGCAATTTCAAAGGCTCTTCTTACTAAAAATCAAATTGTACCTATCAAAGTTTCTTGCTGACGTGGAGGCTACAAGTCAGAACTTTATTGTCATAGATCAGAAAGAAAAGATCTATTGAAGAAGGAAGAGTCCAAACGAGTGATAAGACGGCCTAAAAGAAGTGTGGCTCGAAATCTAGCACAAGTATTTTGAAGAAAATATATGCATTTCAGTAGCAGCGAATGGCTCAGAGCTGTTTACTACGAGCAACAAGATTGTCCCCACTAGCACAGAGTGCCTATACATTCAAAGCAGCTTCAGCAATTGTGTATTCGCACGACAGAGTTTCTCTCTAATTAAACGTCACCGAGTTTTAAGGTTACGTGTGCTGCGTCAGGGATGTTCCTTAATCCTCCAAGCCCGCAGGGAGCCACGGAGAATCTGTCACCGGCCTAGAGAATATTGCTCTTACCGTCAGAGTGACCGTTCCCCTTCCATTTTGGAAAGGACTAGTACAGTCAGCAGCATTGAGCTGTGGGGTGGCTTCCTTTCCAATTCCCCTGCCTTTTGTTCAATAAACCCTCGAAGGTCGCAAACACATTCATAAAAAGAAAGATTCAGCTGACTCAACTACATGCGACTCCATCATGCGAATGCTCGCTCGAATTTTCTGCACCACCTTTTTCTTCTTGCAGCTCTATGACATATTTGATTTTCCACATCGAAGTGGAAAAAACAGTACAAAGACGGAAGACAAGTAGAAGTTCACACATACAGCGCTGTACTTGTCTTCAGTTTTTTCCACCATTATTTCCACTTTGATATACCAAACAAACTAGCCCAACTCCATGCATTGTTTCTTGGTTTCCCCCGAAGAAAAAGATTAGTCTTGCGAATGCATTGTAGGGGACAGCAAAATATTTCGAAGACCCACCGACCTCGTGTCCTGCCGAGAAGAAAGAATGGGCGTCCACCAGCACGGACGATCGCGCCTTCACTGGAGGTAAAGGCTGGCAGCGAAGACGATGTCCCTGCGGATGAGTCGGGAGGCCTCCTCCATCTTGGCGCGCAGTTCGGGGTTGCCCACGATGCCGGCGGCCGTGCGCACATCTTTCAGCAGCTCGTCCAGCCGCTGGATGCAGCGCACGATGATGCCCTCCTGCGTCTTGGTCAGCTCCATGATGTGGGCAAAGTGCTGCCGAAGGTTCTCCCCAGACGCACGGGAATGGGGTGCGTGGGAATGGGTGTTAGCAAGGGATGTGCTGAGAATGCCCCATCGCTTTGGGGCGTAGGTTCTCAAACCGGGCTCCTAGGGACCCAGGTGCTCCCTATAGTTCCCTCGGGAGTTTCCCCGAACTCCCAAGGTTCCTCGACTGCCCCCAATTTCAGCAGACCCCAACCATCCACTGGTGCGTAACATGTACCTAACACTCCCTAGTATATCCATTATATTTTACAAGTTCTGTGGGCTTCTGTACGACCCTTCGGCTACGGAGTCGAAACCTGGAGGGGCTTTTATTCGGCTGTCAATAAAAAAGATAGGTGTTCCTCGAGACTGAAGTTTGAGGACCCCTGCTTAGGGTACAATCCCCAACAATATGAAAGACCAATGACCAATGAGAGGCAGTTTTAGGTGGCTGTGAAGGATTTACTTTGGCAAGGCCCACACTGAGTGAGATAAGGAAATAAACGAACTTCTGTCTTATTCTGTCTGTAAACATAGAGGGTCTTCGGAATTTAACTGCGTCGGCCAATCTGTCTTTCATATTGTGGAAAACTAAAACGCTTATGTTCTTTTCTTTTTTCCTTAGATGTGACTTGCCTTGTTTGTTATATGTTTTGGGGAATGTGCAGAGACCTTGCAGATCAAGAAATAAACACCCAATTGCCATAAAATAAGAAAAATGTAACCTCAGACATGCATTGAACATGCATTTCGACCTTTGATAGACCTTTCCATCATAACTTACCTATGCTGTACTACTTTATACTCATTTTCACTTCAAGAACCAAAGTAAAAAAAAACTTTCAGCCTTTCCATTCTGGTGAAGAAGGAAGAGCAGCGGAGCTGTAGCTTCTGTTCTCGGCAGTGGCTTTCCAGGCCAGCAATCTGCTCCTTCGCAAGAGAATCTGAAGCACTCGACGCAGTGGAACTTCAGACGATAGCGGCCTCACGGCAGTTGCAAAACCGTTCACGCTGCTGCACACATCGCCGCCTTGTTCCATTCCTCTTCTTCCTCCGAAGAAATGTTGCCGCCATCTATGAGCGACGGCAGCCACTAGTTGTCTGGTTGCCGAGGCTGGAAAGGTTGCTGCGATCTATGAGCGACGGCGGCAAGCAGACGACCGCCAAACACGACACTCTGAACAGCTACCGCCATCGATGAGCGACGACGGCAACCAGAGTGTTGTGTGGACATTTGTTTGGTACTGGACACAATCCTGGGGAAACTAGCCCTTAACAGCTCCGCTGTAAAAAGTCTGGCTCCTCGATTTCCCCCTTTATGTGGAGAAATAAGATATATGCAGCAGCATTTTAGATTAAATATATGTTATCTTATCAAGACATACATGTTTTGAACGCCAAAAGGATCTCTTCTTCCTCCGACAACCAAATCTTGTAAGAACTAGTTTGCATGGCGTATGAACAAGGCACAAAACTGACTTGTTTCTTGAGGTGAAAACGAGTATAGCCTAGCACAGCCCAAATATTGTTTGAGAAAAAACAACAGTAAACCACACAGTTTAAGTAACTGCCATTACTTATAAAAAAAAAAAAAACTGCCCTACAATTTTTTTAATCTATTTTCAGCAAAGCAGAACAGTGTGAGATCAATAAGTAAGGGAGATTCAAAACATTATTTGGCTATCAGAAGGATGCCTGAAAAGACTAAAGGTGAGATGACACTCATGATGCTTTAGCAAAATCTTTCTGCATACCGATCAGACATTATTAAAGGTTGGAGCTCAAGTAATCCTGTAGTAAAACAGTTACATGCTGTGAGTTACATCATACACCAGTGGTTCTCGAATGAGGGTCCGCGGACTTTTTGGCATCCGTGAAGGCATTCTAGGGTTCTGCGAAGCAGTGCCACATCAGACAAGTCCGGCAATAAAATCTTATTTTAGACTGCGAAGAAACGTTCCAATTTTCATTTGAGTTTTCTTGTGGGTATGCCAATAAGAGAAGTCAACTTCACACTAGCCCTTAGTTAGATCCATTTATTAAATCATTATTATAATTAACTAGTGTTGTGCGAATATTAAAATTTTCGGATAGTTTTTTCGAATAGCACACTATTCGATATTCGCTTCGAGAGCAGTTGTAATGTTCGTGCTTTTCGAAGTGTTCGCGAACTCACGGCTGCAAGTTTGTTTACTGTCTAAAAACCAGAAAGAAACGATATCTAAAATCAAGAATATACTCACACGTTCGGCAAAATGGTATAAATATTATGGTGGGAACTTTGAAATATATTCATCGTACTTATTTCACTAACTTTTTTAATAACGGGCAAAAGAAACCGAGCAACGAACTCCAGAAACGCCGGCGCCATCTTCCCCAATCTTGGCGCCCTGGTTGCTAGCGCTCTTTTTTCACCACAGCCACGTCCAGATATAAATTTAGAAAAACAAGTTTAGGATAAAAATAAGTACCTTTAGAAATTTTTCATAACATGCATAATTGCTCAGAAACTTTTATTTCCGATAAAACAGTTTCAAAACATTTAAGCTATAATATTTCGAAGGAATATTATATCATTACAGCGACAAGGTGATTGAATGACATCGACGTTGTCAAAATGACGGCAGCTAAGTCGGTTGGCAAGATGGATTAACGACAGCGTGAGAAGTCGAGTTTGGAAGTATTTCTGTAAACTACCCTCTAAAATCGGCGAAGATTTTGAACGGCAAGTATTTGATATTCGATTCGAAAATATTCGACAAAATCACTATTCGCTTCGAATTCGATTCGAACTCAAAATCCACTATTCGCACAACCCTATAATTAACCTATACCATCCCTCCTCCTCACCACAAATGGGGCCCTCCAACATCTCCGTCGATCCACAAGGGGTCCGCAAAATATCAATGGTTGAGAACCACTGTCATACACTATCAAATGGAGACATTCTCAATGCAAAATACTAAAGGCAAGCATGGCCAAAAGCTTCGTCCACAGGCTCGAGTGGTTGGTTTTAAGTTGTCAACCCAAACTTTGCCGTCATTATGCAGTGAATAAACAGTATAAAATAGGAGGAAAAGAATTATGGAACAGACCATTCCCTTAGCCCAGTGGTAGACCACATTGCACAGGCCGAAGCTGAACTGTTCCACGAACTGGTCCGGTGGTTCGTCAAAGCCACACTCCCGCTGCACCCTTCCAATTCGTTGCGCCACCTCTCCAAACTTGTGCACCGCCTGCGCACAGGGCACCACAGGCGTCCTATACACACCTCACACTAACACCAGTGGGAAATCCCCTGGATCGTGTTTGTATAGAACTATTGCTTTCTTTCAGTTATTTTTTCCTTACACATCGGATGAGTAGAATCACCTTTATGTGCCAACAGCACCAATAGGGTATCCCGTGAAGGACTTGTCAGAAAACTCAATAGTTAGAGTGAATGCTCATGTCATTCAATGGATTATTGCATAGCTTAAAAATAAGAGACAGTTTGTAGTTATTGATGGTGCTGTGTGGTATGTTTGAAGGGTGCCGTCGGGAGTCCCCCAAGGGGCCAGTTTTAGGATTAGTATTATTTTTATGCTACGTCAATGATTTGGCAGAAACAGTGAGTGCCAATATTACAGTTAGGTTATTCGCAGACGACTGCCTGCGCTACACTAAAGTATGTAGCCTTGTAGACCTGGAAAACTTAAACTTGTCGCTCGCCTCAGTAGATAATAAGTGTCAAAAATGGGGAATCAAGCTGAACCCAGAAAAGACTGTATTTCTCAGAATAATAAGTAAAAAGAACATCCATACTTACAATTATAAACTAGGAGATGTCTCTTTAACAGCAGCTGATCACTTGAAGTACTTAGGGGTTACGATAGCCTCAGATTTAAGACGGAAACTTCATGCAGATTGTTTGTGTCGTAAGGCTATAAAAAAGTTGTGGTTCTTGAAGCACAATCTAGGCATGCTCCGCATAACGTAAAATTATCCGCATGCACAACCCTGGTAAGGCCAACCCTGGATTACGCCTGTGCTGTGTGGGATTCATATAGAAAGAACCAAATTGATAAGTCAGAAAAAATACAAAGAATGGCAGCCCGTTTTACCATTTCTAGGTATGGTCGAACTGGCTCGGTGGCTTCAATGCTCAAAGAACTAAGCCTCCCTTTATTGTCAAGTCGCAGAGAAATTGCCAGAGTTAATTAAACTGCTTTTTAAGCTTTCTCGAAACGAGCTGAACATTGACACCTCCCGTTACTTGCTACCACACTCGGCTCGGCCATTGCAGAGTGTGCGTAAAAAGGCCTTTGAAATACAACGGGTAAACAAAGATGCTTTCAAGTACTTGTTTTTTGTTAGAACGGTTAAGCACTGGAACGATCTACCAGATGATACTGTAATTATAGATAATATTGTTGCCTTTGAGGAAACGCTGGAGAAACGAAGCTGTTTGGTGCTCAGAGTGTGTCTTGTAGTCACATTTCAAACATTTTTCAGAAAATATGTCAAAATGTATGTGCTTGTATCCACGTGGTTGTACTAGTATATATTTCTTACAAATTGTGAAATGTGTTGGTATGTAATTTTTTTTTCCACTCCTGTAACCACCCTGAAAAAAGGGTAAACAATATTAATAAACAAATTTTAAAAAATTTAACATCATTAACAGTTCAAGAATGCCATAGCTATTATTGTATAACTAGGAGCCATTTCACTGTACTAATAGTCACTGTACTTTGTTACATCATCACTGTAGTTTGTAAACACTCCCCTCTCAATGCCTTAGGTCCAGAGGGCATTTAAATTAAATAAATAAATAAATACATGTTTATGGCTATTTAAAAAGCTGTTAAAGAGCCCTAACAACCGAAAACAACATTTCTGGCTGCTTCAAGCATTGGAGGACACAAGAAATTTCAGCAATGCTTCTTATCAAGGGAGCAGATTAACAGCCATCAGAAATTGTTCCTACACACCCTACAGAAATGCTCCACTATGTCACATGTAACTTTGGGTCTTCTGACATGCCTTATTTTTTTCTCATCTTCATTTGTACCATCCTGTTTTAGAGCGCAGCTCTTAGGGGCCCGTTCCCGGCTTGAGCGGCGTCGGCGTAACCAAGGTCATCCCAAGGTCACGTGGCCCCCAAGGTCATCCCAAGGTCACGTGACCCCCAAGGTCACGTGACCCACCTGAAGTCACGTGACCCCCCTGAAGTCACGTGACCCCCCGAGGTCACGTGACCCCCCCCCCCCCCCCCCCCCCCCCCGAAGTCACGTGACCACCCCCAGGTCACGTGACCTGGGGGTGTCACGTGACTTCGGGGGGGAATCCGCATCGTCATCGTCGCTGATGACGTCATCGGAGTCCGCATCGTCATCGTCACTGATGACGTCATCAGTGACCTTCACTGATGACATCATCGGCATGGTCACGTGACTCCCCAAGGTCACGTGACCCCCCCAAGGTCACTTCACCGCCCAGTACCCTTCCCTCCTCCTCCTCAAGAGCTGCGCTCTAACTCGGTGTTACAGGGAGTTGTAAACGGCTTTCACTTTTTTTCCTGCAGGCATCGGGAAGCATACAACAAATGACGCGATTCACGACCGTCAAAGTCCCGATGCCCAATTGGTAAGGAGATGAGAACATGCTTAGCGGAATTCTAAGCTTCTAAGGTTAATTTTGAAATGAGATTTGCGCAGTTCTAGTTTGAATTTTTGGCAATGTGCTTCAAATTCAGCAGATCTACTCATTGCATCAGAACAATGACACATATTTCTATTGCTCTAGTTATCCTTTCAAAGGGCAATGCAACAATTTTTGAACTTTCAATAAATACAGCTTAGAATTTTCCCTTGACATTTATCAACTTTAAAACACACATTGTTTCTCTTCTCCACACAATGGCAGTTGCAGAAAAATCTGAAAAAAACTAACACTGTTTACTCCCTCAACTCGCAGTCACAATAAGGGGCCACATGATCTGTAGTCGATTATATTGCCGCCCGCAGGGTTGATAAAGAAACGCTCGGTCACGGACTTCTAGAGGATTCACGTTCATTCTCGCACCAGACGTAACTTTCCTCCTGCTTTCTTATTCTCAAAAGTGCCAGTTCATCCTCGCCCCGAGCGCGCAACGCTCGAACTTTCCTTGTTGAACTTTCGAGATAGTGATGCACGGTAGATAAGCAGCTGCCCACGACCTTGTCCAGTGAGTCACGCTAGCGCTCTGCAGTGCCGCCGAATTGCCGCCCGCTTTTCTGCTGCCTCGACGCTCTTTCATTACTTATTTTTTGTTTGGCACAAGCTCGCCAATTAAACCTTTATCTTTCAGTTCACAGTTCGGCTTCTGGTCACCTTCATTCGTGACAATATGCTGCCAATGTCTCTAACATAGCCATGCGCCAGAGGTGGGGGAGCACAGGGCGCGCACCAAGTTCTACGCATTGTCAAGGTTCGGCTATCCCTATCATCCCAGCAATTGGGCACGAGCCACTACCCGAACGCACGTCAAGGCATTGATTGTCACAAGATAAAATCGAATGCCTACACAGTGCTTGCGTCCAGTGCATGAGCTGCATTGAAAAATTGTCACCGCGAGGACGGTAAGGCTTGATGACGCAGTCCAGGGGATCGCATTGTTGGCGCTGTCCCCACAGCTCTGTCGTCAATTTTTGCAAAGGAGAGACTGAAAGAAAAGGTCCGCCTTCATCCCTGGAATTCCACCGCAAAGAAGACGCTCCTTGGTCAGTGGCATCGCGTCCGAGCATTTTTGGGTCCCTCTAGTGCCAGTAAGCTGCTGTGAAGTGAGAAATATTCCTACCCAGTATCGTTGCACAGCCCCTCTAATGAGAATCATTTCCCTGCAAAAAATATTATGTCGTTCGAAGTGAGTAATGTGAAGCTAGTTGAAGCCGATAAGAAGAGCTTCTGAATAAGCGAAGTCTCTCGGCAAAATGTCAGCTGCCGCTGCTGCGAGGCTTTGGGGAAGTTGCTTCCAAGTACGAGGCAGCAAGAATGGTGCACTCACGGCCACCATGGACTTTGGGATGACCAGCTCGTCCTCGGTCCTCTGCTCGAAGACAAAAGAGGAGAAGAGGGCGGCCACCTCGGGAGCCCCCAGGGTGAGCAGGGACTCTTGGAGCAGTAGCTCCGTCAGCATCACCTCATGGCTGCTTAGGGCACGGGCCACCCTGCCCTTCAGGGTCAGAGCCCCTTCAGGCTCCAGGTAGCCCAGCTTCTCCAAGGCCAGTACGTGGTTCTGGTAGTCCGGCATCGAGGCCAAGCTCTCTTCGGACAGCAGGTGGCGCATGCGGGCCAGCTCTTCCGTCAGACGCTGCCGACGCCTCCCCTGATCAAACTGCAGCAAGGCAAAGAGAGACAGCCAGCTTAACAAGATGTCACTACTCTTTCCCTACCTAGCTTCAGGTTAGAACCGTGCACAAGGGTGTCTCACCCCGTAGCACCCGCTACAAATTTTTTAATAAAAGCTTCACGACACAGCTAGATCCTTTTGAGGCTGAGCTTCAATTCTCGCAATACGTTATGCCCCCCAAACGTGAAAATTTAAGAAGTTAACTAAATCTTCTTAGTCCGCCGTGGCCATGAACTTGACTCCAGGGTTAAAACAACCGTAATGCCAGTTCCCTAGACTAAAAAAAAAAACTGAAAAAAACACACTTTGTATATTTTAGACTTGATGTCAAACTATCCTATAGTAAAAGCAACTAACTTCACCATATAGAAAACCAATCCAAAAAGGTAAACCCTGGACAAGCCAGTTAATGCATTTGCAGAAACAAGACCGTATGTTATGTTTTTGGATCGGAAAGACAAAATGACATATAGTAATATCCCGAGTCATTGCCCACCCCTCTGCCCCCTGAAATTCATAAACAGGTGGGATGGGCCATGACTTAGTGGGTAAGCACAAAAAGTTTAGAAAAAGCTTAAAAAAGATGCCCATTTTTTAGTACATATCTAGTGCTGCTGCACAAGAAATACATTAAACTCAAAACTCGAATTAGTTTCGTTGTTTTATGCAAGAAACGCTAATTAAAGAATGATTTACTATCGCAAAGAATGTTGCTTGCATACGTGCGGTGAACACTGCCCCAGAATGGCATATAGCGCGAACGTTTGTTCCATAAAAGCACTTTTCTAACACGGTTAGTAAAAAAAAAAAAAGTCAACAAGAAAATACAAAAAAATTAACCAGGAGCAACGAGCGAACGAGCGGGCGAAAAAAGTGACGAAGAGCAATGCGGGGGAGCGGGAAAACCGGCGATCGCGTTGGCAAATACTTTGGAGTCGGGCCAAGTTGGGTGCCTTGTCGATCACAAGGAGCAGGCTCTTATGGAACATTCTTGTTCGGTGCATACATATGTGCATCCGTGCGCGTCATGCTATCAACGCAAGTTGAGGCGGCGTTGCTGCATGGCGTGGATGGCACCACGAACACGCAGCTCGAAATGGGACGCTTTACAAACGTCGGTGTGCGGCGTTCCACGAAATCTTGATTTACCCGATGGCTTTGTCTCAAACATTGCACACATACCAGCCGCAGCCGCAACATTCCGGGAGAAGGTGCGGGTTCGTGGTGACCTTATTTCCATGGAGACGGACTTTGACGTTACATCTTTGACCTTAAACTTTGTGGTTACCATCCCGGAATGAAGGCGTTCGCTGACCTCGCGATCCCTGAATAATGAATTACTTGTGTTATCCTTCTCAATTTTTTTTTACATTGTTTTAGCAAATTTTTTTGTAAGCAAAAGTTTTAATTTGTTATCTCTGGTGTTTCCTTTCGCACGGATGAACTCCGACTTCGAGGTCGCGGAAATCATGGAGCAAATGAGTAAACAAGGTTAAGTGTTTCTCCCTCCTTCATTTGACTTTGTCACGGACGTCCTCCAACCGTAAGGTCCTAGGCCGCGTCATTCGGGTAGGATGAATGTTCGCGGATAGCGAAGTCTGCGTTGGGGTATTCGTAGGGGTGGGTATTCACTCAACAATTTTCTGGAAGTCAATATTTCCCCAAAAAGTGAGGTGCACAATGACTTGGGATATTCAGCTTGGACATTCAGCCCCAGCTTCTTAACCCATGTGCATATGGTAACACCGAGTCCAACTCACTCGCTAGAGAAGCATGATGTGCCACAGTAATGTGGCGACAACTACAGGAAAATCGACATTTCACAGAGCAAGTCTCACGTGTGTCTCAAAGAGTGGGCAGCCCAGACAGTCACTGGAAAGCAGCTTTTCCTCCAGCATCTGACAGCGCTGCACCAAATCGACTGAGTCCATGGCTTGGATGCGCATGTCCTTGGTGACGTTGATGGCGGGCAGACCCTTGGGGTGTGCCTCCACCACCTCCAGTAACTCCTGCCCAAGCAGCGTCTTGCCCTGTGGGTGCCTGGGGCACGAGAAAGAGAAAGCTGCCACAATGCCCACCCAAAAAGATAAGCCGCCATTGTGAAAAGCAACTAGCTCCCCATGGCCTAGTTCTAGTAGCAACTCGGTGAGATAATCGTGCTCAGACAGACACTGCTGCCGATTTTCTCCTCTTGATCATACATCTCTTCTCAACTTTCCCTCTATACTCTGTTCACCCTTACTTTTCTAGCTGAAAAGCGCGTTCTGTGGAAGAATGTTTCAAAGCAACAATCTCCTGCTCACACGCTTGTAGCATTGGCTACTTACCAATCATCCTTCTGGAGATGACTTGATGTCAAGTACCAAATTGTAACATAGTCATTCAATGCAGACCTTTGCAACAACAAACACCCAGATTGCAACAAATCACCATATATACCCCAACTCATGTTTACAAACAAACCGGAGCGCCCCTAGCGAACGCCACCGGCGCCGTGCATGCGCGATGGGGGTGTGGGCAAGAAGCTCGCCGTCGCCCATAAACAAACCATTGGAATGTGATGTCGCCGGCGTTGGTGTGAGTACCCCTGCCCTTTTTCGCGTTCGAATTGTTGATTCTACGTCTTCCTGGCAATGTATGACTACTCATCAGCAAAATTACCGAGGCTCGTTACACCGCAAAACTTCGCGTGAATAATGTGACATGTGGCGATTCATTCCACGTGGACACCGCAGTATGTACGCTAAAGCCTCATTCGCATGATGCGATTTCACTCGCAATTTTCAGTCGCGACGCCGCTCGGGCTGCAAGAGCGTGAACTGTAGCTGAGATAGTCTACGTCGATACTGAAAATCGCAAGCAGAATCGGACCAAGTGAATTAGGGATAACACTCGCATTGCCGCTGCTGCTGAAACTTTTGTGGTGCTGGGAACTCGTCAAGCTGTCCATACAGCTTTTTTTCCCAGCCCCCGCCATTGTAAAAAATGGTAAATAAACATTGAATTGAATTGAATTGAAAAGTCGGTGATGGTCACTGGTAACAATGATCACATTCTTTTTGTATCTACAGCTTACATCGCACCTGCTTACCAACCTTCAAATTTAAGTCTTTTGAGGCCTGCACTTAGTTCTTATCGCAAGTACCGGGCCAACATTTGGTCTACGGGCCGGCGTCGTCTAAAAGAACAGACGACAAGCAGAAATGTTTGAAAGTGCAGACGACGGTTCGAACGATCAGGCGGCCGTTTGAACTTGAAGACGCACTGAACGTAGTCCGCAGGTGGTCCGCACAACTTGACAGTTTTCTGGCGTTCATGTTGGAACAAAAAAAAATAAGTCTCATGACCACAAGTATCCGTGAATTCAACCCAAAGTGCTTCCCGCCCAAGCAATCGTTGTCCGACGGCGTCTGCTTTTCCCTTTTCACGGCACATATCCAGATTCTCAGAAGAAGCGAGCACGTGAAAACTGACCTTCACACCTTTCTCGACACTTTTGGTACGGCCCCAGTCGCGGTGTTTTGACGAGAAGGCAGGCTTTTGTCTGGTTCCTTTCAAAACAACGCAGGAATACACGTCTGGCATGGGGGCTTCTGCCCACAGCCCCAGACCGGAAGCACGACCGACGCGCCACCACCGCGCCGTGACGTCACAGAATTGAGTTCGTGTATACCAATAATATGTGCATAAAAAAAAAAAAAAACCAAAGCATTATTTAGACATTTGTTTCTGTCGTCCAGTGATAGAAACTAAAGCCTGGTGCGACAATTGATACTGTTGTTAAATGACCAAACAAAAACGGTCTCTTGTGCCTGTTTTCAGTTTGTGTTGTGATGTATCATCAATGTGCCAACCAATTGGCACTCGCTTGTTCCTGTTCCCTGAGCCCACTATCATATGTGCAATATCCCCATAGTTGTTGTCTAAGCTGGCCCCCCCTAAGAGAGCCCGACTCACGCCAGCCTCTTGGGGTCCAACTTGATGGTGTGCGAAACAATGCACAGCACATCTGCAAAGGGCACGGTCAGCTGCTGGACTGCCAGTGTCCCTTCCGGAATCAAGACCTTCTTGCTTAGGGGCCAGGGGAGGTGCTCCTTGACGCTGGGCTGAAAGACCACGGGGGAAGGCTCTATTACTGTCCTCCAATTTTATCAATTGTGACTTTAAGTTCAAAAGCATATGATATACTGTACAAGAGTTTTACTTTACTGCAGTGGTACCTCGTGAAACCTCATCAGAAGTGTTTACAATATGATATAAATGTATCTTTAAGAAATGCAAAAGAAACATCCAGACAGGGCCAAAATGCAAACTTGCAGCCAGATACACTCAGAAAGGCAAGGAAAACAATCTCATGAACACAATTATGTGCCATTTTGAAGCGCAGCTCTTAGGCGCCCGTTTCCGGCTTGAGTGGTGTCAGTGTCGGCGTTGCAGTCAGCGTAACTGCGCGCATTGCATTATGAAAATAATGCAAGCAGGCGTAACCACGCGCTGCATTATGGGAAAATTTCCCCGCTAAATTTAGCGGAAAAAGTTCCCCGCTGAATTTATCGGAAATATTTTCCCGCTAAATTTAGTGGAACAAATTCCCATGGTAAATTTAGCGAAAAAAATTCCTTGCTAAATTTAGCCGAAATATTTCCCCGCTCAATTTAGTGCAACAATTTTCCTGCTAAATTTAGCTGAAAAAAATTCCTTGCTAAATTTAGAGAAAAAGTTCCCTGGTAAATTTAGCGGGAATATTTCCCCACTAAATCTAGCAGAAAACTTTCCCACTAAATTTAGCGGAAAAAATTCCCCGCTAAATTTAGCAGAAAAAATTCACCAGAAAAATTTCCCCGCTACATTTAGCGGCGAATTTTTTCTGCTAATTTAGTGGGAAAATTTTCTCTACATTTAACGGGAAATTTAGCACTAAATGGGAGCGGAGCACGAGGGGAGAGGGGTATGGAGGGGGAGGGGGCATACCCTCCCCACCCTTTCTCCCCTCCTCCTCGTCAGGAGCTGCGCTCCAATTCGGCATTACAGAGAATTGTAAATGTCTTTCATTTTTCAAATGCAGATGCTGGTATGCTGGCATTGTAGCGTGTTTTCCGCACTATGGTTCATGCCCAGAGAATAGTCTGCAGAGTAAAATTTCGGCTATAAAAAAACAAGGTTTTTCTCAGATAGTCTGCACCTATTGCATGCTCGCACCTGGCGCAGACTCCACACCCGGCACATTGCCAGCACATCAAAAATTCAGGTATGCAGTGCATATTAACAAATGCCTACTTTATTCGCTCGCAGAGAGGCATGTATGGTACATAAACTCTCATCAACACACTCTGTCATTTACAAATCCGTCACATCTTCCCCCCCCCCCCCCCCCCCCCCCTCATAACGAACAATCTAGAAAAAACGCCTCCTTGTAGAATTCACACCCGTAGATGGTCCACACTACGTAAAATTCCAACTTTTAAGCGGCGGACCATAGTTTGGAAAATACTGTACTTCCCCCCGTCGAGTCTTTGCTAAAGTCCGAGCAACCAGAAAGGAGAAACTCTCCTTCAATTCCTCCTTTCCATTAGAAAAAAAGGGAGACACTACTCCTTCCTGCGGGACGTAGCCCAGGGAGCCGCTCCTGTGGGGAAGGAAGGAGTGCCAGAAGGAATGGAGAGAAGGAAACTGGGAACTGGTTTTTTTCTCGGCAGAAAAGGATTCTGTAGGTCGGCCTTTAAGCCACCTCACCCTGCTATATTCTACCTTAAAAAAACCATTGGCTCTACGAAAATACTGCTTCAGCAGACTCGGTATCGCGACACAGTCGTTGGCAACACCGCCGCTGGCCCACCTTGGCATCGACGAGAGCCCACAGGGACAGCCTCTTTTCCCTGGGTGCTGTGGAGGAGAGGGCTCCCAGCAAGTTGGCCTTGCTCTCCCCTGCCTGCCTGACGAGGACCAGCCTACCCGCGGCCATGACCTTGGAGGCCTGGGGCAGGGCCAGCAGGTGCTCCCAGAGGGCTGAGCGTGCCCACTCCTGCTCGGCAAGCAGGCCCAGCGGCAGCTCCGAGCAACGGGGGCAGTCCGCGGATGGGAGCGAGCTTAGTTCCTGCTCCAGGGCACTGCTGCGCTTCACAAGACTCGTGCTCTGGCTCTGCGTGCGAAAAGAGAAGATGAGGATGGATGGCACTGGTAAACAATTTTTTTTGCTTCACTGTTTAAGGAAACACAAACTCCCAAAAAACAGTTTTTTTTTCTACTGTTTTTAAATAGTGAGTATTTCAGAAAATAAGCCTATCTCCAAAAAAAAATATTTTTAGAGCTACATTTAGCACTCCGAAATATCCTACTGCCATGTATTTTGGGTCAATGAGCCAAAAGATAGGAGCATGTGGCAGAATTGCTCCTCACTCAAAATAAGTCTCGAGATGTAAATATAGCCATAAATTTTCCTTTTGTTTAGGTAAATTTATTTGGTCACATGTGTGTCATGCACATAAAAAGAAGGTGTTTTGGGAGTTCAGTGCCAGTTTTTAAGATTGCTGTCCAAATTATACTTAGTGTGGTGAAATGGGCTGATCTGGGGCCTCAACCTGCCGTAAAGTTCCGAGAGATTGCCCATCCCGTTTTTTACAGTGGAGCTGTTAAGGGCTAGGTTCCCCAGGATCGTGTCCAGTATGTCGACACAAACCTACCTGGACAGCTACAGCCATCTATAAGCGATGGCGGCAAGCACACAACGAGTATGGTTTCCGCCGTCGCTCGTAGATGGCGCCAACCTTTCCAGCTATAATAGAAGAACGGATAGTTGGGCGCGTTGGTGGGAATTCATCGTAGGAAACAACACAAAAAACAGATGACGACGACGAAGAAGCACACAGTGTATCGAGTACAGCTCCGCTGGTCTTCCTGCTTCACGAGAGTGGAAAGGCTGAACGTTTTTTCTGGCTAAATATCTGCAACATAGAAATTCCAAAACATTGCCCACCCCCCGAATTCCGTTGGACATAACGCAATGTCCGATGGGAATCGCATCAATTGCGCAATTTGCTGTACAGGCACGTCCGACAAGCGTTCACAGCGTATTCCCGTGTATTTGTCCTCGACATGTGCGCGCGATATCGGCTCCCGTAACATGCGAGTTGTTCCCACGTGTATGTTGCACCGTGAAACGCGAATCTGCTGCGCCCGCAATTTGCGGTATTCGTTCCTGTGAGATGTGAGTTCTCGGAGAGTTTCCGCGGGTCCTTCGCACCATGAAACACGAGTCTGCTGCGTACGCAACCTGCGGTATCTTTTCCCGTGACACGCGCTCTTAGAAAAAAGGGTCACTATAGTCCTCCCTAAGAAAAGGCACGCTCTTGTAACCTATGTTCTTTTAGAAAGGGAGAAACTTTCGTCCTGAAAGCAGGAGAGCAAAGTTCCTCCATCACCTGCATCTCATTATGGCAGCCCCGAATCGAGCAAATCGAGCTCAATAAGGCTTAACAAGAACGCTATGTCACTTGCACAAGGCGAGAGTAGCAGCAAATAAAAGCATAAACACGAGCTTTCTGCGACCTGTATTTATTTCCGAAGCCAGCCTCCCCCCGCAGGTAAAGAAACATGTGTTTCGAAAGCAGTCACTCAGTCTTCTCATCGTCAGCACTGCAATGTTAAACGGAGACAACCGGTACCCAGTTACCGTATTTACTCGAGTAATAGCCACACAGTTTATGAAAAAAACCTGAGGGTTCACTTTTGCCCGGAGCACGCGGATTGCTAATCACCGCGATCGACAACATGACTCCAGCAGTTTACAGGACAGAGATAACGTCTTCGAGCGAAGATATCATCTGTGAAGATTGCATTTGCATGGAGAATCGTGTTCTCAATCTAATTATTTGCTGTTAATTATGCGCAACGCGATGATTGACTGTATATGTGCTTTGCGGGAAAGTAGAAGCAAGGACCTTGTTCATAAAGAGTGTGGCAATTACACGAGTAAATACGGTACTTTGCACACTTTACGTCTTACCTTTGCTATTTCTCGAGCCACAATTCCTTCGTCAAGCGCACATCACACAGGAGTGGTAAACCATTCGCAAAACCAAAAGCCGCTCTTAAAAAGAACAAATATGAAGGAGTCTACTTAGCTTGCTGTTGCATGGTAACCAGAAATTATAGTGAAGGGTGAAAGAAGGTTAAATCACTTGCTACCAAATGGCAGGGTCAAGCAAAGTAACTGCAAGTAGTTAGGCTAGGTGGTGCTAAGTACTGCCCAATTCATGTGCTACAAAAATATTTTTATTTGCTCCATGCCACCATTACGCTCACCTTTATTATACACACATATAGATACATTACGCATACCACTAGCATCAGCTGAACATAAACATTTAGCGCATACACATACACAGCACATAAAAGCATCAATACAACAGCACACTATCCCGACCACTACTTCTGAGCTCTGCGTTTCTGCCTTTTATACTGGTCGTTTTGAAGGTAAAAAGTTTTGTCGGTGACCACCAAAGCAATAATTAATGTTTTGGGGGGGGGGGGGGGGGGGGGGGGAAGGGTGTATTTCTTGACAAATGCATCTTATCTAAGTACTAAAAAAAAAGTTTTTGGGGGGAGAGGTTTGTGCTCCCTTAAGTACCTTATAAAAGCAATGACTCCCATTGCATCCATGGGCACTGTCCCCAGCGTCCTTCCCCCTTTTACTCACCTGGTTGGAGTTCTCCCGGAACGAGTCCCTCATCATGTCCTCGACACGCTTGTGTGCCTGGGCCTTGAGGTTCAGGATCATGGAGTAGGTGATGCGGAAGCGGGACTGGAGCTCAGTGGGGCGCCCCAGCATCATGGCCTGCAGCTGAGAGGACTCCGGTACCTCCGCCTTGCACATGATCAGCACTGTGCCCGTCTTGTCCTTGCCGCGACGGCCGGCCCTACCAACAAAAGGTTGTTGCTAGGTTGTCGGAGGCAAGCTAAATGGTGGCACTAGTTGAGTATGTACAGAATTCGAAGGCGCATGAATTAGCATCTACACACTTTCAATGTGCGCTGCCAGTTGGTTGCATCTTACGAGCGAAGCCGTCCCAAAAGTGGAAGTGGACGTGGGAAGCATTTCAATATTATTAATGCCAAAGAATTGCAACCTTTCAAGTTGTTTAAAGGGGTGAAATGGCAAGAAGAACTATACCATCTTCATCCCCCATCGGTATTCTTACAATGAGGCAGCTTGCAACTTTAAACATTGTTGAACAAAGTCAAACGTTTTCTTCAGATCACTCGCAAAGCAATGCATAAACTTGTGCTATGATTATACGGAGGTGCAGACACGATCAGGCAAAGTAAGATGGTCTTGAATAACAGTTTAAAAACCTCGTGCCTAAAAGCTTTGTCTCCTCTTCACCCCTACCTTTTTGAAGAGCACATTTATCACGACTCTAATCTGCACGAATTCGAGCAAAGTTTTGAGACGGTGGGGTAGCTTATGGGTCGTTCATTGCAAAATGTAATTGTCTGCTAGATTCTAAATGAACTTTTGCCGATTGTTGTCTGCTAAATTTTATATAAACTTTTGCCAAAATATTTTTTTAGAAAAAAAAAATATCTTGATCGCGTGAGCGCTTTCTGAAACTTTTGCAATGAACCCAATCTATAGGTATAAGTTAGAAATCTCTTAAAATTTTAAATGATTAATATAGGATAGCTCAATTACTTTTAAATACACCACTGGGATTGTTCTTTTGTGTGATGCCGGAGTACATATCATATAACACAGGGTTTGGCGACCCTTAAAAAGGGTCGCCAAACCCCGTGTTACATGATATGTACTGTTACAGGTCAAATTGTCGCAAAGCAAAGACAGAGAGGGCCGCATAAAAATCTGGGGGGAGGAAGGGGGGGGGGGGGCACCGGAGTGAGTGGAAGGCGATCTGCTCACGAAAATAACAGATAAAACGCAAAGTGAACCGTTATGCTCAGTGCTGCAGGCTCAATTTTGTGTGGCTCCTGAAGCTGCAGGTTCTGTCTCCAGCTTTCTTGCAGAGCCTCACAGTTCTGATTCCAAAGTCCAATGACCGAGACAAAATGAAAACCACCGAGTGTTACCGTCCAATTTCTCTTCACAACGTGAACTTATAAAAATTTCACTAAACTTCTGACTAGTTGCTTGGTCAGAATCCTCATAGCGAGCCCTTGAGTGCGACAAAAACTGTTGATATTGACAATGGTAGTAACTGCGATTCCGAACGAAAAGTATGCTATACTTCGTTCCAGCTTAAGTCCAGACACAGCTGATGCTACGAGCACGAGCATGTGGCCTTGAACAGTACTTGCACCGCACGAGCGGGCATGCTTGGCAGGGAGGCTGAAAGCCTGGAGCTCGCGCTTGTAGCATCAACTGCACAATAATTGCTAATGGAAAAGAAACTGATCTCCTGGTAGGCCGCTTCAAAGCCAATACGTCCAATTACACTAGGCTTGACCAACAATAATTCTTGTGGCATTAAGAACGAAAGAGAGAGAGTGTGTGTACGTGTGTGTGTGTGCGTATGTGTGCAGCGTGCCGGGGCCACATAATATTCCCTCGCGCATCACCTGATGTACCAGTTTCTTGTATTAGTCTTACTGGAGTAAACAAGCAGAAAACGAAACATGTTCAGCATTTAAAACAGAAAGCGCTGTTGACCTAGAATATATTTAAAAATCTTGACTGCTGATACATTTTATGCTTAAAATTATTCGAGAATGACAATGCAAACAGGTTTCCTAAAAATAAATCTCAAATTTTACCAATGCTAACCTTTTCTGAAGATTCAGACCCAAATTAAGCATCGAGGCACTCCCGATAAGAATATGTGGGACCGCTCGCTCGACACATTACCTTGTTACCTTCTAACTAAAAAAACTTCATCAAAGAAAATTTTGTTCTAAGTGAGAATTTTTTTTTTTTTTTTTTATGTTGAGCATTGGCATTAATTGGTTTTTGCACAACATACTTATGCTACTGGTAATTCGAGACATGCCACATGCCTTGATTTTTGCTACTACTTTTTTCACAAACAGGCAGTTCAAGGTACATGCAGTATATGGCCCAAACTCGAAGCGCTTAAGGCCCAAAGGAGTTTCGCGCTGCTCTCAAGAGCCGCTGGCGCCACACGAGAAAGCCGGACGGGCCCCCACTTGTTGGAGCAGACACCACGGGGTGCCATCAGACGGCGTTTTCTCAAAGAATAATTGCTGTATACGCTTAATGTCTTCTACACTTAACAATTTGACGTTTCTATCAAAATATAATACACAATGGGCCTAAAAAGAGCAATAATAGTAACGTTCATAATCACCACGCTATTAACTATTTCACGCAATTAACCATTTTCATTCATCAAATTTTATTAAAATAGTGCAGAACCGATCTGATCCGAAATTACCAGCAGCGCGTGCGTGCTGTGAAATGAAGGCACAAGTACGGTACCGGAAAAATTAATTATGCCCATGCTCAACTTAATTAAACATTTTTCTTTCTCGCTTAAAAAGAAGTTTTATTTTGATAGTCTGGCTTAGCTACAAGGTAACAAGCTGATGTACATAATCAGCTATCCCATATATCTTTATCGGGAGGGCCTTGATGCTTAATGTGGGTCGGAACATTCAGCAGAAGTGAGTTTTGGGCACCTTTAAGATTTGCTTTTGGGAAACTTGTTTGCTTTATTGTTCTCAAATATTTTAAAGAATAAAATACAGCAATAGGTTAGCCCAGACAAGGTTTTAAAATGTTTTCACGGTCAACAGTGCTTTCTGATGCTGAACATGTCTCGCTTTCTGCTCGTTTACTCCAGAAAAACACACACAAAAAGCCGTTACTTAATGTGAACCCTGGCATCACACGAAAGAACAATTTCAGCAGAGTATGTAAAAGTAATTGATCTATCCTATTTTAATCAACTAGATTTTTCAGAGATTTTTAATTTATATCTAGTTCGGTTTCATTGCAAAAAATTTGAGGAAGTGCTCGTGCGATCAAACGTTTTTTCTATAAAAATATTCAGGCAAGAAAGTATTTCGAAGTTAGCAAACAACCACATTTTTTTTCAAAGAAATTGGCAACGGTTGGCGAACTGAATACCGTACAGCGAACTGAATATCGCAATATCCCAAGACATGCCCCACCCCTGAAATATAGCCCATTCCTACTTTTAACATAATTTGCTAAGGAGTTCCTTTTTTTTTTTTTTTTTTTTGCACAGTGGTAAAGATAGTTTATTTTTAGTAATTGCAGTACCCAGACCCATGGTTACCTCGCTAGAAATGGTGTTAGTTAACTACAGAGGGAGGTAAGTGAATGTTGCTGAATGGGAAGGATAGTCGTCTTTGGTTCATTGCCCCTCGCTGTGATAGCAAGTTTTGCAGGTGACAAACTAAAAATAGCATTTTTTTTTTTGTACATTTTTTTATTACACTTTGAAGGTAACCCATCTATTTTCACCCAATTTGCACTCAATTTTAGGTGGGCTATCTCTCCTCTCCTCCTTCCTTCCCCCCCCCCCCCCTCCAATGTCCCGTTTTTTATGTTGTAGATTACGGTTTGAGTCACTGAATGTCTTCAGGCTCGAAGTGCCAAAATGGCGGCTCAATCTTTTTTTCTTTTTCTGTGGTCACCATGAGCGTTTAGAAAGCATGCTTTTTCGTCAAAACAAACAGAAAAAGCTCTTTTTGTAGGAACTTTTATTGGAGATTAGTACAGAATTACAGGAGCGTGACATTTTTATAAAATTTTAGTTTACAAGGCTTTGCGGCACAATTAATATTTTTTTAAACAACCATGTCTCACAGGTGATTTCAAATAGCACGTCCCGACCAGGGTGTGTCCCAACTTTGGTGATAATTTGCGGCGCGTCCGCTTAGGAGACTGGGGTTGACAGCCCTGAAACTCCTTCCACCGTATACTGTAAACAACTTAATTTTCGCGAGGACCTAATTTTCACGGATTTCGCGAATGGCCTACAATTCGCGAAAAACAGGTCCCGCAAACAATTCTGGTAAAATGTAAACACATTGGAATCTATAGACCTTTCCAGCGGCAGTCTCGAACGAAGTGATTTACAGCACACGTCCTTGGTTTCGAGAGGGTGCGTCAGTGTTGACCGACCGCGCTGGGCTGTGGGTTTCTTAGACTGTAAGCTGTGGCAGCCTGCGTAGGCGCACTTCTGGACGCTGGTGGAGGCTAATATGCCGCGTTCTATTTTTTTTTTTTTTTGTGTTCTATGGCGAATAGAATTTTAAGGGTTTTTAAGAATCTATCATACTATTTTAGGGAGCAAAAAAAAAAATGAAAGCCGTTTTGGCGAGTCCTTACGCAACAGAACAACTGCAACTGGAATGTTTGTTTTATACTATGTTGATCTTTTTACGGTACCAAACACTCAGCCATGTCAATTTACAAAGGTCTTAACCTTCGAAAATATTTGATCACACAGGATAGCCGAACTACACGAATATCCCCGCTCACAACACGAAATTCAATGAGTCTCATCAATTGAACAACGTATATTGTACGTACCCCACGGTGCCGCATTATTTAAACAGGATTTGAGAAAGGTCTCCAATAACACAGCATATTCAATATGCTGTGTCGACGATAGCCACTTCACGACGATCGGACGGAATCCGGCGTGTTTTGGGGCACATGTAGAAGAGAGTCGCTTTTTTGCACAGCTTCAAAGCAAATGAACGAACGTGTCTATTTTTCGCAAAGACCCGGAACATAGCCGGGAAGGTTTTTGGACATTATCTCAACGGAAATAATCCTCCAAGAACGTCGAACTGCCTGCGTCGCGGGCTGCCTGATGTTCGCTCTCTTCGTTCGTTTCCTCCGAAGGCCGAGCAGGTTATGCGCCCTGGTATTCCCTGGTTCTTACAGTAGAAGATAACACACAAACGGTAAGTATCCTAAACAGGCAAATCAACTAAAACTTTCAAGAAAATCCGGTGAACTTCGAATGCACAATGCAGGTGGGGAGTCACGCTGACCGGGTCTCCACAGCTCAGGCGGGTGGCAGAAATTTCTGGCTGATAGGGGTCGCTCGTTTCGCAAAATGATGGCGGCCAGAGAGCTCTTTTTGCAAAGGTCTATATTGAGATCCCACCGCGTCGCGAAAATTAGAGCCTGCAAATTATTCCAAAACTTCAGCTTTGACCTAAATCGCGAAATATTGAGCCCGCTAAAAATAAGTCGTTTACATTATGTTTTGGCGTTAAAATCGCCAATCGAAACTAAAATTAAACAGTAACAACGGACGCTACCAAATGCCATACTCTGGCAACATAGCGACTCTAATTATGGCCACCCTGGTTATGGCACGACATTGAACCTACCTCCCGGCCATCTGGATGTACTCGGCGGGCAGCAGGTCCCTGTTGGACACGCCATCGTGCTTGCGGATGCTGTCGAACACCACAGTGCGTGCCGGCATGTTCACCCCCATGGCGAAGGTCTCGGTGGCAAACAGCACCTTGACCAGGCCGCGTTGGAAGAGCATCTCCACGGCCTCCTTGAGGATGGGCAACACCCCGCTGTGGTGCACCCCGAAGCCGGACTCGAGCAGCGACCGGAGGGTGCGGAGCTGGGGCAGCCGCTGGTCAGCGCGCCCCAGCCGCGAGGTTACCGTGCTCTGGATGAACCGGCGGATGGCCGACTTCTCCTCCGCCGTGGTGAGGTCAAGGGAGCGCAGCGAGAGGGCATTCTCGTCGCAGCGCTTGCGCGACAGGGTGAAGCAGATGACGGGGAGCCGATCGGCCTTGCGCAGGTGCTGGATCAGGCCCTGATAGCGACTCCTGTCCTGCTCAGAGTCGAAGGAAGAGACAGAATGCATGACACAGTTGAAAGGATGTGGATACAGCATCACATGAGTGATGCTCTATTCCAGTAGTTCTCATCCCCTCATGTTTCTGGGACTCCTTCTGGATCAGCGGAAGTGATGAAGGCAGGCACGTAGCCAGGGGGGTCCATAGGGCCCCCCCTGGCTACTCCTGCCATGCCAAAACGCGGTTTCGTTTCACAGTATGACGGCATGGCTGGCCTGGTACACGGTACGCTACGATCGGAGCATCCACACATGCCCACGTCTATCGTTGAAAAAGTTTTAAAAATATGCGAGATCAGACTTATGAGACGACGAGAGCGCGAAACGAGAGACGGCGAGAAAAACCATGCAAGACCGAATGGACCATTGATGTAGGGTACTATGTGTCAAGCGGCCGCTTGCACTACCTAGCTCACGCATGCTCAATTATGGTACGCAGTTTAGTTTCGGTTTCGAAAAGCGACCGAAAGTGGTCTTTTGGCACAGGTTTGGTGCAGATTACTCTTATTTTGGCAAAGTGTAGCAGGATGTAGCAGGGTTAGTCCCTTGGCGCAGTTTGGCGCAATTGGCGCAACAATCACATCACTGAGAGAGAGAGGAAGGGAGAGAGTGAGAAATCAGACAGAATATGCAAAGAGTTGAGACCTTTGGGCATTTTCACGATAATACTGAGAAACCATCCGCTTACCTGTTTTTTTAGTATTTTTATTCCATATGTTTCTGTAACTCCATAACTATTTTAAATTGTTTGTCCAGTCTCTATTACACTAGTATGAAACTGCATTAGAAGTATGACTGCACTAAGTCACTAATACAGAATTGAATTACCATGATTCAAAACTAGGTAGTATATACAAGAACCAAAAATAAAGAGTTGCCTCAGCAACCAGTCTCATCGCCTTCCCCGTGCTTCTGATAGAAGGGATGAGACAGGCTTAAACATTTTGAGTAAGCAAGGTAATAGGTCACACATTTTTAGTCAAATGTTCTCATGGTTCCAATACACACAGACATCAAACGCCACAGGTAAGGATTAAATGAAACTAGATAGAGAAGCTAAATTATATGTATTGCTATGCAGGCACGTTTCTGTCAAATGGTTTGTCGAACTTGCAGGCAAAGTAAAGCAAGCTCTCGTTCCTCCCCCAATCTAATGAACAGGACTGCCAAAGCTATTCCCAGTTTCAAATATTATTGTTGCATACGGGCAGCAAGATGCATGGACTCACGTCGTGGGTCCGCGATCCCTTGATGGTCTCTTTCCGTCTGGCACAAGCTTTCATGTAACTGGAACAAATGAAAAGCGAAGATATTTAAAGGTACACTAAACACGTTTCTGGGATTGTCTATTCTTCGTGATAACTCATTCTACAAGATCTTAGCATCCCAGAAATTGAAAAATTAGTGCGATGTTTATTTTCCTATTAAAAATGTGATTGAAGTTTGTGCCACGCCCCTCTGAGCGTAAAAATCTGGAGCACAATCCAGCGTAGGCGTTGGCGGCATGACGACAGGCACGTGTCAGCCAATCGCAAGCCACCTTTCCAAGAGAGGCGACCTGCGACTGACTGACATGCCCCCGTCATCATGCCGCCGGCGCCTCTGCTGGATTGTGCTCCAGATTTTTCCGCTCAGAAAGGGGCATGGCATAAACTTCTATCACATTTTTAGTAGTTAAATAGACATTGCAGAAGCATAATTTTTGGATTTCTGGGATGCTTGGAGCCCGTAAGATAAGTTATCACCAAGAACAGACAATCTCAGAAATGTTTCTAGTGCACCTTTAAGAAAAGGGAAGACTGCAAAAACATACAAATGAATGGCATGAGCAAAACAAATTATTTAAGAAAATTGGACAGCACAAAAAGTGATGAAAGACAGACTAAAATAATTTAAAATCTGGGCATCCACACCTGGAAGTCTGGAACTTGTTGCTAGCATCCAGGATAAGAAAGGTCTCCTGGTTGAAGTACAGGTGGTGTTCGAGAGGCACGGGACGCTTGGTCGTGCAGATGACGTACAGCATACGCTCCTTGATCCTCCTAAAGTGACAGCAGCATACTTTGCTTCAACTGAAGAATCTTAAGACAATATTAAACCCTTTTCAGCTTCAGAAATATTGACTGTGACTTGACACAAATTTAGGCCAAGCTTCGTTTCAAACGAAAAAAAAGATGAAGTACTGGGGGAAATTTTTAATTTCATGGCACGGGACTGCGAACCCGGACGCTTGTACTACACAGCTGCAAAAACAAAGAAAGTGTCATCTCCGGTATTTTTAGGTTTAAACGTCTCTACATCTCGTTCTAGGTTACACTCCTGAAACCGTACACTGCATAGCCCCCCGAAGGCTCGAAATTCCACGCACCAAGTTCGCGCTTCTTCGCTTCTTTCTCTTCTCTCTCTCATTCCTCACAGTACCGCACGCAGCCACCGCCACTGTGCACCCATCTCTCCCAATTCTCTTCCCTTAAGAACTCAGTCACTCTCCGCAGAAATTCAGCAACTGGCCCGCATGAGCCAGCCCTGCTGATTTTCCGGTGTTTCTGTCTTTCAAACGATAGTCATTCGCCCTTACCTTCCCCACCACCACGAAAAGACAAGAGCATCTAGGGGCCAGTTTAGCTGCCACACCTTTGCTGGCATTACTCAGGGTGTGCAGGCCACGGAGCACCACGTCACCAATCTGAAAGATCACCTGCTGTTGATTTTCTATTGTAACAGCACCGCTGCTGCTCTTGAGCCAGTCTTCGATTTTGGAGTGCAAATGTGTGTGCCTCTTACAGTATAGATGTCACCTCTGCCGTGAAGCCTGGAGAGCCGCTGATTGGCGCAGGAGGTTAGCCAGGGTTTCGCACCCAAGGCTTGCGAAGCTGGCACCCGTAACACAAGAGGAGTGGTGTGTAACCTGTGGTATGTAACCATGTGACGATCCTTGATGCTGAGGTGTTTCATCACCGCTTCGCAGAGGTTGGAAACAAAGGCACATACATTATCACTGGAAATGCTCGTGGGGAAACCATGCCGACAAAACAATGCCAGCATTCTTTCCAAGATGGCCTTACTGGCTGGAGCTCGAAGTGGGAATAGCCCAACAAATGTCGTAAACTTGCCGATGACAACTAAAAGATATCTGTGCTGGCGCTTAGATGTCGGAAAGCATCCGATTAGCACTACGCTCAACTCTGCCATAGGTTCCACCGCCCATCCATCAGATTCACGGGCTTTTGATGAGGAGGTTTTAGAGTCTGACATGGAATGCAAGATTGAACATTACGTGAAATGTCAGACCTCATTCCCAACCAAAAATAGTGTTTTGCTACTTGCTTCAGTGCCTTGAAGTATCCAAGGTGGCAACTCAGAGGGTTATCGTGTGACAGCTCAAGTACTGTCTGGCAGAGTTGCTTGGGGATCAAGATGAGGTTTCTCTCCTCTGCTATTTTAAGTAGTAATTCATCTTGATCAATTTCGCTGTCTTGAGCAACCTCTTTTATCCAGCGTGCCTCCGCTTTGTTGGTCGGTAGAGTTTGTTCCAGGAGAAAGTGGATTATTGCAGATATTTCAGGGTCCTTACTCTGTTCATGTGCTAACTCGGATGTACAGAGGAGGGGGGAAATGTCCGTCTCATTGACCACAGCATTCTCCTCGAAACGGATCCGACTACCTGCTTCTACAGACTCAATGGGAAACCATTCCTCTGTTTTGGTGTTCAGCGGCTCTGTTGATATTTTGGCTGGTAAAGGGAACCTGCTCAGTGCATCAGCTGGGACGTTTGCGTTCCTCGCCGATGTCTGATGACGTAATCGAAACCCTGCAAGCCCAGCACCCATCAATGTACCCCGCTTGAAGTCTGTTCCGTGGTAAACATCCACCTGAGGGAAGCGTGGTCAGAGTGAACCTCAAATGAAATATGTTCTAAATATGGTCGAAACTTAACAATGGCCCATACCACAGTCAAACACTCTCACTCTTGTACTGGGTTGTGCCTCTGTGCATCATTCAGTGATCAGCTAATAAATGACAAAGGCCGCAGCTGCCCCTTAATGTCTTGCAAAAGGACAGCTGCGATGCCGGCACCGCGTGCATCTGTCTCCACCAGAAATGGTTGGTTGAGATCAGGGAGTGCAACTACCACCTCATCCGACAGCTTGGTTTTGAGTTGCTGAAATGCCACGCCGTGCAAAGTCTCCCAAGACCAAGGGGCATTCTTGTGCAGGAGGAGTGTCAAGGGTCAAGCCAGTTCCAAGAACCTGGGTAGGAACACCCGATAGTATCCGGCCAATCCAAGGAAGGCTTGGAGGTCTTTGACACTTTGTGGGGTTGGGAAGTCTCGGACACCAACAACCTTATCTGGGTTGTTGGGACATACTCCGAGGAAATGACCTGACCCGGAAACTTCAGCGATTGCCCGATTTCCTGCAGGCTTGTGTCTTTGCTGGGTTAATGGTAAGTCCAGCATCTTGGACCCCAGACAAGACCTCTTCAATATGTCAAAGGTGTTCTTCTAATGAACTAAAGTAGATGAGTACATTGTTTAGGAAGACTGGTTTTTGATCCACACCACTACTTTGTCCACGAGAGCTTGGAATGTGGCCGGTCCACCAGTAACGCCAGACAGCATTCTTTTTAAACTCAAATGTCCACTGGTGGCATATAAATGCAGTCTTAGAAATATCCTCATATCAGACAGTGATCCGGAGGAAGCCCTGAGACAGGTCAAAACTGTCTCAGGGCAGGGCAAAACAGTACCCAGTCAATCCTTGGCATTCGGTATATGCATGGGCGTCCGCAGAGGGGTGCAAGGGGGGGCACTTGCCCCCCCTTGGAATTTCGAGGGGGGTGCAGGAAGGGGGGGGGAGCTGCACCCACACCAGTTAAAGGGTACTCCGGTGGTTTTTTAACTACCCAAACTAACTACATTTTCTGAATAACATGGACTTACTGTTCCCGGCAGGCTATTTTTTATCTAGAAATTCAAAATGGCTATTGAAAAAACGGCAAATCTAAAAAGCAAAAAAAAAAAGAAATAAAAAAAAAATAGTGTTAAGGAAGTTTTGACTACGTCGCGAGACCGGCAAAACTTGCTTTCGACGCGTTGTGTCTTTTTTTCTGCGGCACCGCGCTTCCGTAAAAATTTCCACGTGTTCTCAACGGCAAGTCTCACGGCTTACGGAGGGTTTTAAAAACTCCTTCGACGAATGACGACGAACGAGTAGAAAATGTGTCTTCAGCACGCTGCCGCTAGCCTCCGCAACGCTCCAAAAACGCGATTTTTCGACATGCAGGATGGCCGCCCAGTGGCTCCATATAGTTGTTATAATGTACGCTAGAGGTTCAACTGGCTCTAGTGTCTATGCGACTTCCGGGAGGCAAATTGAAGCAGACAGTAACCAGTCCACTTTTGCGGTGCTCCCGTGCATTCCTATGGGAAAACGTACGTGAATTTTGTCTCTTCGCCAGAAAATAACACGAACAACTTCTGTGATTTTGGTTGTAAAAGATAGTATGTACCTTTAGTAATATTGTAAAAGTGTAATTGCTTACAGTATTTTTCTTTACCACTGAACGATGTTAAGCTTCTTTATATTTCAGGACCAAACCTCTGTTCCATGGCAGGTATGTTAGAACGAGCGACGATTCTAGGCAAACTAACGATCGAAAGGAATGTAGAGTGTGTTCAAGGTTCGCTAGCATTCCGATGGCGCTTATATATTGCTAATATGCCGGTCCTGTCACTCTATGAAAATGACTCCGTCGTGCATCTTTGCGATCGGTTAAAGAACTTTTGAATGTAAAAAATAAAGTACGTAAGCTACGAAAGATGCGTCTTTTTATTATTTCCTATGTCAGGCAGTTTTTATCGGGCGCCTTTTCTCTGACTTCTTCCTATTTGCAAAGATTTGGAGCATGCGGTTGATGATTTGAACCCAGAACATGCATGCTCGCACATATTCATGACCAGAAAGAATAAAGCAGTACTTATTTATTGCAAATCGAAATATACTACTTGGCTTTCAATTTATTTTGATCGCCTGCATGCACAAGGAGTTACTTATCCGTCTCTCTTGGTTTCTCACATGGCCTTCGTTCGTTTGACACGTATATCCCCCATGATGGAAAGCGCCGACGACGTGTTCGCGCTAACAGTGTCCGACAGTGCACAAAAGTACATGTACGAAGCGGTTTTAACACCGTTTTTCATGCCACGAATATCAAATAAAAACGCCTTAACTTACCAATTATTTCGTCTGCGTGACTGAGAAATGTTCCAATGTGCCTAGTACTTACGAAATATTCGTAATATTTGCTCTTTTAATTGAGCGCAGCGAGAAAATGCACTCGCTTTTTCCCATAGAAATGCATTACCGGAAGTCAATTTCCGACTGGTTGCTGTTTGCTTCAATTTGCAGCAGTACTCTAGGGCCAGTTTAACCTCTAGCGTACATTATAATAACTTTATGGTGGCTTCACTCGCGGAAGCGGGAAGCGCGATCCAGCAATTGTCATAGAGATCAACGGGTGTGCAGTCCAAAATCCAGGACGCGGCCGTGAAAACGTGAAAGCAGGTAGAGAGTAACGTGGAAACATGCTGAAAATAGCCAACATAGCTAACATTCCCGGGGGGGGGGGGGGGGGGGGAGGGAGAGGGAGGGGGAGGGGGAGGGGGAGGGGAGGGAGGATAAGTGTGCACCCCCCTGGAAAAAGTTCTGCGGACGCCCATGGGTATATGGGATCCTGAATTTTGGCATTGAGTGACCGGTAGTCCACAGCTAGCTGGTACCCTCCCGACTTTTTTCAACTAAGACTGGGGCAGAGGACCAGTGGCTGGAGCTTGGTTGAAGCAAGTCCTGCTGCCTTAGATCCTCCCAATGCAGGCATTCATAATTTGCCTTTTGTGGGCACTGACAGGCTGGATGGAGCCTGCAACGCGTAGGCATGAAATCTCCTGTGTCGATGGTGTGGTCCACCATTTCCATGCCACCGGGACTTTTATTCATTATTGTGCCAAACCTCTCAAACATAGCTATAACATCTGGATGCTTTGTATGGACAACCTGGGCCTTATCTTTTCTCGTAGGAACTGATCTTCTGTGGGCAGTGTCCTGTGCACACCAGAGCTGTCACTTGCCTAAGCAAACAAATGCACTAGGCTATAGACACAATCATTTGTGGATGGACCAGTCTCTTTTGTACGGCTTTCACTTTTGGCGAAGGGGACAAGCTGTTGGTGTTCATGGCCCAGCGTCTAACATTCAAAGATACACTGAGATTCCAGTTGTGTTGAGGAAGCCCTAACCTAGCAGTATGTCCCGACAATGACCGGGCATGTGAAGAAATAGATGCTTGTATGAGCCCCCTGCCCAATGCACTCGACACATATCGAACTTGCTGTCCGAGACCAACCAGTTGCAAGACAAAGACAGTGTTGTTCCTGTCTGACAGTTGCTCGTCCAGCCACCAATGCTCCAGTCGATCCCTGCCAAACTTACGCTGGATCAGGTGTCTAGAAGTGCACGTAAAGTAATATCCCCGATGCGGAGCTCCAATAGTGGCTCCCTTCCACCGGCTGTTGCAGCAACTTGCACTGAGAAGTAGGCACCTGCCGGTACAGCACCTACTGGCTGCCCTTCTGAACAGCGTGCTTGTGTGGGACCAGGCTGGTTGCCTGTAGGGCACTGGCACAACATGTGTCCCATGCCTCCACAACGATCGCACAGTACTTGGAGATCATGGCCGCTTGGCTGAGGTACTGGCTGATGTCCGATGGAACCGCCGAGGCCCACATTGCACGGCGTTACGCTAAGCGCTGCAGTGGCACCGAGTTGGTCTCTGTAGTACGAACGTTGCACGGCTGTTGGATGCAGGGGCGAAGAGGGTGGCTGTGGCGTTACGAGAGCGGGCGTAGCCTATGCTGCTGCACCTTGAGCAGCTACCAGAAGTGGAAGCGTCACAGGCATAGTCGACCGACCTTGAAATTCCAAGTCCCAGACAACTTGATTTGATGGTTTGGGGAGGAGGTATGTACTGGAGACGTCACCACACATGCTCCATTAGGCCATCAGCAGCATCGGCAAGTTCCTCGAGTGTAGTGAAGGTTCGTCCCTCGACAAGATCTCGGAACTGCAGGTGCATCTGTTGGAGTACCCGCTCCATCTTCTGCACTTCCGTCACAGGCTTGCCGATCCAGTCATAGTAGCAGCTGATAGTATATGAAAATGGTTTGAGGTTTTCCTCGGGGCGTTGCGTTTGTTTGCATAGTTCCTTCTTGAGCCACTTTTTCTTGTCAACTGGTGAAAACTCAAGCTTGAAGGCCGTGACGGACCCGGTCAAGCTACTGAACTTGCCCGCAAAGCGAAACCAGAGCTTAGCACTACCGTCAAGGGCCGCAGGAACAACACGGGCAATGTAGTCTTCGAATTTAACACCGTGGATCAGGCAATAACTCTCAAGCCTGTCTATTAATTCTTCCAGCAACTGTTAATCTCCAAAGCCAAAAAAACTTGAGAGGCTCGGCAACAATCCATCGGGTGTGCGTGGGGTCTTGATCTGGCGCCCGATTGGTCACATTTACGGCTGGCTGTACTAAGGCAGCCGGTTCACCCTCTGTAAGTTCGATAGGTGCTGCAATCAAGAGTTCACGAACGTAGGCAGCCATCCACTCACGTTAAAGCGCTGAGCCGTCTGTTTGCTGCATCATGATGCACAGGAAGTCCAGTGACACGGAAAACGGTGGTTGAGACATCAATATCCCGGAAAAAACCCCCCTTGTTAAGTTTAAACGTCTTTATCCCTTGTTCCAGGTTACACTACTGAAACCGTACACTGCTTAGCCCCCCAAAGGCTTGAAATTCCAAGCAACAAACTAACGCTTTTTCGCTTCTTCCCCCTCTCGTTCCCCAGACGCACCACACGCCACCGTGCGCCCGTCCCTCACAGTATAAAAGAGCTAATATCGAAGTTCGCCAGGAAATAAAAACAATCGCTTAAGACTGAATTTATTTTATTACTAAGTTTATAATCATAAATGCAAGAACAAAATAAAATAACTTATTCACAAAAGCTTTTCTAAAATAAATTGGACTCTTACACATCACTTAAGGAATTCCTTACTTTTCCCTTTGTTTAAAGAACCATTACTAATAGGAAAAACTGGCCTGCAGGTAGTTCCTAGAGAAACGGTACAATCTTGCTTCGCACCCATTGCCTTATTTCGCTTCAATGCCCCGCCCCAAGCAATGATCTCTAACACAAATACAGACCTGCATATCGGGCTTCTACAGTGAAACCCGTTTAGAACAAACCCACGTACAGTGAATTATTGTCAATATCGAACTCACGGAAGATTTAAATAAAAATGCACCTAAAAAGTATGTTTTATAACGAACAACATATTAGCTATATCCAACTTTTTACCCGCGGGAAGGCTTTCAAAAAAGCACAAACAATTGTCTGCTAGCCTGTCCCTTCCCCCAAAAAAGAAGTAGGAAAGAAAGAAAATTCGAAAAGCTGAAGTTGCAAATGAAATTGAGCTAAGAGAGGCGATTCAGAAGGGAAAAGAGCTAAAGATACACTCTGCACGCACGCACAGAAAAAAAATCTTTTCATTCCAAAGCATTTGCCCATGAAGAGAAGCGATTCAGAAGGGGAGATAGCTAAAAAAAACAAACACTGCAGGCATAAAAAAAAAAAAAAGTTTTTTAGCGCGTTGTTACAAGGCGGAAGTGAAGAGATGAGAAAGAAAGAGAAGCTCTTGCCTTACAACAAACGTTTTGCTAAATCGAATGACTTGCTATATTGAACTGATCGTAGCGTTTCTTTCTGTTCGTTATAAACGGGTTTGACTTAAAAAGTGTGTTGGAACAAAGAGGAAGTAGACGCACCCTATCCAATTGGCCAGGTTCAGGGCATTGGGTACGGTAGCACTGAGCAGCACAAGCCCCACGTGTCTCGGCAGCATGATGAGCACTTCTTCCCAGACAACGCCTCTCTGCAACCAGATCAAAATTCCCAAAGAGAGAAGGCAATAAGAACTTTGCACTATAATTGCTCGTTTAGACGGCGTTCATGCAATACTATCAATATCACGTGGTAGAATGTCGCCGTGACATTCTAATGAAGTAACACGAGGGGCCAGCCACAGATGCACAACTCACGTCGGGGTCGTTGATGTAGTGGCACTCGTCGAAGATTACCCACTCCAAGTCGGCCACCACGTCCGACCGGTTGTACAGCATGGACCTGACAGAAGACGGCACGATGCTCTACACTCCGTCTGACCTTGGCACGACCTCAACACAGACTGCAGCTTACGATATGAGCGCAACCTTCTGGCCTTCCATTATGTCTCGACTGCCGGAAGATCTCGGCAGCACGAGCACTAACTAAAGCTGCCCATTTCGCCCGCATATTTTGCTGCAGTCCCGGTTCCAGTGGTTTTCAACCACCGATAAGTGGGGAGCCCTTCTGGATCGGCGGAAGTGATGGGGGAGTCCATCCGCCAAGGGAAGGGGACGATTAAAATGACAGAAGGGTAAAGAAGAATAAAGAAAACTGAATGTATGCAAACCAGCTTTAAAGCTCAAAAACAAATAATCGACCCTACCCACTGGGCGCACATGGTTCGGTCTATTTAGGTTTGTAAGACAATCAATAACAATAAAAAAAAGTTTTATTGACTGGCTTAACTCACGGTCAGGGGCTTCGAGGACACCAAACTAGGTTAATATAGACATGAATGCTTGTCTGGTCAAATTGGTAAAAACAAAGATGGTGGCCAATAAAGAGCTTTGAAGGCAGGGTAAACGGAATCAGAGAAAGCACATTTATTTTCACACGATATCCCTGTCATCGCCGCTGGCGGCCTCGTGGCCGCCGCAAAGGGGTGAATATTTTCGGCTAATGCCGGCGCTTTGGAGGGGTGGGCGCTTAACGTATAATTTTCAGAATTCCCAAGTTTCGGAATGTTAACATTGGGCACTTGTCCAAAGTGGGCGCTTTCGCTCTACTTTACAGTAGTACAAACTTGTGGTGCGCACACGTGGACTTTCACAAAAACAAAATATATGTACAGGAGATGAAGAGCAAAAGTAATGTTATCTATATTTAGTTATGTTCTTGATATCAATATCAACTAAGAAAAGGTGAAGTGTCAAACTGAAACAGCCTCCTGATACCTTGCTCAAACATGCAGAAGGGCAATGCTCACTCAAATCTAATTGCGCAATTAAGACCATTCTAACTCAAATCAACAAGTAGTTACAAACACATATTACCAAAGAAATCTCCCTTAATAATGAAAGCCCAGCAGGCAACAAAGCGGAGTGCAAGTTCGTCTGCTTCTCGCACAGGGGTTGCAATGATGTCAAAATGCCAAGCTCATATTGACCGACTGAAAAAAATAGCGGGTAGACGTCAAAACGTCTAGCATTGAAGTCTACCCACTATATCCTTTCAATCAAAGCCAATCAGAGCTCGGCGTCGTTCTGACATCACCGCAACTCCTGTGCAAAAAGCAGACGACTTGCTCTCCACATAGGAATTTGACTCCCAGTTTGGATAGGTTAGATTGTTTGCTTATCGTCCTTTATCATGCAGAAGGCTTTTACTTGCCTGAGAATTTCGGTTGTCATAATGAGGCACGAAGCCTCCTTGTTGATCTGCACATCGCCCGTGATGAGTCCAATATCTTCAAAGGTGTCCTTAAAGTCCCTGTACTTCTCGTTGGACAGAGCTTTGATTGGAGATGTGTAGATTGTCCTGGAAATGAATATTATTTGATTCTTACCATGTGCTGTCCATTTCATGAACATTATTTGATTCTTACCATGTGCTAAGAACAGAGTCAGGTAGAAATCCACAGAAATTGCACTAGTAAATATACACAATGCCGATTGTTCAGAATGCATTGATAAATAGCAATACCTCCAAAAAGTTTTGTTTGTTGAAAAATAAAACTTAAACTTTGCTTCGTCAAGCAGTTTCTGAGAAGCGCAAGAACACAGATGCAAACTGTGTAATCAGAATTTACTTTATAAAGAGCAGTTATTGTGTTTGTAGTGTTATCTATGAGTATTCCAGACTAATTCCATTTACCTACAAGGCTAAGTTCATACTCAGCAAAAAGTAAGATAAAAGAATATATATTAATTTAAAGGTAACATAATGGCACCCAACTGAGTTACATGCAACAATAAGCGACCTAACTAGATTCCAGATCATCTACCAACATGAAAAAGCCCTGATGTTGAATGATCAAACTTTTTGGTCATGCAGTGAACCTACTGGAAAAACCCATACGCAACTACAACGATATAAGAGAGATTTTTCTAAAAAATTTCCAATTTAACGTAGAAAAAGCAAAGGCTTTTCGTTTCAACAGTCCTAAGGCGATAATTGACTTTCACGAGAGCACCCGACTTTTTGGGGGTATGCAGACTTCCTACGACTTGCTCTGGTGTGCATGGCAAAAATGGCATGACACCTACCTGGTCATATGGCGCCTAGAGAGAGCAATGGCATACTCGGCCACCACTGTCTTGCCGGCAGATGTGTGGGCGGCCACAAAGACCGATTCCCTCCGCTCGAGGTGAACGATGGCTTTCTTCTGGAACGTGTCCAGCTCAAATGGCCACTGCAGCAGGATGACAAGAACAGACAGCACGACCATTCATAGGAACGACAACTACAGCAGTAGCTTCAGTCATCAAGGAATTACTAAGCGTCTGCATGCTCCATAACAGCGGTTCTCGACCATTATTGGTTCGCGGACCCCTTGTGGGTCGATAGAGATAATGGAGGACCCCGTTTGAGATTAATGGGAAGGCAATTCCGAAAGTTTATTATGATAATGATTTAATAAATGGATATAACTAAGTGACTGTGTGGAGTATACCGTATTTACTCGCACAATGAACACACTCGCGTAATGAACGCACCCCCCAAGTCGGCTCTCAAAATTTTGACTTTTTTTTTTTTTTTCACTCGCGTAATAAACGCACCCCCAACTCGGAGGTCAAAATTTTGACCGCCTCCCCCCACGCGCGCGAAATGAATGCACTTTTCTATTCTGGTGCAGCAAGGTCGCGAATGCATGGGCAGCGTGGGCGAACAAAACGCCTTGTAAAAGGCGTTAAAAAAATTCGCAAAGATCCAAGGAAGCAAGAAAAAAAACACGGAGAGTAGCTTTTTTTTTTTTTTTTTTTGCACAGCGCAGTCTGGATTTTTGGCTCGCGCGCCGCCGCGCGCAAGGAAGTAAGAAAGAGAAGCGGAGAAGCGCTCTAAGCGAACGAAACAGCTTGCAAAAGGCGGCAGAAAAAAAACAACAAAAAAACACAAAACTAAAAAAAAAACTAAAAAAAGCCTTTTTTTTTTTCTTTTCACAGCGCAGTTTGGTTATCGGGGGTCGCACGCCGCGCACAAGGAGGTAAGAAAGAGGAGCAGAGAAGCCCTCTAAGCAAACGAAACAGCTTGCGAACGGCGGAAAAAAAAAAAACCCACCGAACTGAGAAACAAACAAAAGAAAAAAAGAAGCTTTTTTTTCTTCCTTTTTTTTTTTTTTTTTTTTTTTTTTTTTTTTTTTTTTTTTTTGCACAGCGCAGTTTGGTTACGGGTAGGGATGCCGCGAACTTTTTTCGAATCGAAGTTTCGATGATCGAATCAAGCGGTTCGAAAGGTTCGAAAGATTTCGATTTTTCGAATTGTCTATATCGTAAAATTCGACGGAGGTCGAATTTTCGAACTTGTGAAGCTAAGAAGTTCAACGCTTTTCGACCGTCAAACTTATTAAGCTAAAAAATTCGATCTTTTTCGAACTTTCGACCTTTTTGTGCTGCAAGGTTCGATGCTTGTCGAACTTTCGAACTTGACTGACCAAAAAATCAATGAATATCGAACTTTCGAACTTATTTACCAAGAGAATTCGAAAAGTTTCGAACTTTCGAATTCTGAAAAGTCAGAAGGTCGACGAACCTCGAACTTTTAGGGTAAAAGTTCGACGTTCGTCGAACTTCGAAAGACCGGCGGACGGTTTCATTTAATTTCAAGCAGTGGGGTACATTCGTAATTTTTTTTCTCGAACTTTTACACGCGGTGCTGCGTTCCTTACGAAAGACAATGTCGTTTTTTTCAATGTTTTGGCATGCTTAGGTTTAAAGAAATAAATCCCCGAAGGGGCGAGGAAGGACGACGGGTTTTTGACGATTATCGTTTGTGCCAGATTTGAAGCACGCTGCAGCCGGAGCTATTTATGGTAGACATGTTATACTTTTTTTAAGAATGATCTATGTTTAGCCTAGGTAAGTGCCGTCTTAAGATGTGGTTATTGTTATTCAACGTGAGTTTCGAAGAAATGTCAAACATGTATCTGTATGCAATTATGACCTAAACTTGATATTTATTTTCGTCTAAGTTGTTTGAGGTATCACATTTAAATTAACACCACAGACAGTACATATCATTGCCATCTGCACAATAAAAAATAATATATTTATTGTTTTTTTTCACGTTAAGGAATAAATTAACTCATGGGAGAAGATTTCTAATAGTGTTCAAGTTCAGCACGTCATTAAAAGAAAACTTTTTTTTTTTTTTCGCTTCACGTTCCTGGGACGTGTTTCTTGTAGCCTGTACACATTTTGGTAAAAGAAACTTGTTTCGAAGTTCTGAACCTCTGAATATGCAAGAATAGAACACTTCCGACGAATTCTTGATAGTTTTTTTTTCTCCTGCTTTTTATTCCCACATTTATTCTTTTTTTTTTTTTTTTTTTTGCTATCGGCACAGGTATTTAGGTCGAAAAGACAACTTTGATCTTCTGAACCACTAAGCATGTGACGAGTAGTGCCTTCTGACAACGAGTTTCTAACAGTGACCATCTACGCAACGTTTATGCACTGAAGAGCGACAGTAGCTATACATATGCATAAATAATTTCAGATCAAAATAAGCTCGACCACGCCCTCTTTCCCCGTATTGTTTTCTTTGACAGTCTGAAATACCTGCAAGGGGGAGAAGGAGGCTGAAGCACCCCCCCCCCCCCCCCCCCGCTACCCTCTTTCCCCCTGTTTTTCCTCTTCCGACGCCACTTGTATGGTAGAACGCTCCTCGACCTCGAGTTGTGTCGGCTTTTGTGCTTTTTGCGAGGCGATTCCTCCGTCCCAGAAAATAAACCTCTAGGACAATTATAAACTTCACCGGATCGGATTACTACCAGCGTGCAAGGGGTGGCGAGGTAGTTTGCCAGGTCGCTTCAAGGTTTTTCTGAGCCTCAACCTCCTGCTCGCCCCTGACCATTCCGAACTGGATGAGTCTCGTAAAACAGTGTGTTCGTGCAATCACTACAGTGTAATGCAGGTTAAAGACCCCCCCCCCCCCCCCCCCCCCCCCCCCGGGGCTGGCGGTCACAATTCTGCACTGGCAAATATTCTAGCACGTCCGCGACACTCGTCGTCTCATTTAATTGCCCGACCAACTTCGCAGAATCTAGATGTCACACCCTAACTTTTCTAAACTTGATTTTGTGAAAACCAGTGAGTCGTGAAAACGTTATTTGAAACTGACTGTGGAAAAACTTGAAAATCGGACTTCGAACTTTGAAAAATTAAACTAGAAAGAAATTCAAAATCTTCAAAGTTTTTTTTTTTTTTTTTTTAATTTAGCGTTAAAAGAGAAGCGAAACCTTCGAACTTTATGCAGAAAGAAATTCGAAATCTTCGAATTGTTCGAACTTCATGTCTATAAAAATTCGAAGCGTTCAAAGTTTTCGAATTTTTTCCCAAAGAATTTCGAAATCTTCGAATTTATCGAACCTGAAGGAAAAAAATATTCGAAATATTCGAATTCGAAATTTTAGAAACCGTGAAAGCTTCGAAATTTTCGAATTCGAAACTCTGCTGTGGTCAAAAGTTGCGAATTTTTCGAATTCGAACCTCGGTCGGTACGAAAATATCGAAATTTTTCGAAATCGAACCTCAGTTCGCTTTGCAAATATCGAAACCTTTCGAAATCGAACCTAGGGTGGTTCGCGACATCCCTAGTTACGGGGGGTCGCGCGCCCCGCGCAAGGAGACGAGAAAGATAAGCGGAGAGCCCTCGCCTAAGCAACGCCTAAGCAAACAAAACAGCTTGCGAAAGGCAGCGAAAAAAAAAAACCCAAGGAACTAAATAAAAACAACAAAGTAGTTTTTTCTTTTTTTGCACAGCTTAGTTTGGTTACAGGGTCGGGCGCCGCGCGCAAAGAGATAAGAAGTTACTTCGATTTTTCAAGGTAAAAGGTCCGTTCATTATGCGAGTAAATACGGACGCAAAAATTTTACTTCGCGTAATGAACGCCCCCCTCAACTTTGCATCGATTTTTCGGAGAAAAAAAAGTGCGTTCATTCTGCGAGTAAATACGGTACTTCTATCATTGACATACACACGAGAAAACTCACGCGAGAATTCGAACATTTCTTCTCAATTGAACAAAGAAATAAAACTTTCATTGCTGGATCTAACTGGTGAGGCACGGCTTCATGGACCCCTAAAATGCCTTCGCAGAATACACAGGGTCAGCGGACCCCAATTGAAAGCCGCTGCTCCATAAGAAACCTCAAACTAGGAATACTAATAAAAGAACAGGCAACTATCACCATTCTGAAACACAGCTACTAATTTAATTTACAAAGTCCCTTCTATACATATGTTAAAGGGATGCTGAACCAAAATCTGGATTCCACAAAACACGCAGCAAAAGCGTACAACGGGATGCTACAAACAACAAAACATCACTCATACAGCGATATCTCGAACGGATGACCGTATTTTTTCACAAAAAGGAGGCGCATTTGACAGAAATGTTCACGTCATGTTTTTCCGCGAAGGAAGGGGAACAGCCTCACGCCTACTCCGCTTCGCCGCTTTGAGGGGGCGAAGCAGAAGAGAGGAGGAAACAAGATATCTTCACGTCACGTGCCTTGTCGGCCTGGTTCAATCTCAACCTCTTTTTCCAAAAATATGGCCGTCCATTCGAGATATCGCCTTACGAGTAGTGTTGTAGGGATTGTAGCGTCCCGCCTACAACTCCTGCATTGTTTTCTTTTAATCCAAATTTCGGTTCACCATCCCTTTAACCCTTCTGATGGTTACAAACACCTCTACCAAAAAGAAAATAGGAACAGAGACCTACAAATTACCCTGGGTGACCCCAGGGCAGTTCAAAATGTTGAGTGTGGTTGTACATATTTGTTTGCTATTTCTAATCTCAGATTTATTATGGAGTGAATGCACAGCTTGTCTGTGTATTCTCCCTTTCATTGTCTGCCTATGGTTCTAGCACTTTTTAATAGAGATTTGAATTACTTATACACACCCTCAGGCCTATAGCCACGATTTTTTTTCGAGAATAGGAACTATAGTCAGTTGCAACCTAAGAACGAAGGGCGAGGGTAAGACGGGCCGGGGAGGAGGAAGCAGACGGAACGCTGGAGAAGAGAGGGGGAAACCACCTTCTCTCTTTAGCGTTCCGTCTGCTTCCTCCTCCCCGGCCCGTCTTATCCTCGCCCTTCGTTCTGTGGTTGCAACGAACTATAACTAGTTAAAGCCCCGCCCCCCCCCCCCCCCCCTCCTCTGCCTCGCCAAAAACAAATAGTGAGTACGGCACTACAAGATGTAAAACACAAGGTAGAAAATAGAGATCATTTCGTTTGACATCCATGCAGCAGCACTGAAGAGACCCTCTCACCGCCAAACTTTCTAGGGAGGGGGAAGCAAGCCTCTAGCCCCCCCCCCCGACTGCGGGTCTGCATACTCGAGAATTTATGATTCTGTTTGTGCATTGAATTGAAACAATCAGACTGCTTTGTTATTCCTATAAGATGCAGCAAGTCTCTGAACTCAATGGTAAGGGTAAAGCATAAATATCTTCATCTGGCATCAATGCACAGTCTTTCACAAGACTGAAAAACACGCAGGTAGTGCAACTTGCAACAAAGTTGTGTAGCCTCTCACACGTTTTATAGGCAAAAACGTGGACAGAAATGCCAGTGCAGAGCACCTTGAATGCAGGGTCTGGCACCTGCTCCTTGAAATCCAGCATGGGCTTGGAGATGTCCACCTGCTCTGCCCACTCCAAGCGCACCTTGGGTTCGGTCGTCACGTGGCTGATGTCAAGCACTGCCGTCACCGGTTCCTGAGGATGCAAGCAAAGCAGGTTTAAAGCCAAGAGAAATTGACAAAGGCAAGCAATTGCAAAGAAGGTAAGGCAAAGGTCCTCAGCAGACAAGTGGAGTAGATGCAATAGGAAGCAGTGGCATAGCCAGGGGAGGGGCCTATTGGGGCTTTGACCCCCTCCCCCCCCACCCCAGAATCCAGCAGACCCTACACTGAACCAGCGCCCCCCCCCCCCCCCCTTTCCCTGAAAGAAAAAAAAAAAATCCAGGCTATGCTACTAATAAAAAGCCCCAAAAAAAAAAAGAGCCAAGAAGTTAGTTTAAAGCAGAGGCTACCAAAGGAGGCAGCCAACAGAAATTTGAAATGAAATGGTGCATTCTAGTTAACTTGCTCACCAGTGGCAGCTGCTTCATAAACTCAACATCATCCAGCAGTCCCACACTGGCTTGTTTATTTTCCTGAGGCAAGAAAAAACAAACATGTTTAGTATAAAATTAATATCTTTAAAATCTATCTTCAGAAAATATTTTCAAATCTGCAACACAAAAAAAAAAAAGCACGACCACTGCAAATGAGTTCCACACTTCTAATTAACAGAACAAACAGCTTTTTAGATTGTCAGCACAACTTTCCAAGAGTGTACAGGCAGGCTGTCTAGCAAATTATCATTTTGAAATTCCCCGACTTTTCCAGGTTCTCCCCGACAATTTCTGGTGAAATTCCCTGACCACTGTAGAGGCGGTTAAATATATAAGACCATTACAACACAAGGCATTGAGCATTGAGCACTGTGAGGATCATTTTGCACGGGTCCAAGTTGCACATTCCGAAATATTCGGGTTTGCCCAGTCCGGATGAAACGAGCACTTGCCGCTGACATTGTCAGTGAAGAGGCCACTTCCGGAAACACGATGAAAACACGACGCTCAACCACACGCGTCAATAACCGAATGACAGCATGGCCGCCAGATGCACACCTTCAGATACCTTCCGAAAGTGTGCAGAAAGAAAAGGCTCGGATTAAATTGGGGTCTGCGGCTTTCCCTTTTGTTACTAAAGCTAGTAGATCTAACTGGATCCAGCCTGGTGTTGCACCCTCAATCCAATCTAATACAAGGCTTGGACTGGATTTGTCGGCTGTTCTCTTTGCATCGGGCAGCACACTTCACATCCGGTGAGCAGAACTCGCACTCCGCTCAAAGCAGAATTTATTGCCTATTTTTCTTGCCCCAAGTCCTCAAGCCTTGCTCAGGGCGCTCGATGGCGTTTCCGGCTCATTTTCCCTGACTGGGCTCACTTTTTGACAATATCCCAGACAATTCCCCAATTTTTCCCGGTAACTAAAATTTTCCTTAGAATTCCCGGTTTTCCCGGTCGCTAGACACCCTGACAGGAATCTGAAAAGCTCAATTCTTGCCAATCCCAATTTGGCATTCTGCCACTCGCGAAAAAAATACACAATACCTGGCATCACATTTGATAGAAGCAGAAACAGAACCTCCAAGTATTAGTAAGTATTTCAGGTTCCTTTATTTTTTTCTAAATCATGCCCTTTACTTTGTCTCACAGATGCACGAAAGTGCCATAGTGAGATAGCTTTGGGCAATGCTATAAAAACTCTGAATGGGACAATGGGGCCCGTTCCCCGTAGTTGACACCATTCATCACCTTGTATTCGTAATCATGGACTTTGTAAGCCACCATTTTCCCACTGAAAGCTTAAAAAAAATCGCTCACAACTTTTGAACAGGACAACGGTTAGTTTTGAAACTTTGGCATCCGGTATGAATTGCTAGTACTACATTTGGGCGGAGACTAAGTGCTTGGCAATGTACAGTTTATTTCTGAAATATGTGAAAGCTTACCATAAAATATTGAGCATCTGCACATTCCCTACCAAGTGCCCACCCCAAAATTTTGCAACATCTGAAAAAATATGCACAGTAGATATATAGGTAAAATTAATGACCTAACAAGCGCTCATTCCCCAATTTTCACGATTATCTTGATATTTTGAGTAGGCGCTTGCTCGGTATTTTACGGTAAGTACTCACTCAGCTTCTGTCAAAGAGACAGAAGTTTTCCTTGCCCACCAAACATATTCTGTTTGATGTGCAATGTTTTGTATTAAATTACATTCTATAGTCCTGTCCGGGTTATTAATAGGATAAGTGTCCCACTCGCAGCATGCATTTATCACTTTCCTTTACAGCTTCTGTTTGTGTATCAAGGCACTGACCTTGTTTCGAGGCCTATCATCCATTTCTTGTGGCTCCCCAGCTGACAAGACGTCTGCCAGATTGAGCACATGCCGTACGGAAAACTCTTCCTCGGGAGCTGCTGACTCAACACTAAAGGTCATGCCTTCTTCAAAACCTGGCGGAACAGTCGACAAACCTGGACAGAGGAGGAAACAGAACAGAAACAGTTTGGGCTTCTTCTCTCACACAAGCAAGCATTGAAGACTTCTGCTATTGGATACACACCATTTACAAAGTCTACAGCTGATTCACCGTTTTCTGGACATTCTTCCTCAATAAATACCTGGAAAGAAAGCAAAGATGTTGAAGTGCTCCAGAACCGGCTGTTGTTTCTGGTCCCCTATAAACAGTTGGTTGTGTTCTGGGAATCGAGGAGCACTTGGTGTAGATACACAGTACATCCAACACTGGTTGGTGAGAAAAAAAAATCTGCAGGCAGAACAGACATTCAATAAAGAGCAGTTAACTGTAGTTGTGAAAGAGGAAGATATATTAAATTCAATCTTTCCACTCGCAAAATTATTTAGAGCGATGCTATATGCACTACGTAGTGCACTTTGGACGGAAATTGCTATATGCACTACGCTGAGAGCTCATGCCGCTCGGGCCACCCTTTTTCGAACTGCGCGTGTATCCCTGGGGAGCTCGTTAACCCAGCCCCCCGCCTGCGTTCACGCCGCTTCGCGGCGACAGTATGCGGCTGCTAATTAGAAAAGTTAACCAGTACACGCCGCTTCGCGGCGTCCAGCCGGCAACCCAAGCCCCGCTGTCCCCGATCTGCGAAGTCTGCGAAGTTTCGTCGACAACATTCGGCGTTTTTTTTTTTTAGTGTTCATCGCAAAAAAGAAATATAAATATCGCCAAATGCCTCGTCAAAACAACGTTCAAGAAAAAAAGAAAAAAAAAGGTAGGATCACCGCGATTCGAACCTGCGTCCACTTGCATATGAAGCGGACACGCTAACCCCTACGCTATGCCACCGGTTGGAAAGCTCGTGATCATTCATTTTATACGAGACAAACGTAGTGCATATAGCAATTTCCGGCCGAGCTGCACTCCGGAGTGCATATAGCATTACTCAATTATTTATTCCTTTGAATGGCCTTGGTGTAAAGAAAAAGCAGCTCAAACCTCGTTATATCCTTCGAGGGTACCAGTTGCGAGGTTCCTGCGGACCCGAAGTTCCGAAGGAGTGGCCGAAACATCGCAAGACAACAGCGATTTCACGTCGGGTGGAGCCGAAAAGTGTCTGTTTCGAAACAAAAAGAACGCGAAATTAAGCCCCGTCAACAGTTCGGACCACACAGAGTTGAGACACAACTGACCTTTGAGTGCTTTCAACGCTGTGTACCGATAAATTGTCCGCTATTTCCTCCAGAATTTCGAGAATCTGTGTCTCGGCGTCTGGTACGACGGGGGGTATGCCGAACGGGAACTGGCGACAGAAGCAAATCCGAATTTGAGAGACGTGCAGCTTGAAAAGTTTTGGGTGTGCGTGGAACCTTGAAAGGCGTTATGACACTCACCGGCGAATCGAGCAAGTCTATGCCACTGCTGGGTTCGACGTCCACGTCTTTGCCTCCCCAGAGCTCTTGAAAACGCAAATGCTGGGGAAGATGCTCCATGATAACTTCGGAGAGCGCGCCTGAAATTTCCACCGTAACTTGATCACCGATGTGCAAGACAGAGTCGAACAGCCATGCTACACGGGAAAACTTAAACGAAGTTTAACAATGGCTTAAAGTTTAAAAATGTCTACTCCTTTGTTAGAAAATTGTGAGTTTAGATGTGCAAAACTTACCGCGTCAGCTGTTTTACAAAAGCCGAACCTGCAACGCGAGAACCTCACCAACACCCACCGCAAAAGTTGCTCGTATGCACTTACCCGAGCCCGAGCTGCAGGCGAGAGCGCAAACTTCAGTAGTTTAGTCTACTCATCGATGTCATCAAATGCCTAGCTAAATTCCTCTTAAAACCGGGAGAGTACACGATCAATCAGAAAACGATAAATTTAGAGCGAAGGCGAACGACTGCCGCGCCGGCCATGATTGACCCAGCGTTGCAAACATAAAGTACGGAACGCACTAGAAATGACTAGCGGCATATTTTAATTTCTTGACCTGTTGACCCATCTTCACCGTCTAAATCAAAACAAAATAGAAAAGCGAGTACAAATTTCGTCAACAGTAATTTGGTAGTTTCATTTACTTTGTGGAATTTTAAAGCACATTATCATCATTGCAGATAACATGCAAATGAAATCCCTGGAAATTTGTAACTTGGACGCAGATCAAAACCACTCTCAACCTCTTTGATCAAAACACGTTGGGTGCTATTCCGAAGAGATGAAGTTACGTGTCATTACAATTTGTTTTAGTTTCATCAGAGAGCAGAGCACATTAAAAAAAATGGCCCATTGGCTGCAGGCATCAGCTGATTGTAGAACCCTCAACCACTTGAACTGTTCTGGAATCTATGCGGAACGCAAGTTCGTCTGCTTCTTGCACAGGGGTTGCGATGACGTCAGAACGTCGAGCTCTTATTAGCCGTTTGAAAAAAATGATGGGTAGACTTTAAGGCGTCTAGCGTTAAAGTCTACTCACTATCCTTTCAATTAAAGCCAATCAGAGCTCAGCGTCATTCTGACGTCACCACAACTCCTGCGCAGGAAGCAGACGACTTGCTGTCCACATAAGAATTAACATGCACCAAGAGTTTAAGCTTTTTCGAACAAATAAACACAGACCAGTAGTTCATACGAAAATCAACTTCCAGTTTTAATCGTATGTCAGACGGCTAGTAATATACACATATATGCAATATAGTACACCTATATACAACTGCACAGATGCAGCGTGTGATCCATGAGATGACCAGTCCTGCAAACGAAGTAACGTTTCTCGGCAGGTGCGGAGCAGGATTGTGGCAAGTTTTTGCGTTCCTTGTGTACCGCTCGTAGTAAAAAAAAAAAAAAAAAAGATTTTGGGTTACACCCAGACACCGGATTGAAAAAAGAAACACAAAACTGTCAATAAATAGAGAGCGCAGTCCTCCTCTTCGAGCGCTGGATGCGTGTGACCTTATTTACATGGAGCTGCCAAGCACTGGAGATGCACAACATTGTAGAAAAGATTCCACAGTCTCTTGCTTCCTGTACACGTTTGCACACCACCGTTCGAGTTTTGCAAATGCACGGAGACGCTGCTGCACCGTTTCCATAGTCCTTTTTTTCCTGTACACATCTGCAGTTGGCACGCTGATTGCTATTGCAGCGGAGGTCCATTGACGCCCGGATGCAGGAAGGAACACGAGGTTCCGAATCTGCAGGTTGACGTCATGTAGTATTTGCAGGGTACCCTGGGAGTTCTCATCCTCGAATCTATAAGAAGAGAAAAAAACACACACACATAATTAGTATCTTTATTTAATTTATACACCTAAATAAAAACAAAATCCAGATCATAAACTAAAAAAAAAAAAAGATGCTTAGGCTCTGGCCAAGTTTTCATGAACTAAGAATTCGTCACAATTGAGTTTTTGAATTAAAAGAGGCTCCCAACGGAAGCAATGCCCGCTAAATTACATGTGTCCATGATGGCATACAGGTTGGTGGCGCAGCCAAAAAAACGGATTGTTAAGTAACAAGCCAGGCGAATGCATCCCAAGCAACCAGAAGCTGCAAAATGGGCAGTACAAAACAACTAAACTAAAACCCAATGCTTTCCCTTTGAAGTGCACTGCAGCGCCCTAACGAAACAAAAAAAGTTAAATTTTATTCCCACGGCAGACTTCCGAGAACCGCATTATGCTAGAAAATTCCAAATTGGCCCACTCATTCACTTAGCCCCACCAAAAAGAGAGGAAAGAGCACTCACTGCGTCCTCCGCCATGCGGGGGCATGTTTCCCCGTGCCATGTCCATCATGTGCTGGACGGCAGAGCCCATCGGGGGGGGCGGGGCACCCCCTCCCATGCCCATGGGGGGTCCGCCACCGCCCATGCCCGGTGGTGGGCCCCTGAAGAAGTCGCCCTCCGCCCCCATGGGGGGCATCATGCCCCAGTCACCGCCGCCGCCTCCGTTGCCTCCTCCGTGGCCCATGGGCATGCCCATGTTGGGGAAGCCACCACCCCCTGACATTGACACAGGTGGACCCATCATGTTCATACCTGCAAAAAAGGGTGGGAAGGAAGTTAGAAACGTGACAAAGGTAGGAGGGAGAAGCCAGACGATGTGACGTTCCCATTAAAGCCCAACCTACAAAAGTTTTTCCGCAGGTAGGAAAATCCTCTTCGCCAACCCTATTCATTTCCCCCTCTCCCACTACTATCTTGGTTGCAGGGGGACTCCGTTTGTTGTTGCATCTTGGGGCTGGATAAGCCGGGATAAGGTCCTGGCTTATCCAGCCCCTAGATGCAGCAACAAAAGGCAGGAAGCAAGAGGCATGGTGCAACAACAAAATTCAGGAAGCAGTTTTCAGTCCTCTGGAGATGTCAAAACAGTCAGTGACTGATCAAAATAATCTTAGCTAAGCTTCCTGACACTGCATCTAAAGCACAAGAAGTTGCATTTCGAGTATAGTATTTTTCCAGTTTAGGCACTAGTATTAGAGTGGATCTGGGGCTTTTATTGATGCATAACTTTGGGACAAACATTCTCTAGGACGTCTGCTATTTTTTACGGGGTTTGTGGGGCTTCTGTTCTGCCTCGGGGCAACAGTGCCAAGACCAAGAGGGGTTTCCCAGCTGCCAACCGAGAGAGATAGGTGTTCCTTGAGACTGTAAAGCTCGAGAACCCCTGCGTAGGTTATTCGGTGTCTCCAGACCGACCTAAAGAGTGCAACGCCAACAAAGCGCACTCACCCTGACCCTGCATGTTGTTGGGGTGCATGAAGTTGGGCGGCCCATTCTGGCACTGGGGGTCTCCCCCGAGGAGGTTCCCGCCGCCGCCGCCCATGTGCATTGGGGGACCCTGCATGTCCGGCATCATCGACTGCGGCGGCATCTGGCCCTGCATCTGCCCCGGCATGGGGCCCTGGTGGTGCTGTTGTCCCGGCATGCGCACGTGGCCCCCAGGCATCATGTGCCCCTGGGGTGCCTGGCCGCCCTGCTGCGGCGGCCCCTGGGGCCCGCCCTGGGTCTTGGACGCAATCGAAAGGACCAGGTTTGAGAGGATCGAGGGTAGGCTGCTTGCTTTGGGGACCTCCATGTTGGAGTAGTCCAGCGTGGCGCTCGGGCTGTTCTCCTGCGAGACAAACGGAGTCACCAGGTCAGAGCCGACTTCGATGCTTTAACCTAAAAGGGCATATCAAGAATCCTCGTTTAAAAGAAATGCCAAACGAATAAGATAGTACTCACGTCTTCGAGCGGAATCTGCTTCGGCTCCTGACCGGACACCTGTTCTGCGTCGGGTTCGTAAGGAGAGTCCGGAATCCTGAAAAAAGACAAAAAAAAAAACGCAATCAGAATGGGCTATTTCACGCTCAAAACTCTGCGGTAAATAAATGCCACTTTAGCGCTGATCACAAAAAAAAATGAACTCTTAAAAAATACCTAATGCAAATCCAAATGTTTTCGCTGCCAAGGTATATTACGTTCTATACGGTTACGGTAGAAGCACACGACTCGCAGTATTTTATCTCAGGCATGCACGCTTCCCCGTGCATGCCTCGTAAAAACGCCGCACAGGCGAGTGGATCACGCTTGCATCTCAGCACTCCTCGACCAAATTTCAAAATTTACTCAACCTCTCTCCAGTAAACGTACTATACCATCCCATTGAAAAACCTACTCGCATTCAGTGTGACTCTACTCTACTTGCATGACCAGAGGGAAGAACTTGGATGTACTAGAGCAAGGTTTTAAACAAGTCTTGATCCTTTGTTAAACTATGTGTACATTGAATGTACGCATAATTTAACGAGGCTTTAAAACCGAATTTCCCAATGGTGCATCTGACCCCGACTGCTCCATAAAAAATACCACACTGCACACGAAGCAAACGCACGAGTAAACACCGTCCCTTCAGACACACGGGCAGGAGGTCGCGGTGCGGTGCCCTGAACGAGTCTCGAAGCGTGTTCGGCGTCCTATTCTGCCCATGCATCGAAAGTGGTCCCAAGTGGACATCACAAATCCGTGATGTCGCGATCCGTTGTAGGACGTCGCAATCGTGACAGTTGGCCATAAAAGTTCCAGAAAACAGCACAAGAAAAATGCAAGCGTTGCCGTCATCGTCGTTGCGTACCAACTTGAGGCGGCGAACCAGGCGTCTGCCACATACGCTACAGCTGCTGCTACGCCACGAGGATCGTGGCCAGCAAAACTGCGACACTTTTACGATGACGTCGGGTGGAGACTGAGGTTGTGTTCCAAAATTTACTCGATCTTACTCCAGAGTAAAGACCCGTTCACACTCTTGCAACCGAGTATGACCGAGAGAGACCAGACCGGTTTTTAAGCCTCTTGCGATCTCTTAGGACCAGCTCTGCTGCCTCGCATCCGGTCCTAAGAAGTCGCTCTCAGTCGTACTCGGTCGCAAAAGTGTGAACGGGCCTTAAGGGTTTCGTACCCTTGGTGTTTTAAAACCTACCCGCATCCAGCGTTTTTCAATCTGTGCTGTCGCGTGATACAATCCGCCGGAGTGACTCGGATCCATTTGGGTAAGATTTGGAACTCAGCCTGAGAGACCCCTTTTGAGGATTCGGTAAACACCCCAGTCGGGGATGCGTTCCAGGAGCCACAGTTTCAGGGGTGCACTCACATGTCTTTGGAGAAGTAGATCTCCTGCAGGGTCTTCTGCTGCCTGAGCTTCTGCACCTCCTTCTCGTGGCTGCCGCTGCCCGGCTCAGCCAAGGGCTCGGGGCGCTCCAGCAGCCGGGGCATCCGGTAGGGCAGTGCCTCCTCCATCCGGTCCCCCATCATGCGCCGGGCGGTCTCCACCACCTGCCGCTCCCGCTTCATCTCCAGTGTCTTCAGGTCCCCAAAGTTCTGCATGTTGTTTACATTCACTGCGGGGAAGAAACAAAGGGGAGCGTATAAGAGTCGGCCAAGTCTCAAACGGTGGGTGCTTGCAGAGGGTTTCCGAACCACAACAACACAAAAACACTTTAGTCACTCCGGATAAATCAGTCAAGGTGGTTCCACATGCCGTGACACAAGAAGCAAGTGTGGCACAAAGTTGTAAAACCTTTTAAAGCGAGTCCACTTTAACGACCAAAACAAAAAGCCGACTCAACTCACCCCTCTCTGTCTCGTCCAGGTCGAAGAAGTGGAACTGCTTGAGCTTGCTCTCCTCCACCCACCGCACCGTCTTCTTTGTCTTCTTCCTCGTCATAGAGAGGATCGACGCAGGCCTGTCCGACGCCGGCTTGTCCGACCCCGCACTGGCATCTCCCGCTCCCACCTCTACCTCTTCCTCCTTCTTCTCCACCATCTCCTCCTCCTTCTCGGCAGTGCCCTCCTCTTCCTCCCCCGTCGGAGTCGGAGGCGAGTCCCCCTCGGGCGACGCTGCACTCTCTTCCGCCCCTTCCTTTTCAGACGCCTCCTCTTTCCCCTCCTTTGCCTGCCCTCTCTTCCTCCTCTTCACCCTCTTCCCGATGTCCTCCTCCTCTTCTGCCGCCTCTGCCCCTTCCCCAGTCTCCAAGGTGTCCTTATAAAATTGGAACTTGGGAGCAACGGGCGGCGGGCTCGTGGGGGAATTGCTCGTCGGCGGTGTGGCGCCCTTCTCCTTGGCATTGGTCGGCGTTGCGGGACTACCGCCAGCAGCCGAGTTCTTGCGCTTCCGCTTCCCCGGCACGGCGGGCACAACGGGCACGGCCGTCAGCGCGTCCATGAACCCGCCATCCTCCTGCAGAACATGCACTGGCTTGGGTGCAATCAGCCGGATGCCCGGCCCCGCGGCCTCCTTGCCATCCCCACCCATCGACACGAGACTGGAGGGCTTCACCCGGCGCTCCGCGTGAACAGTGGGCGCCAGCCGCTGCCGCGCAGACAGCAGGGCGTTCTTGTCCACGGCGGGGCGCACCACCTTCTTGGCTCCCGCCTTGACCGGAGGCGGCAGCGGCGACTCCTCAAGGCCGGTCGACCGGAAGCGCGTCTGGAAAGTTTTCACAGTCTTCGGGCGGTCCTGTGCCTTGGGTTTCTTGGGTGCAACGGGGCTCTCCCTGGGCGTGGGCGGGCTGTCCTTGCCGGCCGGCCCCGTCCTCGTGGACGGATGCACGGGGGTGGTGTTACCCTTGGGGGCAATCTGCTCCTGGGGGCTCTCGTCTTGCGAGCCTTTCGAGCGCTCCCGCTTGAGCGCACCCTTGAGAGGGGCAGCCGGCGCACCGACTGGGGACTTCTTCTTCTTCTTGGCGCCCGGTTCTGAACAAAGCAAAATAAGGGCCTCATTTAGGAATGACGCTGCAAAAATTGTGCTACTTTCCACCACAGTAAGTACTCCGCCTAAAACTGCAAGTTAGTTTGTTCTAGAGACCATCTGTCCCTATAAAGGTTCATGGCTCACACAAGTAACAAATTATAGCAGAGTCGGAGAGCCAAGTAGAAAAGGCTACCGCCGATTGCATGACGATGGAGATGGAGCCTTTTAGGTCAATGACCGAAATAGAAAAAGAAAGAAAAAAAAAAAGAAGTTTGTTTTGATATTTGTAGTTTGCGCTCATTGCATCTCAGCAGATTGTTGTTTCTAAATATTCCCTTCCTGCATAATAATGGCGCAAAAACCATGCCAATAAAACAAGTGGCAGACTGACCGGCAGTGTCCTTGACAGGCTTGACGGCCTCTTTCGAGTCTCCCTTGATGAGTTTCATCCAGCCAGTGACCACCTTCTCGGCCATGAGCCGCACCTCTTCGCTCGAACACTTGGTCAGTCCCTTGATCAGCTTGGGGCTGCTGTTCTCTTTCAGCCGCTCCAAGGACATGGGAAGGACCTGCAGAACACAGAGACACAGTTCAGAATCGCTCTCCGTGCCGTCATTGGACAGGCAAACTGCCAATAAGAAACCAGTGGGCTTTGCCCATAAAACATAAATTGTGACAAACTTCCTCCTTTGCCGGTCGTAAATTAAAGCAAGAAAGCACCATTGTCGGTGACAGGGAAAGAATGCAGTAGTAGATGCCCCAGCACGCACTCATTGTCATCCACCGGGCATTGGTTGCACATGCAGTGAAGCGTCATGAAAGGCAGAAAGCTTGAGCTGGAGGCGCAGCATTTACTGGGTTCTTGACCCGTCACCGACTATACACACGATGACAATTGATCGATCGAGCAAACAGTCACTCATCTAGGGGAGAGACCAAATGAGGAGCCAGGATGTTTACATCATAATAGACTGGGACCTAAAACAAAGGGACGTTAACACTGGTGCACCAGCTTCTTGGTCCAGGACACTCCGCCAAGTTGTATCCATCAAAGTGGCTGTACTAATTAGTTTGCATTGACCGTCGAAACACAATGTTAGTCGGAAATTACAGACAACTAAGGCAGTGATTACAGCTCAGAAGCTTGCGCCTTCTGTCCGTCTATACTTCATCAACCGTTGTTCAGTTACCAAATTTGGCTCGCAACACCGGGACGTAATGTCACAGTTGCCGTAGCCTCCGAGCTTCTGTCACCAGTTTTAAGCAATTCTTTGGCGCTGTTGCAAAGAGCGAACAGGTGTGGGGACAATAATGAGAACAGACCCAAGGAGGTACAGATACTCGCAATGATCGGAGGAGGCACTTTGAACAGGAAAGGGCAACTACCTGGCACAGCTTGAGCAGCTCCAGAAGGAATGGCCGGTTGTCGGCAGTCTTGGCTTCCTGCAGCCACATGTGGATTGTGGACCATCCGTCCAGGTCCAAGAACACCTCCAGGATGTCGGACGAGGTGGCTCGCAGCACGTTGCAGTAGATGCATCGGCTCACCAGCTTCCGCGAGAACTTCTTCATCAAACTGCGTGCATCAAGACAGATTCATGCTTTTGGAAGCATACGGGACGTATGAAAGCAGCTAGATGAAGGACGTTTAGGAGATGCACAAAAAGCACGCAACACAATTTACGCGGTTTGGTAGTTTCCATTCAAGTCGTTAAACCGGCCGCATTAGTCAACGAAACGAATGGTTAATCGGTTTGCAGGCCAGCACTGAATGCTTCTTGGCCGCTGCTTTTCATGCATCTGCCTACGAACTGAATGAGGGTGCTCACAAGAAACATCCTAAAAAGTACAGGCTATAAATAGTTAATGAAAAACTCAAATGACCTCCAAGGATATATTTTTAAAAAAATATAGAAGAGGGGGTTAGGTGAATAACAAGGTGAGCAAGGTCATTCTGTTCACTAAAGAGAGTGAACATTTATGTTTCTTGTGAGAAAAGTTTCCAGCTAAAAGAACCCCAAAATCCCCATTCCACAAGATCCCAAGACAAATGTGATGCCCTCAATCGTTCCTTTATATATATATATATTGGATTCAATTCAGTACACAAGTTTAGTAGCACACAAATGTCATAGAATCATGTGTAATTGTCATACACATAGTCCGGAGAGTTCAGATTATTGTGGCACAGAACTGCTGCTCTCAAGAGTGCACAGACATTTTATACCCTTTCCCCTCCATGCAGCTAAGTCAGTCCACGTCACTTCTGCAAGTCCTCATTGGCACTTCAATGTATGCCAAGGTTTCTGTTCAGGCTATTTTCAATAGATAACTTCAAAGTGTTTTTTTTTTGTTTGTTTGTTTTTTAAGCAAAGCAGGACCTGGGTTAAATATTTTGGTAGACTGACAAAATAAACAACTCACACAGTGTTTTTTTTTTTTCTTACAAACCTTTATTCTTTCACGACAAACCACACAATGATACATGTAACTGGAAAAAAATAAAACACAGCTTAGAAAAATGAAAGAAAATATAAAGCCCTAGAAGCAGGGGGCAGTATTACGCAAGAAAATGTAAGCAATACTACACTAAGCCCAAGCCTCCTACAACATGTTGATCTCGTCATGCAATCTCAGTTTCGCATTGCACAACTCTGCCTCATAGGAAACCCCCACACATACTATAAACAACAGTATATTTGCAGGCTTACTGCTACTTTGTGAACCCCCATTATACTCCGTTCACCCCAAAGCCGAGACTGCGGTGGAACCGACGTCACAGACTGTGCACAGAGAATTTGAAATAAATCTCACGCCATCAATATTGCTCAAAACATTTTTTTCGCATAAAATTCATTTTTTGACACGCGTGTCCCAACCAGACTGTTTTTTCGCCTAAAATTTATTTTTTGACACGCAAGTCCCAAGCAAACTGCTTTAAAAAAAAAAAAAACTTTTGTTTCTCTTTAGTGCTTTTTAGGGGTGAAAAGAGTATAGTGCCAACTTTTCTGAATATTTCGCAGGAATTAAATTACACAATCCAAAGTAAGCAGATTCATGAACCCAATGTATTAAATACCGCAGAAAAGACATTGATGTCATCAATTTTTTTGCGGCTACCTGATTTGAGAAAGTTGCCTCACCAGGGAATATAAGTGTACAAACATCGTGCAAACGCATGGGTTAATGTCTAAGCCACTGTTTACATCTGGTTGCATGAAACCTATTTGAAGAATGTGTTTACAAAATAGCTGATAAGGATATAAGGTATACGAGGGAGATGCACAATATTTATGCCTACACTACAACAATAATACAGGTTTGTTTCACTGCAAGCTTGCTTAGAGGTGAAGATAATGTGGAACTATACTAGAAACAAAAAGCCCCTATGAAATGTGCACCGCAGTGGATGCCAGCACAACAATTCACTACTTTATCGGACTTTAACAACCCCAATTATATACCCTCGTTTTATCTGAAAAACTGTGCCTTGCTTCTTGCTTTGTACAACCCCACCCCTCATGCAATACTCCCTTATGGGGAAATTTGAGGTAAATAACCGAAATAAAATATAAACTTTACATTGAAGAGAAAAAAAAGACCAGCACTCATTCTCCCCCTAGTATTGTACACACTGCACTTCTATATTAGTAACAGTAAACAGCAGAAAGTCCTTCTCGAGCAAATCCTTTATGCTTTAGGAAACTACATTACAATAATGCCCACCAATAAGTTGGGAGGGGAGGAGAGGAAGGGGGGGTAATGTTGCATAGCACATGGTGCTCACTTGGGTATGTGGTAAAATGGGGTGCAAATAATATATTATGTCTGCTTATATACCCATTGCAACTCAAGAAGATAGGGCAAGGGTAAGGACGGCCGGGGAGGGGGAAGCAGACGGAATGCTGGAGGGAGAAACCTCCTCCTCTCTAGCATTTTGTCTGCTTCCTCCTCCACAGCCTTCCTTTCCCTCACCCTACCTTGAGTTGCAACGGACTATAGTCACTTGGTATAATAACCACTTCTCGCATCTGATAGACTGAGAGAAAAAAATACATAGTTCTGGAGACATTGAAAAAATACACCTATTTTTAATCACGGGTAGTGGTGGTCAAGTCGCACTAGAATGGTGTCAAGAACCAAGTGTGGTACATAGCCAAGAACTGTGTCAGCTCCAAAGTGTGGCACATATTTTTAATTTTTTGCCCTCCCCGTCTTAAAGGGGTACTTCAACGAAATATACCAGTCGTGTTCAGAAATAGGCTCAATATGATCCACAACATCTGTAAATGACAATCGCACGTTTGTATTTTGAGCCTGGTGGCTGTATTTTTCGTTATTAAATCGACACACTCTGGCAAGCGCTCAGAGAGCAGCCAGCAGGAGAGCACATGACATCTGCCACAATCATGACATAAATTGTTTCCGGACGAGCAAAGCTGCAGCGAGGCTGACATCGAGAGGATGTCCTAGCCGTTCCAGATTCCAAAGCTGCTTTTGTATGAATTTTGAGCAACTGGTTAATCTGCTATAATCTTGTGGAGGAACAATAGCGACGTCTGGGACACACAAAAGAGTGTCCCTGTGAGAGGGATGTTCCTCCTTCCCCTCTTCTCTTGTTGTTGCCGGAAGTGAGACAGTTATTGTAACTACCTGTCAAGGTTCCTAGACGGACATTACAATTAGGGTGCCCTTTGCTAATCGTTTAATTTGTTTTAAAATTCCCTTTCGTGTCTTTTTCAATGAGAGATTGGTATGTCTGATGTGATACTACATTCTTGAACACTAATAGACTAACAAATAAGCGCCGAAAATTCGTTGTAGTATTAGGCACTGTTTTACTTTGAAGAATGCTACCCTCAGTTTCTGAATATCTTGAATTTAGACAGCTTCCAATATGGGAATAGGTGACCGTCAAAGCGAAGCCATTAACTTCCTGCATGGGTGTCCTTACAGTTGGGCTACAGGAAAGCACAACAGTTGACTGTCAAGTGCACTTAGCAGATTTAATCTATCATAATAAAATGGAGCTACTAGATTAAATCAGACCGATCATCACAAGCTTCAATCTTTCAAAGTACTTTGATTTGTCTTTTAAACAAAAGTCTGGTTATTACTGCATTGATTGGTTTCATTGAAAATATAGCTGTTAAGAAGGATGTGTTAGAAGCAAAATTGTTGAAGTACATGAATCTTATTTTAAAAGGTTAACCTTATGTGCTGTAGTTCGCTAAAAAGCTGGCTAGCAAAATCGTTTTTTGCCTAGCAGAAGACCTTTCTCCACTGTTCTCACATCTTTCCTCCACTTTGGGAGCTTTTTATATATTTTTTTTTAAGAATTTATTAAAATGTTAGCTTGTAAATGATGAAAATAATATCTGGAGAGAGGGAACAAGGGTGACAAAGGACAAACACGAGTCTCCAAACACAGCTAGGTGACTGGTGCATGACCGAAAAAATCTGCCTGGTCCGGGTATCTCACCAGGGACCTCTGCATTTCCAGTGGAGCGCTCTGGACTAACCAGGAGTTAGACGTCAGTAGAACAAACGGGTTTTATCAGCTGCCACCTGTCTACACGAACAAAGGTGAATGGCCTGCATTTTAAGGTCACGATAACGCAATTAATGGAAAGCTGCAAGCGAGCTGGACAAGAATGGCTAAAATAATCCCTTAAAAAGGGGAACAAGGGAGACAAAAGGACAAACACAAATCTCCATAATGCAACTAGGTGACGGGTGCGCGACCAAAAAGATCCATCTGGTCCTGGTATCGAACCAGGGACCTCTCCATTTCCAGTAGAGCGCTCTACTAACCGAGCTAACCAGGAGTTAGCTCAGTTGGTTTCTAGTTTGATACCAGGACCAGACAGATTTTTTTCGGTTGCACACCAGTCACCTAGTGTTTGGAGAATTGTGTTTCTCCTTTGTCCCCCTTTTCCAGGGAATATTTTCGTCATTCTTATTTAGCTCACTTGCACCTTTGCATTACACAGAAGCTGAAACACTCCTTGAAAACAATGAGCAAGAGGTCAATTCTGGCATATTTTTATCCCATGAATCTGAATATCACGTTTGTTTTCCCCAAAGATGTAACAGAACGAGAGATAACGCGAAAACCCTCCGACCAGTCGCGACGCCAAACTAGGATCTTTGGGCCGCCAAGCACTCGAGTGGGCAGCGCGTGCAATTTCAAGCTTGCTAGGAATATTTTTCCACGCTGACACCAGTCATGGCACCTCTTTCTGACCTTGAAAATAGCAAGAGTGCACATGGACGAGACCGTAGCGAATCGAATCGAAGTTTGCCGCCTATGATTGGGTAGAGGAGGAAGGGAAAGGAGGATGGGGGCGTGCGATTGATCACCTTTCAACGTGCCCCCTTTGCATCCATGTAAACCACACCCGTGTGTATCTTAATTTCCCATTCTTTTTTGTTTTCTTCAATACTGGCTGCAAGTAATAACTTCCCCCCTCTGAAGTTTTTTTTTATATACTAGTATGTTATTTTATTTGTCCTCAGCGCTTATGCTTAGAGGGGAAATCAAGTAAATAACATCTGTAAGAATTCAGGGGCAGT